AAAAATCTATTTGACGTTTTGACAGCTAACTGTTTAAACGTTAACTTATTTCGGCGCTAAAGACGTCCTTAACAAGCTACAATTTAAACTTCGCTCACGAGAGAAATCATTAAATGTTCATTATGAAGAACAACCTGATTTTTCACATCCGAGTCAAAGAGCAAGCTTTCCCACAAGCCCTGAAAATCCTCTAAAATGATGAATTAATTGTATTAGTTGCTAATACTTATAACTCGTGAAAGCGAAAAGACCTGGGACTGAAGTGAGTTGACCACCTGCAGGCAAAATTTACCCACCTGTAGGCAAAAGCCAGTTGTCTGGAGCAGATATATCATCCTCAAGTTCTTCATATCCATGCCCCCCATCATGAAGTTGATAGACATGATACTTTAGCATAACTTTTTCAAATCAATTATCTGTTAAAAGAATTATGAAGGTTTGACAGAAATATGTACTTCATGTAAATCTTCATTATCAAACTAAGTCAATCCTCTAAGAGTTCTTGCATTTTCTTTTCCGTGGGGTTCAACAAAAAGGGATGTGTGACATACCAGGGGGGTGTGAACAACCTACTCTCACACATGCGAAAGTAAATATTGTCTGATCATAGGGTCAATAACCTTGCCATATGTTGAAAAATTATCTGTGTCATACACAATAGTTATGCTCTTGACATGTTCCATTAAAAAGGATCAACAAATTCTACGAAACATGAGTCGCCATGAATTGTTTTCATGTTGATAAGAAAGTCTTTGACAAGCTTTATAATTCTATACTCTGGGATAGTGCTAAAATAAAGTGGTAAATACTATTAAGATGTTAATGCTTATTATCAAATTGAATAAATGGTTTTGTTCACGTTTTGACAGCACAGTGGTATTTGAAGAAGTGAGTCTGTTGAAGCACAACATATGACCAGTGACGTCAATCTAGTAACATATTAAAATTATTCAAGTTTCTTTACAAAACAAAAACATGATTTGTTCATTACCTAGTTTCACCTGTAGCATGGTTTCACTAACACAGACTCACTCAACTAGATTATTACATGAAATGCAATTCAATATCCTTCTGCATACAGTCCTTTGTTCATATTATGAACTAACCTTTCTTTGCATTCATTTACTTCGACGTTTAAGAATGGCTGACTTGGTAAAGGCAGTGCTTCAGAAAGTTCTTGAACTTTATCCATTTTAACGATATTGCTTTAGTTAGAGATGTTATACAAAAGATTATTCACAATATTGGCTGTGTAGGAAAAAACTTAAATATCTTTGCTATGTAGAAATAAAAAATAAATATCGTTTCAATTTCCCGCTATGAAACTCAAAGTCAGACTCAGGCATAACAATAACATATATATCTATTACCTTGTTTCAGCTTTCAAAAAAAACTTTATATGTTCTTTAAAATATTATTTGTCTTTCACTCTTTTACAACAGATATGTGGAGAGAAATATTCTTGCGGAGAACGAATGCTTGTGAGGTTTAAAATTAAAAATTGTTATGTTGTTTTCTTGGAAGACGATATATAACTTTTACATGAAGTAGTTAACATGATAACGATGGTCAAATGTGGTCTTATTTCTAAGGAAATTTCTCAGAAAAGAATGGCCTATTTGAAGGAAATTTCTGGAAATTTCTCAAAAAATTAATTGTTTGGACAAATTCTTGGGCAATTCTTAAATTTTTACAAATTTATATACACGCTTTTTAATCGTGCTTGTTTTACAATATTTACAGTTGAGTCATTTTGGAAAACTGTATAAAACAAGATGAAGCATATGAAGTAAGAACAGAAGACTTTGTTACAACGATTCCGTCATTGTAGCAAACATATCCTAGAGCTTAATCTGAGGGGTGATGGCTCACCTGTATCACCATAGGATGCTTCTTGACATACGGTACACTGATAATACGTCAATCATCCCCAAAATAACTGAATAAAACCAACGTAATCCCTTCTCGTATAGAACGTCCTGTTCAAATCCAGCCAATCCAACTGTCTGAACAAAGCAATAATTTTTTTCATGAACTGTTTGAATAGAATATATCTATTTTTGAATGTTGTGTCAAGTGTCAATAAAGTGTTAAAGAAAACAATAAGCAAAAGTTGGAACATTAACGTCTACGTAATCACAAGCATAAGCAACGAGCGTGCTTATGACTCTCTCGAGGGTTTACAGAAAAAACATCAAAATCATATTCTTCTTTTCAATATTTTATACTTCTTTCAGCTTAGGAAACAACATAAAAATAACACCACGCTTTTATGGGCAAATTTATTCCTAAAGCTCCTCCCACCCACTCAAAAGAGCGAAGTTACACCATTACACAGGCTTAAGGAAATGTGTTAGGCATTAGCTGAAAGAAGAACACAAAAAGAACAAGAGAAAAACGAAAGAAGATTTCCATGTCTTTCTGTGTAAACTCTGAAGAGAAAAAGAAATAAAGTTTTATCGTTTATGCTTATTCTATTCGTATGTACCATGCATTCAATTTTGTTTTCTCATGAGACCTAAAAGACCAGGAAAACGGAAATTCTTTTGAATATTGTTTTGTTTATGCTCATGTTGATTCTAATCCTTCATTTATTCTGTCTTGTTTCACAATTAATAATCACTTTTGCTTGTGCTGTAAGACTAGTATGACCAAAGACAGCACCAAAAGCACCTTCTCGTTGTGTAACTTTGCCATTGGAAGTTGAAAAGAAGAAAATCATTTTTCTATGACAGCCACAGGCTAAGAAACTCAATTTTAAAACAAATAATTTAAAAGTGTACACGGTTAAGAATCACTGACGATAATAAGAAAAGATGGCAATGAAGTGAACGCAAGAGCCAGGGTGTCACAATAATTTATGATGCTGAACATACTAAATTATTTGATCAGAGAGCCATGTTAAAGTACTAAGAAGTAACCAAAGTGATTAGTGATTTATTAACGAACATAATAAGTTCATGGTGCGATGATTTCCGATACTGAAAAAATCAATTCATTTCTCTCGTATTCTATATTTCTAGACAACAAAGTTGACTTCAAGATGTTGCTAACGGAAGAAACAGATCATCCTTCGACCCAAAAACATCCTTCTTCATTGTCCATATCAATAATTCGACCGACCAACAGAGAGCTAGCTTATGTTTGATTATTGCCTAGTTCTGACACGTGCTTGATTTGGTAATAACTGGGGGATTTGGTAGTAAAGAGATGTGTTGTACTTGTGCAACAACTGACTGGCGCTTCTATATACCATGGAGTAATTTTGTAGATGTTAGCACAAATCAGTTAACATGCTTTAGAGCATGTTAATATAAGAGTGCTTCTTGCGCTCATATCTTGTGTAAAATTAAAACAAAATCTAATTTACATTAAATCAATCATCATGGTTGAAAGAGAATTGCAATACGCTGGCAGAGTATTGCAAAATCTTTAAACTCAACATCTATGCGAAATGATTATCACGAGCCAGTCAGACTAGCCGTCTACTTTGAATATTTAATGGTTTATTTGTGCCTATGATTGCACTGTTATAATATTGAGGGATGTTATAACAGTGTCTACAAAGCAATAAAAATTTAACTTCCGGTGATGTTCTAATGTTTGGTAAATGATTTAGCCAAAATAGCTATTTTGTATGATTGTATAGAACTATTGCAATCATAAAGATAATTCCTCGGGAGAGGAAACTGTTTCAAATTTTCGAATCCAACTTGAGGGCTCGTCATGAATGCTCGTCTGTCCATTATGTTCAATGGAGATGATTGACTTCGTTTGAAAAATCTGACAGTAACTTTTGTGCCATAAAAGTAAACCTTTCCTGTAAATGTTTGCAGTTTACAGCTGTTTTCTGGAAATCATCGTAAAGTACCAGTTTTGATAGAAATTTCGACAGATCGTCTGCAAACACTGGTTTTTGAAAATTTATATGCTCCTACAGTTCGTCATGATTGTATTTTAACATTATTCTTACAGTTATTCATGGCACTGAACGATGAAGATTGAGACTGCGGTATGTGTTTGTTTGTCAGTTGTTTGCTTGTTTGCTTCATCATACTGCAACTTTTTCCTCAGTATTTTCAGATGCAGAGGTCGATAAGATCAAGAATAGCAGAACAGAGATGTAAGCATGTATTTGTTTGTATCGTTCATCAAATCTTCTTTGCTTCAATTTCTTTCAGAACCACATTGCCGTAACCTGTCATTGTCAAGCAACGCTTCTTGCAGTAAGTTAAACCAATATTTATTACTTATTTTGGAGAAGATATTAAAATTTAAAGAAGGCATGTTTCGAGAAGACAAAATTTTCGACTTCCATTCTTCGGTGTTTGCAGATGATCATAAACATGCACAAAACACAAAACATGCACATAAAAGATTTTTACAATATTCTAACTAAACTAGAGAGTTCCCTCGCTCTCTAATTTAGTGAAGAATTTCAAAAAAATTCAAGTATTCCAAAGAGACTTCTGCCACCTATTTTGAAATAACTTGCACAAAATTTCAAGCAGCGTACACTTGATATTCTCATAGAAATTTTTTGTAATTAAAATAAGATCATACGTATGTAATATAAAATTTGACTAAATCAAAACAATTTTTCAAATGATAGCCAAGTATTCGAAACTTCGATGTAAACTAATAGAATTTGTATGAATACAATTAATAAGAACTTACTGTTTGTTCATTCTTGGAGGAAGATTGGGTGGTTGGAAATGGCATTAATTTTTTGGGAAACGGATGTTTTATATGGACCGTTTACATTCTATATAATAAGTCGTTCATGTTTTGATTGACGTTGTCAGTCAGTGAATTGTAAGTCAAGATGTATCAACTATGAAATACAACCGGAAATCCTTATATATATGTGTCTCTATGTATTGTGTTCAAGAGTAAAACAATCTTCCTTATTATATTACATTTACCATTCACTATGGTATTTGCTATCTTTAGAACTATGTATTATTTCTTTCTCTACAATGTTGTCGCTTTTACAGGGAGTAAAAGCACGAAAATATTATATGACATGAACAAACTTGCTTGATGACAACTTTGCTCAGTCAAATACTTATTATCTATCAATTACGTATTTACAGAAGTCTTGATTTGAACTACATTTATGCGTTTATTTGCTAAACCTAGTCTTCCCCAATGTTGTTTTCTTCTTATTTCAGACATCCTAATGTAATTATATTGACAACATCGAACATAACTAGAGCCATAGACGTTGCGTTCGTGGACAGGTTGAAAAATATGTTTGTGACTCGAAAGTTTTTTAATTCACTTTCTCATCTAACTTCGCTATTTGTTCGCCCACAGAGCCGACATCAAACAGTATATTGGTCCGCCATCAGCCAAAGCTATTTACAAAATTTACCATTTGTTTGTATGTAACTTATGTCTTCTTGTGCACGTGATCAACGAAATGGCTGCCGGTCAATTATGTTTTCTGGCCAAAGGAACGCCGAAATGGCTTACCGCAACCTGTCATCATATACAATATAAAACAACAATTTGCCTCGTGAAGTATATCCCCTCTTCTCAGTACTTTGTACCTTTACGTCTACTGCTTTATTTCCATACCACAATATAGTCGTTTGTGCAAGTTATACAAACATGTTGCTTAAATAGAGAGGTGTGCAGCTATATAGAAATTGATTGCAAACGATTGCATTGTAGATAATTTTTTAATAATCAAAATTAATGTTCACCGTTTCATCACAGACCAGTATCATATCACCAGCCACTCAAATTTTGGATTTAAGGTACAACTGAAAAAATACACGAAATTTTATTTTGACGAAAATTGACGGTGTTTGTTAGAAATTTTTTTGTTCACTTCTATGTTGATGACATGGTTTTCTTTTCCGATGTACAACTTTTTTTCCCTATTTTCCATTGTAGCTTTGTCGACAACGATGTAACACACTGTAGTCTTGAATTAAAGAAGATAGCCGAGTAAGTAGATGTTTGTAGATGTAGATCGTCGAGGTTAGTGGTGTCCTGCGAAGGACTGTTGATGTTGATGTTGACTGACTTCTTAACAACCTTAGCGGTAGTCATCTTTAGAGTCAGCATCAACAACAACAGTTCTTTTCAGGACTTTACTAACCTGGACGATCTACATCTAAAACATGTAACGATACTCCCATGTTCAAACCTTTCACTTTAAAGTAAAGTGATGTCACAGAGTAAAATAAACATTTCTTGTCTTAGTTTATGGTAAATATTATGTCACCCAGTCTTCATGTTTTCAAGTTAGTATTCTTCTCGTTTTACAAAGAAAACGAAACTACGCCAGGGGATTTTCAGAAGTTGTCTGAACCCTGGCAGTATGTTCTAGTTTCTTTTATGAGAAGAATTCTTGTAAAGAAAAAGACAAATTTTGAAAGGAAAAACCCGTTTTCGGTCCATGCTTCCCGATACCTTCTTAAGCGTAAGGCACTAAAACGCGGCATGTTAACGTTTCGGTAGCAGATTTCGGCCCCTCCACGCTATCCTACTTGGGAGATGCAATAGCAAGCTTCCGCCCATCAGACCCGAGATCACCTGCGATAGGCTTTGCTCGGGGTACGCAGGAGAGTGCGGTCGCCACCGAAGTGTGGACCCTAAGCCACTGCATACTATATCGCACCCAGCTTCCACTGCTAGTTGACATCTACTATATGAAGCTATAGATTTATATTTATATATACAAAATTTAGAGGCTTACGAAATTTGTGGTATTATTAAAGTCACAACTGCGCATGCCCAGATAATTTCTTTGATAATTTGCGATTAAGTGGGATAATTGCCCCAGATGTAGTGCAAGTACATCTAGTTAGTCGTTGCCATGACTATAAACAATTAGTCGAGTGGGCTGCGCATGCTCGAGCGCATGCGCAGATGATTTCTCCATTAAATTGTTACTAAACATGCTATTTACTTCAAAATCGGGGCTAGTAGATGCAATTGGTCGTTGCCATGACCATGAACATTGGCAGCCAATCAATTTAACTGCGCATGCTCAGTTGAGATCTTTAATAGTTTGTTAATAAGCAAGTTATATACTCCTAATTGATGCTAGTAAATGTAGTTGGTCGTTTCCATGACTATCAACTCGGACAATTGGTCAAGTGGACTTTGCATGCTTGAGCGTGCTGCGCATGCCCAAGCGTACTGCGCATGCTCAGATGATCTTCTTATATTTTTGTGACCAAGCGATTAATTACTCAGTAAGTGATGAAAATAGGTCCAGCTTGTTGTTGCCATCACTATGAATATGAAAAATTTGTTAAATGACTAAATTCCTCATTATATTGAAATTTATGATTTCCCAATATGTGACCAAGTGAACCACAGAAGGATGCAAGCTTGTTCTGTTTGTCATTGCCATGATTGTAAACTCGAACAGTTTGTTGAGTTGTTTGTGCATGTTCAGATGAGTTCTCAAATAATTTAGGACTGAGGTTTAAAATATACCGTCTTAATACTTGCAACATAAATAAAATTTAACTTTGTATTACATCTACATTTAAGGCGTAAAGATGTTTTTTCTTTGTTATCGTAGTCAGTAGTTATCAAGTAATGGACCACTCTCAAATAATCACGAATATTGGTTGACTTTTGGTTAGGTTTCTTTGGGAGGCCCTTCTCCTTTTGAACTTGCAAGGAGCAGTCAAGCGTCTCACTGTGATAAACCTACGAAGTATTCTTTCTCTCATTTTCTTGTTTAGAAAAAGTTATCAACTAAGTGGTCGAACTCTTCGTAAACTACCATTCCTTGCACATGCGCTGTATTCGAAAGTAAGTAATACGAATTAAAGCCTTCACCCGTGTTCTTTGTTGTACATGCATGTACTTATATTGTCCCTCAAACCTACGTAATAGGCGCAAACGATAACCTTAGAAGAGTTTTTGAATAATCTTTCAATGGTTGTCGACAAGCAGTTCAAAGAAAAAGAGAATCTTTGCTCAGTTGGTGAAGAAAAAAGCGTGCAAACGTGATCTTTTTAGCGATTGTATACTTTTTATACATTCATAGTAATATTTTGGATATGTTTTGTTGAAGATTAAGATTTTTGTATTGCTCAATTTAAGTTCAATAAGTAACATAGATCACAAAGTTTGCTAATTTATATTGATGCTTTAAGACTCCTTACATGACGTTTCCGCAACACACCCGAGGTCAAAGTTCGTATATATTAAAATGCAACAATGTGTATAGTTCGTTATTGAGGATAATGTATAGATTATTTTACATAGGGAAAGATATTTATACGCTATAGTTAATTGTAACTGTTTAATTTCAACTTATGTTTACATTAAATGACATCCTTAAGCCAACTTTACTAATATTGATCGCTATTTTCGTGTTATACATCTATAATCATCTTGTTGTTAAAGATTTGAAGCTTTGCTGCGATAATACAGGTTTGTACAGCTATCTCATCTTTGTTTGTTGCCTGCCTGATAGCATGTCGACTCCGGGGACCAGATTTTTTATCGTGATTTATATGACATTATAGATTGTCGTACGTCTATCTAATATCTTGAGTATAAACGATATGTTTTTGAAAGATGAGTTTACATATACTCTAGCGTAGTGTCTTCATCAGGAGTGATCTGATGTTGAAACTTGAGTCTTTATATACTCCAGTCTAGTGTCTTCATCAGGAGTGATCTGATGTTGAAACTTGAGTCCTTATATACTCCAGTCTAGTGTTTTCATCAGGAGTGATCTGATGTTGAAACTTGAGTCCTTATATACTCCAGTCTATGTTTTCATCAGGAGTGATCTGATGTTGAATCTTGAGTCCTTATATACTCCAGTCTAGTGTCTTCATCAGGAGTGATCTGATGTTGAATCTTGAGTCCTATATACTCCAGTCTATGTCTTCATCAGGAGTGATCTGATGTTGAATCTTGAGTCCTTATATACTCCAGTCTAGTGTCTTCATCAGGAGTGATCTGATGTTGAATCTTGAGTCCTATATACTCCAGTCTTATGTTTTCATCAAGAGTGATCTTTTATTGAAACTTTCGCCTAGTGTTATTTAACCATGTTATCTAAAACTTTATCCTACATAGTCCATTTTGTATTTGTGTTTCCACTTGTTTTCTTTAATGTTTTAAAATAATGTTCTTGACAGCAGAGAATTATTCTCATTATGATTTGGTCGTTGGAATACTTTCATCGCGCGGCAACTTTGATTTGAGGCAAAGTTTACGTGAATCATGGGTTGGCTATGCAAGACGACATTCATCTCTAAATAAAAGGTAAACACAGGGAAAACACTGAATTTTCTTGAGGGTAGCTGTAGTGTTTTTTGTATTCAATTAGAGCTACTTAGTGTGAAACGTTACAGCAAACACAATATTTGTGAAGGTAAAGTGTAGAACAGTGTTTCAAATTGGCCTGTCGCGTTTACAACGAATTTCTTTAATACCAGAGAACGTTTACAACGTATTTCTTCAATACCAGAGAACGTTTACAGTATTTCTTCAATACCAGAGAACGTTTACAACGTATTTCTTCAATACCAGAGAACGTTTACAAAGTATTTCTTCAATACCAGAGAACGTTTACAACGTATTTCTTCAATACCAGAGAACGTTTAAAACGTATTTCTTCAATACCAGAGAACGTTTACAACGTATTTCTTCAATACCAGAGAACGTTTACAACGTATTTCTTCAATACCAGAGAACGTTTACAACGTATTTCTTCAATACCAGAGAACGTTTACAACGTATGTCTTCAATACCAGAGAACGTTTACAACGTATTTCTTCAATACCAGAGAACGTTTACAACGTATTTCTTCAATACCAGAGAACGTTTACAACGTATTTCTTCAATACCAGAGAACGTTTACAACGTATTTCTTCAATACCAGAGAACGTTTACAACGTATTTCTTCAATACCAGAGAACGTTTACAACGTATTCTTCTTCAATACCAGAGAACGTTTACAACGTATTTCTTCAATACCAGAGACGGTTTACAACGTATTTCTTCAATACCAGAGAACGTTTACAACGTATTTCTTCAATACCAGAGAACGTTTACAACGTATTTCTTCAATACCAGTGAAATGTTTGGTAAACTAATCTGATTACCGATATGAGTTTTTAGTATCGAATCTACGTAGAATCGAATTGGACATTTTAGCTGACCGCCATTCTTTAAAGTAGTGTGACGTTTTCTATGATGGCCTATTGAATACCAACAGCAAGGTCTTTAGTTTCGTTTATCAGTTTTGTTCTACACAAGAACAACTCGCAAACTGCATTCTTTGTCATATGATAAATTTAACTGTGTTGACTAACGTCATTGTATTGAGGCTAACTCGAATATTCACAAAATAACGGTTCACGGTACACTTGCCTAAAATATCCTTTCTTTGCTGTGGTTTTCTTGGCCAGAGTTCCCAACAACCGTTTCTGTCGCAAAAAATTGTACCAGTGATATACTAAGTACAATGACTAAATCTGAAAAATAAAGTGTTTTACTATTCCATTGTTGTTTTAGAGTGTTGGTGAAGTTCATCGTTTCAAATAATGCATGTTACGTTCCTCCAGAGTTCAGGATTGATCCTTACAAATGCGAAAGAAAGAAAATCGAATCTCCAAGTTTGAAAATTTACTTTTGATTTGATAGTTGTGAGGTTTGGCGCCTGGAAAAGCCGATATAAAACAATATGACGTTGGAATCTCGATGCAGGCGATAAACTAACGAGGCACATATTTACAAACGTCGAACATAACCTACTATACATGTGATATTTAAAGTTAATCAGTTGCGGATTACTCATTACGAAAAGTAAACCAAGACATTGTTAGTTTTTACTTTTTGCTGCTTGGAACTTGCTAAAAGTGCCGTTTTTAGACCATTTATGATGTTGAAAACCGTACGTGCGATTGAATATCGACGAAAAAGACTTTCGTACCATCTAGTGTTTAAATGCGCGAGGCTAAGAACTGACGAGGATTTCCCTATTTCTGCAGACTGTTTTGATAATTTTTAAAGTTTATTTTGAACTATTAATTTCTTTTGTATCGTTCACACTATGTGTTACAAACGCAAGCTAGGAAAGCAAAGGCAAAGGAACGTAAAGAACGCAAACGTTGTCAAGAGACTGAGCTTAGTGGAGGGATTAAATATCACCAGGCCTCGTAATTTTGCCTTAGCCTACATGCTCCGTAATTATTAATCAGCCACTGCTGCGAATTTATCATTGCTGTATGTATTTGTAGAAGATCAGACAGTCTTGATGGAAATATGTGTTGCTATCTCTCATGGAGATTTTACCGTCATAGAGGCTGGAACGAGTGCATGATCAAACGTGTTTATATGTTTGTCATATTGATGTTTAGACTACGAAAATGAAGTAATTGCTTACAAACGACCAAATGAAGAAAATTTGAGATATTTTCACAGTGGATCTATCGGATGGGACTTTGATGTGAGTATTAGTTAGTTATTTGTAGCCATTAAGAACTGCTCAACGGACACTGTTGCATTGAACTTTTGGGACCTTCTGAACAAAGTCTGAAACCTGTTGCATAAAGTGTCTGTTTGGCTTCAGGAGTAAAATTTGGGTTGGCAATACAATACAATTATTTTTATACAGATCATCCGTCCCATTATTTTGACTCGTCTTGGCATCTCTTTATCATCGTTGAATTCAAAAAGAAACTCTTCTGTTCGACTCTACGACAGAACAACTAAGGTTAAACCATGCAGTTTATAAATACCGTTTACAAGTTATTTGATCTAAATTGTTTTATCTCGTTTCAGAGCGAAATTATATCTGTTTATTTCTCTTTCCAAGACCCTGGTACAACAGAAAACGGTTCGTCGTTTAAAGCAATTGAAAACTTTATTTTGCCGGTGAGTAACAAGTCGATAATTTATCAAAATATTCAAGTGAATTGTTTGAGCTCGGGAGTATCGTTATCATGTTTGTACAGGTTAGTAGAGTGCTGAGAAGGGCTGTTGGTGTTGATGTTGACTGATGTTTCGACAACCTTAGTGGTTGTCATCTTCAAAGTCGAGTGAGGAGTAAACGTCTGCAAGCAGATAACAAATATGGCAAACCTGACGTTTACTCCTCACTTGACTCTGAAGATAACTACCACTAAAGTTGTCGAAACGTCAGTCAACATCAACACCAACAGTCCTTCTCAGACTCTGACCTGGACGATCTACATGCACAAACATGTAAGATATTGAAGCTTAGTCACAAAGTTAATTATGACTTTGAACTTTTCTATAGAGTTTGAACATTTGGTACGTTTCAAATGCCATTATAGGACTTCAAGGGCAGCGTCGTGTCTGAAAACGTAAAATGTTCAAGTTCTCGATGCAGAAAATGCGAGTATTTTGCCAACATTGAAAACGGAGAGGATTATTTCAATGTACACAAGGTATAAAACCATAAAGAAGTTTTATGTCATAGCCAATTGGAGGTGAATTGTTATGATTTAGAGCAAGTGAAGCGATTTTCTCCGAAAAAATTACTATCCAGTAATAAATGTTTTCTTCGGTGCCCTCTTATCGATATTTGGACTAAATTATTGACATTTTACGATATTGCTAAATACAAGTTTTCAATGGATATTTATTGTTTATTTTACAACAGATTCTTGAGCACGAGGCTTTATTTCGCTTTTGATGTAGCAAATTCATGTGTATTAATAAACAATTGGTTACTTAATCGATGTTGCAAGCATTACTAATCTACTAGAACGTATATAAAGGGTTTTCCAATTCAATGTTAAATAATTTTATATTTTGTTGGCTACAGTTACAAATCTATGGTGAATACTAACCCAAACCTACTCTTTTCCTAGATAAGACGGATTAACAACGAGTTCGCCGTCTTTCCCGAAGTCGAGGAATCAATTCCTGATGCTAGATGCGTGGATGGGGCTGGAACGTTCATGTATCGACTTTACAGTAGGTGTTTTTATGCTACATTACGTACGTACTGACTTCTTCGTTTTCGCGGTTAACAACGAGAAATTTGATGCAACAGTTGCTCTTAACTGGATTTTTTTCTGCGCACATTGAAAAAGAAACAAAATATCCTCAGCAGTAAAAGTGGATTTGTTGCTAGCATTTGTTTGGTGCAATGTTGTTAATTTGATCGTTGAAGCCTCGATATCCGTTATTGTACTTTGAGGATGTCAGCCTAGCAAGCTTCTGCCCATCAGACCCCTGCGATAGGCTTTTCTCGGGGTACGATGCTGCTAAAATCGGATTTGGATATTTGTTGGTAGGGTGGTTTCTTGCAATGAAGTGCAAAGTACACATGCATGTACGTAATAAATTGGATGGCTGTCTCTATGCGATCAAAAGAAGTCATATGAATCCGAAAAGTTAACTGTTTAACCGTAAAATCACTCGAAATGTAAAGTTACTTTCTAGATTGAACCGTGAAAATAAGGTAAAAGAAAGTTATTATTCACAATGAATTTATGACATAAGGGTATAATTTAAACGATACAAATGGCAGCTTATTAAATGCTAACTTTGTAAAATCTATTATAAGAATTAGATAATCCATTTTTCCATGAAGCTCATGGATACTTTTGTTCATGATATAGAGTTATATTGTATAAGGGCTCTCGTTCATCACGAGAGAGTTATGAGATAGTTACCTTGTAAAAGTTAACATGTAAAAAGCGTATAAACATATTTACAGTTGGTTTAAATTATAAGTCATTAAGGCGGAATTTTTTTTAACTTTTGCAATATCCTTGAATGTTCTAGTTTCTTTTTATACAAAAAAAAGAGTAAATTCAAAAGCAAAAAACCCCGTTTTCGGTCCATGCTTCCCGATACCTGCTTAAGCCGAGGCACTAGAACGCCGCATGTTAACGTTTCGGTAGGAGATTTCGGCCCCTCCGCTATCCTACTTGGGAGATGCAATAGCAAGCTTCCGCCCATCAGACCCGAGATCACCTGCGATAGGCTTTGCTCGGGGTACGCAGGAGAGTGCGGTCGCGACCGAAACGTCTGGACCCTAAGCCACTGCATACATATCGCACCCAGCTTCCACTGCTAGTTGACATCTACTATACCTAATATTGGCTTTATATATATATACAAATTCAGAGGCTTACGAAAGTTGCGGTATTATTAAAGTCACTACTGCGCATGCCAGATGATTTCTTTGATAATTTGCGACTAAGTGAGCTAATTGCCACAAATATAGTGCAAGTACATATAGTTAGTCGTTGCCATGACTATAAACAATTGGTCGAATGTACTGCGCATGCTCCTGCGCATGCGCAGATGATTTATCCATTTAATTGTTACTAAGCATGCTATTTACTTCAAATTCGGTGCTTGTAGATGCAGCTGGTCGTTGCCATAACTATGAAGTCAAAAACTGTCAAGTGAACTGCGCATGCTCAGTTGATATCTTTAATAATTTGCTAGTAAGCAAGTTATCTACTCCTAATTGATTCTAATAAATGCAGTTGGTCATTTCCATGATCGTTTACTCAGACAATTGGTCAAATAGACTTTGCTTGTACTGCGCATTTCCAAGCGTACTGCGCATGCTCAGATGATTTTGCGTACATTTATGTGACCAAACGATTTAATCACTCAGAAAGCGATGAAAATAGATCCAGCTTGTCGTTACCATGACTATGAAATTGAAAAATTTGTCAAATGGACTGTGCAGACTCATATGAAGTTTAAAGCCTAGTGCCAAACACTAATATTCCCTCACCAAATATTAAAAGAAAAGATGGTACAATGCTTTATGAATAAATTTCTTTAAAGTCTGTAGCAACTTGCAATCCTCCGTAGATTCTCCGGGGAAGAGTCGTGACAAAGAGGAAGAAGAAACTCGAATGTCGGAGTGGCAGCGATTGAAAGACGATGAGAATGAACGTTTACTTAAAGAAAGCAGAACTATTTCTGATATTCTTTTTGTTTCAAATGTCGATGTTTACAGAAATCTTCCATCCCAGTTGCTTCAGTTTTCTCGTGGTAAGAGAGTGTCTGAGACTTTTATATTTTTTTCATGCCACTGTGAAATTTCTGGCGATAAGTGGACAGTCTCAAATCAACTTTAAACATTATTTTTGCCCAAATAACTTGCATTAGTGTATAATTCATCTCGCCAGTATCTCCTTACCTACGACATCAGTCGTCATATGTCATATTGATCTTGCTTCATGTCGGCTTTTCTTTTTAAATAGGCTCTCGGCGACTTTAAGTTTTTCCTTTGTAATGAAAACTGACGATGATTGTTTTGTTAACCTGGAGACCATCTTACAGGTTTGTGAAAGCTCTTCAATAAATAATAGAAAATACGTGTTGGTATCTTGGGAGTTGGGAGTACGTAGAGGTAACTTGGGAGTACGTAGAGGTAACTGGGAGTTGGGAGTACGTAGAGGTAACTTGGGAGTTGGGAGTACGTAGAGGTAACTTGGGAGTTGGGAGTACGTAGAGGTAACTTGGAGTTGGGAGTACGTAGAGGTAACTTGGGAGTTGGGAGTACGTAGAATAACTTGGGAGTTGGGAGTACGTAGAGGTAACAGGAGTTGGGAGTATGTAGAGGTATCTTGGGATTTTGGAGTACGTAGATGTATCTTGGGATTTTGGAGTATATCAATCTGGTGGCTTAAGCGTGGTTTTAAAATGGTTTAGATGTGGTTTTAGAGGGTTTAAGGGTAGTTTAAGGGTGGTTTAACCGTAGTCTAGGAGTAGCGAAGCGTAACTTAAAGCCTTGGACCACCTTTAAACCACGCTGAAGCTACCCTAAAACTCCTTAAAACATTTTACGCTACCCTAAAACATCCTTACTCTACCCTTAAACCACCCTTAAAACACCCTTACGCCACTCTTAAACCATGCTGTGGAGATGATTTTTACACCATCCCAGACCTCTCATTGAGAGCTTTGGAATGAGTCTCGTCCCAGTCTCTACAATAAAAGCACGAGGAAATAGAAATTGCGCATGCTCAGTATAGAGTCGATTTCAACATTAATTACCTCCGGAGTATACAAGCTGCACAGATGATTTTTGACTCAATCTAAAGATTTTACTCAATCAAGCGATTTGTAAGGGTGTCTTTAATTAAGCTTTATATCTTTAATAGTGTACCGAAGAACTTCACGACTGAAGAAATATTTGATATTTTTAGGAAATGGAAAGTCATAATTTAAAAACACGTCTAAATTGTGGTGGGAAGGTTAGTTTAGCTCAACTCCGTCAGTACACAATATTCTGTGTACGTGTTTGTAGATGTAGATCGTCCAGGTTAGTAGAGTCCTGAGAAGGACTGTTGGTGTTGATGTTGACTGAAGTTTCGACAACCTTAGCGGTAGTCATCTTCAGAGTCAAAATACTACTGCTAAGATTGTCGAAATGTTAGTCAACACCAACAGCAACAACACTTCTCAGGACTCTACTAACCTGGACGATACAAACATGTAACGATACTCAGGTTCAAACCATCTACTTTATACTGAGTCCATTCTAAAGATTTTATTGACATAGTGAAAATCCTTTTGAGATATCATGTTTTGGGCATTAGGAATTGCCAAATTTATAATATTTTTCAAGTAAAACAGAAACGAGATTGCAAACATACGAATTAGCGTTTTCCATGCGACTAAACTATAAATAAGGTATGAGAATATGAGTTGTAGTTATTGCTTCTAAATGCAATTGCTTCTTCATATTTACAGCTTTCGTACTGATTGGTTGATCGAGAGACAGGAAAATGGGCCGAGCCTGATTATCCAGGAGTGGCTTATCCGACATTTGCCTGCGGTGCGGGCAGCATTATATCTTCGGATATTGTTCACTGGCTGGCAAAAACGAAATCTCTAAAACGTTATCAGGTATATGATAGAAAAACCACGACGAGATTACAATGTTGAAAGTGACCTCTTGATGTGTAAAGATGTAGTTCTCAGAGTACTAGATATTGACACATGTTTTTTCTTTCTTGTGTAAAGGGGGAGGATGTCTCTATGGGTATTTGGTTATCAGCTATTGCTCCTGAAATTTATAAGGTAAGATCTCCTTTTCTTCTCTGCAAGTTTGTGACGGTTGTTCAACAAGATCCTTTATGGTGATCTTACTCTTACGAGCCCAGGTTCTTATGAACCAGCGGCCGAACATGTGACAGTGTTTCCTTTCTATTTCAAATACTTCAGGATGAGCGATGGTCGTGTTTCGGGGATTGTCAGATGGAAATGTTTACCTTGCCCGAGCAGGATGCCGATTCTCTTCTCTATTTATGGGAAAACTTTATGTCCTGCGGTAATCCTTGCAAATGTTGAGAATACGTTAGTTATGTCGGGGAGATAAGAAAAATTCCAAATCCACACAAAAAGATAGAAAAGTACAGCTTCAATTAAACTTTTTATCTTTTTTTTTCACTTAATTAAATCTATTTTCTCTATATTACAAATTTAATGTTTTGGCTTTTTACGAACGACATTAATTTAAATTAAATAAAATCTATAGCGCTGTGTAATATCGACATTATTCCTGCTATGCAAATATTTTTGTGTTCATTAACTGCAAAAACAATCGAAATAATTCCGAATAATTTTGCTAAAAAATTTGCCATGCAGGTGTAAAGATTTCGATTAGCCTCGCTTATGTCCCTGCGTACTTCATGTAAAATATTTATTGCAATGCTCATTGTGTAAAGTGTATAAGTACAGACTTGACTGCGATCAAATTACGTCATAGCGTCAAATTACGTCATTAGCGACGAAAAACGTCATAAAATCAGAGATAAGCATAAAATGTTTCACATTTTCTTAACGAAATGCATGTCGTTTTTTGCGTTTGAATATTTATTGTGGGAAAGGTTTAGTAAGTCGATTCGATCGTTTATAATTAACTTTCTTCTCGTAGGAGTTAATCTTTATGTGGAAACATCTTCGTGGTAGTCAAGTTGTACCACAGTTCATTGTCAAATCTCATCTTTCCTGAAACAGGATCCATAAATATTCTCTTCAGTAGAACACACGGCCATATTCCTCCAAGAATCTTTTCAATATCACGAGGATTCAACAGAAACGTTTGACATGACCGTTAAAGTTTCTTCATCGGAACGCTACTACCGTTTGGTAGGGCGATAAAACGATCAGCGTTTTAATATCTTCTATTAAACTTCCACCTCTTTCCTCGCGGGTGAACACGCTACCGTTGCTTGTCAAGCTGTCGGCAACGTTCGACACCTTTGACCAATTTTATCGGGAGATTCCGACTCTCGACCTGAGCGCTCTCCGTCTCGCTGTTGAATCTGGAGTGACGAGTCTCGCTACTCGTGGAAATGTAGCTGTTTTCTTGTGGACTTCCTTGTTGTCGTCTCTGCTCTCGTTGTTGTTTGTATTCACATGCTGCAAGTTTCGCATCAAATCACGTATTTCCTCCTGTGAAAAGTGTAAGGATAATGATTTTAATATAGGAATGTCATTAATTGAACATCAAATCGGCTTATTTCATAAGTGTTAACGGATTCTTTGCTACAATTTCAATGGTTTTAATTGAGGATAATTACTCTATATTGAAGATGATAATCTCTGTAAATTGGGGATAATAATCAACTACAAGTGATAATGATCACTTTCGCGTGTTGCGTGAGTTGAGATTTTGGCAGTTGTTTAACAAAGCATATTTCACACGTTGTTTGACGTGCGCCTATAAATGGCTTAATGCATAATGTGCTGTCACAAGGAGCACACATTCAATTTTCAAGTTTTGAGAAACTGAAAGACCGTAATTGGACGTGAATACCATCACAGGACCAAAGTTCAACTCATTTCCCCCATACCTTCCCGTCAGACCCTGGCGCATCTCACGATCGACTCGTTCTTTAGCAACTCTGCGATGATCTGACAAATCTCCCCTAACCCTCAAACCTAGGTCACCCACTTTGCAAATGGAGAGTCGTTCTTTGTATTTAAGACAATAACCATTGACATTGTTTCTTTGAACATTCTTCGAAAAATCCTCGTTTTAATCTGTACTCAAACAGTATTCCCAAAACATCTTACCCTCAGTTGTATATTCTCAGTTTCCAGACCCTCGCGGCTTTTCTCTTCATCGTTTCGCACACCAAAGTACCGTCCTCCAAACGGTTGAGATGAAATGGTGATTTACGAAGATCCGTCATCGTTGTGGCTATAGACGAACTACCCGAGAACGCCTTCTTTGATTTACATTGTATTTTTCAAAGTATACCTTTAAAACAGACAGGAAAATTTAATATCGAGGAGGGCAGGTGGTATAGGTCAGCAAGTACACAGACTGACTTAAGCATTAAATGTTTGTAAATGATGATCGTCCAGGTTAATAAAGTCCTGAGAAGGACTGTTTTGTTATTGTTGACTGACGTTTCGACAACCTTGGTAGTCACCTTCAGAGTCAGTGTCAAAATGACTCTGAAGATGACTACCGCTAAGGTATCGAAACGTCAATCAACAAACAATGCATCCTTCTCAGACACAATAACCTGGACGATCATCATTAAACGTTATTTTAATACTCCCGGGTTCAAACCATTTACTTTATTAAGCATTAAATGTTATGTACTGGAATACTTGAGTATGCTTCGAAACAGAGAAATGTCCTTTGAAAAACGCGTCGTGCAGTTTATAACATTCATACTTCCACATTAGTCAATATGTGTCGTAATGTATCCTAAAACATTTCGTAATTTAATGAAAAACGACTTCGCGTGACCTAAAGCATAACAAAGAGATAAGTATCTTCGCTGCTGCATGATTCCTTTCGATGAGAGAATGTAACCCTTGGCTAATCTCTTTTGATATTTGAAACGAACGTCAAGACATATTTGGCCATTTGTTTACGCTAATTTGTTCACCATATGGTGTTTCAACGACAATATTCAATTTAAAGTTTTGAAAAATAAAATTTAATGAAGAAAATATAAGGCATCGAGGATAATCTGACGTGTTTATCTTCGAGAGCTCTTCAAGTTAGGCTTGGCCGTTCTATTAAAAGCTTTGTTCTATTTTCTTTTCGGGCTCATTGCCAATCGCATCATAACACACCTCATAATCAATCGTAAAACGCTTACTCGTTCATTGATGGAAAGCCAAAACTCAACGAAGAAAAGGTCAGTAGATAGACGTATTGACAAAAACCCGAAGCTCTCTAGATTACAAATTTCTGCTTTTTGAGAGGTTTTAAGATCCTCTTTCATCGGCAGTAATTAATACTAAGTTAACAGTACAACCATTACCTTGAAAGCAAAGAGCAAAACCAACATAACGGTGGCAATGACATGCGTTGACAAACTGTTTACGACATACGCCACATCAGGATTGTGAAAGTTATCTAGAAAAAATTCTAAATAAAAGAGAATGTTGTCAAAACAATTCAACCTTTAATGCTATAACCAACAACTACAAACAATAACGACCTTATCTAACAACATTTGAGAAACTAACCTAGAAATTCCATGAGATAAATATATTGTGTAAATAATCATTCACAAGTTTTAACAATATTTTTGCTTGTAAAGCTGTGCGGGTTAACATCCACATGTAATAAGAACAATGTCGAACAAGGGTCTTGTAAAAACACAGAAGGATGACTTCACAAGGGTTTGAAATGTACAATAAACTGATATTTAAGGATGAAGACATTTTCTCCCATACCACATGAAGAACTTTACATTGAAAAAATAAGCCAAATACAAATTTGAGACATTCACTACATGCAATGTCAGATTAATATGTAACAAGTTCTCACATCTTTGACAAGGGTCTTGAAACAAATAGTATGTAAGTGTAAGTCAAAATTTGGTGAAGCTGTTCAGACACCTTATATCCTGAAAGAAGTAACACACAACACTTACTTTTTCAATAAAATCTTTGGCTTCAATACCAAACTTTCTATCATACACAACCAGATATTTTTCCATTGCTAATATGTGTATGCAACTCGGATATGGTATATCTGACAAGTTACAAAAATGTTGTTTGGCCTGTTTTAATCATTTCATTGCAGTAACATCTATTTTACATACCTTTTGAGGATCTAATTGTATATTATTAGGTAGGGCATCAACAAATTGCTTTCTATTGCATCATGAGCAGCACAATATCAACCATAGCCATCAAGCAATAGGTGGGATATCGATGTACAAATACAAATGAATTATGCTGAAGAAAAAATACATGCAGATTATAGCACCAAAAAGCGTGTGAGTAATATCATTTAGTTGGGTATATACCCAACATTGAAATATGGAAATAAAATTTGACATCACCATAATTGTTCTTTTGTTTGCATTATAATCATGAACAACAAAGGATTGCTGACATGATACATTTGATGCAAAGTCAAACTGTAACAATAGGCCAGTATAGTGGCCAGTGGGTGACAAATGACTCTGAAAGAGCAAGTACACAGTAATTATTAATGTTCACTGTTTCAAAAATATCTATTGTAATATATTTTTATGTTTGTTGAGCACATTTCTACCAGATGTTAATAAAGTTTTGCTAGACAGTGTTTCATGCATAAGCAATCAACAAGCATATTGTCAATATATAACATTAAAAACATGACTAGTGGTAAACAGTATAAAGTATAACTGTATATGTGAGAACTACTTGACTATGTTGACATGGTTGTTTGGGTTCCTCTGTAATAATGAGATAGATTGCTTGGTAAAGATATCTTCAGAGTCCTACAAATAAAGACCATTATTTAATTTAAAATGTGTACAGACTTTTAATAAGTGTTTAAATAATGCATGCCTTCTTTAAATTACTTCAAAATTTTTTAGTTATTTCTAGTGAAAGCAGTCCTACATATAACCACTAATGACTTTTCATGAAACAATATCAATATGTACATTAAAAACTTGTGTTTTGGTGGTTAACTCTTGGTGCTTGTCATAATTTTCAGCAATATCTTCACTTTGTTCATTCTACATATAAATTAAAAAAAACCCATAAACATAGCGTATTTTTATATCTACATAGTTTTACAATATATGTAAACTTACCAAATCCCCAAATTCATTTTCTTGTTCAAAAAATTGAGATTCATATGACACACTGCTATTCTATTAACATATATGACATTGTGATTAAAGGATGTAGAGAATCCAGACTTGAAATTGGAAAATGTGCTCCGAATAAGTGTTTTCCTTACACCACATTGTGGGCATAAATAAATTTGTACACATACTTTTGTTAATATAACTGTGGTAATAAAAATAAATTAATATGAAATTGTGCAACCAGAAACAATAAAAGAACACTTTAAAATTCCTACCGCATCATCTTTTGTGTTTCCTTTCCTCTCCGCGTTATTGTAATTTGACGGGAAATGGTTTTTATTCACTCTTACATCTTCTGCCTTTATAATTAGTCGATCTGTATTTCTAAACTAATATTTACAAATGCCCCAAGAGAATCTTTTTATTTTATTGGCTCTCTTCTACAAATACAATACCATGTCCGACTATTTGATTGCACGAATTTTGTAATTTGATCACGTTTTTGACACGTGTGTTTACGATGGGAAAGATGGATTGCTTAAATGTACCTAGTTGTTTAGACTACTTGAATCCATAGTTATCCTGTAATGTATACTCTTGTGAAACACCAATGAGCATACGTAGTGTGTCTTCTATAACCTCTATTCTTGTTCTCCACTTCATCATCTATCCATATTTGTTCTTTTTTAGTTCTCAGCTCAACACAACCCTTGTCTGAAGTTCCTAAAACCTTCATCTACCCAAGAAAGATCTCTGGTGGTAACATGTTAGGTATGGCTAGTGGTTGGTCATCGTCATTGAGCCTTGTGACACCAGTTCAGTATACGTTAATTGTCCTGAAGACGTTGAGGAGGTTGCTAGTAAAGCGTCACCTAAACCAGAAGTTAGTTTTCATGGTATGCTAACGGATTACGCAAACGTTGTTTGAAAGAAGTTCACATCAAATGGTTATGGTCTTGTTCCATCGTCTTCTGAGAAGGTTTCATGTTCATCCTGTATCTTTCACCAAAGTTACAAATATTGAGTTTTTTATGCTTTTTGAAATTGTCGTTTTTATGACTATTATTTTAGAGCATAGACATTGAAGAATCTTGTGGTAGTACAGGTATTTTCAACATTTTTGTTGAAAAATTCTCTAGTTTCAGTTCTTCGAAATTTCTCATCTTAATTTTCATCTTTACTTTAGAATCCTTTCGATACGAGAAATCGTCGGGATTTGAGGTACTTTATACGATATATTGAATTTAAGTTTTATAGCGTTAATAACTCTCATCTGTCCATCGTAACTTTGCTATGATTCTATGGATAAATTATGTTTTTGTATATAACAGATTATTGATGATCCTACTTCACCTGATGATCCTCACGCTCTTATTTCGCTATCTGGACTTTAACACAAGATCACGAATATGAGACGATAAAGACAAATTCCCGGTTACAAATACAGGCGCTGCGTCAAACCGTGGTTCACTAATGCCTTTGAAATCGGTAAAGTCCTTTTATTATTTTGCTTGTAAGCTTTCTTTACAACTGTAAGTTTTTACTCTCCTAAGACTATAGGCACGACCACAACTGATAATCGCCAGGTTGGTATAGTTTCGAGAAGGACTGTTTTTGTTGTTGTTGACTGACGTTTCGACAACCTTAGCGGTAGTCATCTTCAGAGTTTTTGACTCTGAAGATGACTACCGCTAAGGTTGTCGAAACGTCAGTGAACAACAACAAAAACAGTCCTTCTCAGGACTATACTAACCTGGACGATCTACATTTACAAACATGTAACGATACTCTCGGGTTCAAACCATTTACTTTGATAATCCCCAGTTTATCTATGGTGAAACTTGTTATAATTCCCATGTATTTTCTTACTCTCTGGAGACTAAATTTTGTATCCCTTTCTTCTTTCCTAGGCGAGGTTTTATTTCTGCTGTGGGGTGTTTGGCTTTGTATCCGTGTACGAAATGCTCCCTCGGCGTACAACGAGAGCAAGTACATCGCCTGGTGTATATATAACACTCTGTTTGTTAAGATCGTAGTTGGTCTTCTGAGGTAAGGCAAAATGTTTGCATCGGTGTTACTGTCATTTTCATGAAAGGTTGAATTGTTGGAATGTTATTAAACAAAAGAATGATAGCATATAATGCTATAACCAACAACTAAAACAATAACGACCTTATCTAACAACATTTGAGAATTAACCTTCCACTCCTCTTCCTTGTAAACGAGACAAGTCTACTCAAAAGCAGAAGGGCATAAAGGCTCTCTGCCTTTGAGTAGACTTGTCTCGTTAAGAAAGACCTCAAATGTTATTAAGTCGTTATTGTTTGTATTGGTTATAACATTAAAATTGTTTTGACAACATTCTCTTTTATTTAGAATTGTTCTAGATAACTTTCACAATCCTGATGTGGCGTATGTCGTAAACAGTTTGTCAACGCATGTCATTGCCACCGTTATGTTGGTTTTGCTCTTTGCTTTCAAGGTAATGGTTGTACTGTTAACTTAGTATTAATTACTGCCGATGAAGAGGATCTTAAAACCTCTCAAAAGCAGAAATTTGTAATCTAGAGAGCTTCGGGTTTTGTCAATACGTCTATCTACTGGACCTTTTCTTCGTTGAGTTTTGGCTTTCCATCAATGAACGAGTAAGCGTTTTACGATTGATTATGAAGTGTGTTATGATGCGATTGGCAATGAGCCCGAAAAGAAAATAGAACAAAAGCTTTTTAATAGAACGGCCAAGCCCAACTTGAAGAGCTCTCGAAGATAAACACGTCAGATTATCCTCGATGCCTTATATTTTCTTCATTAAATTTTATTTTCAAAACTTTAAATTGAATATTGTCGTTGAAACACCATATGGTGAACAAATTAGCGTAAACAAATGGCCAAATATGTCTTGGACGTTCGTTTCAAATATCAAAAGAGATTAGCCAAGGGTTACATTCTCTCATCGAAAGGAATCATGCAGCAGCGAAGATACTTATCTCTTTGTTATGCTTTAGGTCACGCGAAGTCGTTTTCATTAAATTACGAAATGTTTTAGGATACATTACGACACATATTGACTAATGTGGAAGTATGAATGTTATAAAACTGCACGACGCGTTTTTTCAAAGGACATTTCTCTGTTTCGAAGCATACTCAAGTATTCCAGTACATAACATTTAATGCTTAATAAAGTAAATGGTTTGAACCCGGGAGTATCGTTACACGTTTGTAAATGATGATCGTCAGGTTAATAAAGTCCTGAGAGGACTGTTTTGTTGTTGTTGACTGACGTTTCGACAACCTTAGCGGTAGTCATCTTCAGAGTCATTTTGACACTGACTCTGAAGGTGACTACCGCTAAGGTATCGAAACGTCAATCAACAGTCCTTCTCAGGACTTTATTCTGGACGATCATCATTTCTTAAGTCAGTCTGTGTACTTGCTGACCTATACCACCTGCCCTCCTCGATATTAAATTTTTCCTGTCTGTTTTAAAGGTATACTTCTTGAAAAATACAATGTAAATCAAAGAAGGCGTTCTCGGGTAGTTCGTCTATAGCCACAACGATGACGGATCTTCGTAAATCACCATTTCATCTCAACCGTTTGGAGGACGGTACTTTGGTGTGCGAAAACGATGAAGAGAAAAGCCGCGAGGGTCTGGAAACTGAGAATATACAACTGAGGGTAAGATGTTTTGGGAATACTGTTTGAGTACAGATTAAAACGAGGATTTTTCGAAGAATGTTCAAAGAAACAATGTCAATGGTTATTGTCTTAAATACAAAGAACGACTCTCCATTTGCAAAGTGGGTGACCTAGGTTTGAGGGTTAGGGGAGATTTGTCAGATCATCGCAGAGTTGCTAAAGAACGAGTCGATCGTGAGATGCGCCAGGGTCTGACGGGAAGGTATGGGGGAAATGAGTTGAACTTTGGTCCCTGTGATGGTATTCACGTCCAATTACGGTCTTTCAGTTTCTCAAAACTTGAAAATTGAATGTGTGCTCCTTGTGACAGCACATTATGCATTAAGCCATTTATAGGCGCACGTCAAACAACGTGTGAAATATGCTTTTGTTAAACAACTGCCAAAATCTCAACTCACGCAACACGCGAAAGTGATCATTATCACTTGTAGTTGATTATTATCCCCAATTTACAGAGATTATCATCTTCAATATAGAGTAATTATCCTCAATTAAAACCATTGAAATTGTAGCAAAGAATCCGTTAACACTTATGAAATAAGCCGATTTGATGTTCAATTAATGACATTCCTATATTAAAATCATTATCCTTACACTTTTCACAGGAGGAAATACGTGATTTGACTGCGAAACTTGCAGCATGTGAATACAAACAACAACGAGCAGAGACGACAACAAGGAAGTCCACAAGAAAACAGCTACATTTCCACGAGTAGCGAGACTCGTCACTCAGATTCAACAGCGAGACGGAGAGCGCTCAGGGTCGAGAGTCGGAATCTCCCGATAAAATTGGTCAAAAGGTGTCGAACGTTGCCGACAGCTTGACAAGCAACAGTAGCGTGTTCACCCGCGAGGAAAGAGGTGGAAGTTTAATAGAAGATATTAAAACGCTGATCGTTTTATCGCCCTACCAAACGGTAGTAGCGTTTCCGATGAAGAAACTTTAACGGTCATGTCAAACGTTTCTGTTGAATCCTCGTGATATTGAAAAGATTCTTGGAGGAATATGGCCGTGTGTTCTACTGAAGAGAATATTTATGGATCCTGTTTCAGGAAAGATGAGATTTGACAATGAACTGTGGTACAACTTGACTACCACGAAGATGTTTCCACATAAAGATTAACTCCTACGAGAAGAAAGTTAATTATAAACGATCGAATCGACTTACTAAACCTTTCCCACAATAAATATTCAAACGCAAAAAACGACATGCATTTCGTTAAGAAAATGTGAAACATTTTATGCTTATCTCTGATTTTATGACGTTTTCGTCGCTAATGACGTAATTTGACGCTATGACGTAATTTGATCGCAGTCAAGTCTGTACTTATACACTTTACACAATGAGCATTGCAATAAATATTTTACATGAAGTACGCAGGGACATAAGCGAGGCTAATCGAAATCTTTACACCTGCATGGCAAATTTTTAGCAAAATTATTCGGAATTATTTCGATTGTTTTGCAGTTAATGAACACAAAAATATTTGCATAGCAGGAATAATGTCGATATTACACAGCGCTATAGATTTTATTTAATTTAAATTAATGTCGTTCGTAAAAGCCAAAACATTAAATTTGTAATATAGAAAATAGATTTAATTAAGTGAAAAAAAAGATAAAAGTTTAATTGAAGCTGTACTTTTCTATCTTTTGTGTGGATTTGAATTTTTCTTATCTCCCTCTCCCCGACATAACTAACGTACCTCAACATTTGCAAGGATTACCGCAGGACATAAAGTTTTCCCATAAATAGAGAGAGATCGGCATCCTGCTCGGGCAAGGTAAACATTTCCATCTGACAATCCCGAAACACGACCATCGCTCATCCTGAAGTATTTGAAATAGAAAGGAAACACCGTCACATGTTCGGCCGCTGGTTCATAAGAACCTGGGCTCGTAAGTAAGATCACCATAAAGGATCTTGTTGAACAACCGTCACAAACTTGCAGAGAAGAAAAGGAGATCTTACCTTATAAATTTCAGGAGCAATAGCTGATAACCAAATACCCATAGAGACATCCTCCCCTTTACACAAGAAAGAAAAACATGTGTCAATATCTAGTACTCTGAGAACTACATCTTTACACATCAAGAGGTCACTTTCAACATTGTAATCTCGTCGTGGTTTTCTATCATATACCTGATAACGTTTTAGAGATTTCTCGTTTTTTGCCAGCCAGTGAACAATATCCGAAGATATAATGCTGCCCGCACCGCAGGCAAATGTCGGATAAGCCACTCCCGGATAATCAGGCTCGGCCCATTTTCCCTGTCTCTCGATCAACCAATCAGTACGAAAGCTGTAAATATGAAGAAGCAATTGCATTTAGAAGCAATAACTACAACTCATATTCTCATACCTTATTTATAGTTTAGTCGCATGGAAAACGCTAATTCGTATGTTTGCAATCTCGTTTCTGTTTTACTTGAAAAATATTATAAATTTGGCAATTCCTAATGCCCAAAACATGATATCTCAAAAGGATTTTCACTATGTCAATAAAATCTTTAGAATGGACTCAGTATAAAGTAGATGGTTTGAACCCGGGAGTATCGTTACATGTTTGTAGATGTACATCGTCCAGGTTAGTAGAGTCCTGAGAAGTGTTGTTGCTGTTGGTGTTGACTAACATTTCGACAATCTTAGCAGTAGTATTTTGACTCTGAAGATGACTACCGCTAAGGTTGTCGAAACTTCAGTCAACATCAACACCAACAGTCCTTCTCAGGACTCTACTAACCTGGACGATCTATCTACAACACATACCAGAATATTGTGTACTGACGGAGTTGAGCTAAACTCACCTTCCCCACCACAATTTAGACGTGTTTTTTAAATTATGACTTTCCATTTCCTAAAAATATCAAATATTTCTTCAGTCGTGAAGTTCTTCGGTACACTATTAAAGATATAAAGCTTAATTAAAGACACCCTTACAAATCGCTTGATTGAGTAAAATCTTTAGATTGAGTCAAAAATCATCTGTGCAGCTTGTATACTTCCGGAGGTAATTAATGTTGAAATCGACTCTATACTGAGCATGCGCAATTTCTATTTCCTCGTGCTTTTATTGTAGAGACTCGGGACGAGGCTCATTCCAAAGCTCTCAATGAGAGGTCTGGGATGGTGTAAAATCATCTCCACAGCATGGTTTAAGAGTGGCGTAAGGGTGTTTTAAGGGTGGTTTAAGGGTAGAGTAAGGATGTTTTAAGGGTAGCGTAAAATGTTTTAAGGGAGTTTTAAGGGTAGCTTCAGCGTGGTTTAAAGGTGGTCCAAGGCTTTAAGTTACGCTTCGCTACCCTAGACTACGGTTAAACCACCCTTAAACTACCCTTAAACCCCTCTAAAACCACATCTAAACCATTTTAAAAACCACGCTTAAGCCACCAGATTGATATACTCCAAAATCCCAAGATACATCTACGTACTCCAAAATCCCAAGATACCTCTACATACTCCCAACTCCCAAGTTACCTCTACGTACTCCCAACTCCCAAGTTACCTCTACGTACTCCCAACTCCCAAGTTACCTCTACGTACTCCCAACTCCCAAGTTACCTCTACGTACTCCCAACTCCCAAGTTACCTCTACGTACTCCCAACTCCCAAGTTACCTCTACGTACTCCCAACTCCCAAGTTACCTCTACGTACTCCCAACTCCCAAGTTACCTCTACGTACTCCCAACTCCCAAGATACCAACACGTATTTTCTATTATTTATTGAAGAGCTTTCACAAACCTGTAAGATGGTCTCCAGGTTAACAAAACAATCATCGTCAGTTTTCATTACAAAGGAAAAACTTAAAGTCGCCGAGCCTATTTAAAAGAAAAGCCGACATGAAGCAAGATCAATATGACATATGACGACTGATGTCGTAGGTAAGAGATACTGGCGAGATGAATTATACACTAATGCAAGTTATTTGGGCAAAATAATGTTTAAAGTTGATTTGAGACTGTCCACTTATCGCCAGAAATTTCACAGTGGCATGAAAAATATAAAAGTCTCAGACACTCTCTTACCACGAGAAAAACTGAAGCAACTGGGATGGAAGATTTCTGTAAACATCGACATTTGAAACAAAAGAATATCAGAAATAGTTCTGCTTTCTTTAAGTAAACGTTCATTCTCATCGTCTTTCAATCGCTGCCACTCCGACATTCGAGTTTCTTCTTCCTCTTTTGTCACGACTCTCTTCCCCGGAGAATCTACGGAGGATTGCAAGTTGCTACAGACTTTAAAGAAATTTATTCATAAAGCATTGTACCATCTTTTCTTTTAATATTTGGTGAGGGAATATTAGTGTTTGGCACTAGGCTTTAAACTTCATATGAGTCTGCACAGTCCATTTGACAAATTTTTCAATTTCATAGTCATGGTAACGACAAGCTGGATCTATTTTCATCGCTTTCTGAGTGATTAAATCGTTTGGTCACATAAATGTACGCAAAATCATCTGAGCATGCGCAGTACGCTTGGAAATGCGCAGTACAAGCAAAGTCTATTTGACCAATTGTCTGAGTAAACGATCATGGAAATGACCAACTGCATTTATTAGAATCAATTAGGGAGTAGATAACTTGCTTACTAGCAAATTATTAAAGATATCAACTGAGCATGCGCAGTTCATTGACAGTTTTGACTTCATAGTTATGGCAACGACCAGCTGCATCTACAAGCACCGAATTTGAAGTAAATAGCATGCTTAGTAACAATTAAATGGATAAATCATCTGCGCATGCGCAGGAGCATGCGCAGTACATTCGACCAATTGTTTATAGTCATGGCAACGACTAACTATATGTACTTGCACTATATTTGTGGCAATTAGCTCACTTAGTCGCAAATTATCAAAGAAATCATCTGGGCATGCGCAGTAGTGACTTTAATAATACCGCAACTTTCGTAAGCCTCTGAATTTTTGTATATATATATAAAGCCAATATTAGGTATAGTAGATGTCAACTAGCAGTGGAAGCTGGGTGCGATATGTATGCAGTGGCTTAGGGGTCCAGACGTTTCGGGTCGCGACCGCACTCTCCCTGCGTACCCCGAGCAAAGCCTATCGCAGGTGATCTCGGGGTCTGATGGGCGGAAGCTTGCTATTGCATCTCCCAAGTAGGATAGCGTGGAGGGGCCGAAATCTCCTACCGAAACGTTAACATGCGGCGTTCTAGTGCCTCGGCTTAAGCAGGTATCGGGAAGCATGGACCGAAAACGGGGTTTTTTGCTTTTGAATTTAATCTTTTTTTGTATAAAAAGAAACTAGAACATTCAAGGATATTGCAAAAGTTAAAAAAAATTCCGCCTTAATGACTTATAATTTAAACCAACTGTAAATATGTTTATACGCTTTTTACATGTTAACTTTTACAAGGTAACTATCTCATAACTCTCTCGTGATGAACGAGAGCCTCCTTATACAATATAACTTACATATCATGAACAAAAGTATCCATGAGCTTCATGGAAAAAATGGATTATCTAATTCTTATAATAGATTTTACAAAGTTAGCATTTAATAAGCCAAGCCATTTGTATCGTTTAAATTATACCCTTATGTCATAAATTCATTGTGAATAATAACTTTCTTTTACCTTATTTTCACGGTTCAATCTAGAAAGTAACTTTACATTTCGAGTGATTTTACGGTTAAACAGTTAACTTTTCAGTTCATATGACTTCTTTTGATCGCATAGAGACAGCCATCCAATTTATTACGTACATGCATGTGTACTTTGCACTTCATTGCAAGAAACCACCCTACCAACAAATATCCAAATCCGATTTTAGCAGCATCGTACCCGAGAAAAGCCTATCGCAGGGGTCTGATGGGCAGAAGCTTGCTATTGACATCCCAAAGTAATAGGGATATTTGCCACCTTTCAATTAATAGGATATCGAAATGGACCGAAAACGGGATTTTTTGTTTTCAAAATTTTCTCTTCTCTTAAAGAGTAAACAAAATTAAAAATTCTCGCAAGCTTCCAACGGAAAAGACTCACAGCTTATAAGGCTTTGGGGCAATGCGTGGGCTACAACAGGAGAGGCATTCTTCATTAAAATTAAACTAACATTGAGAAGAGGCTTCCTCCCAAACAAATGCTAGCAACAAATCCACTTTACTGCTGAGGATATTTTGTTTCTTTTTCAATGTGCGCAGAAAAAAATCCAGTTAAGAGCAACTGTTGCATCAAATTTCTCGTTGTTAACCGCGAAAACGAAGAAGTCAGTACGTACGTAATGTAGCATAAAAACACCTACTGTAAAGTCGATACATGAACGTTCCAGCCCCATCCACGCATCTAGCATCAGGAATTGATTCCTCGACTTCGGGAAAGACGGCGAACTCGTTGTTAATCCGTCTTATCTAGGAAAAAAGAGTAGGTTTGGGTTAGTATTCACCATAGATTTGTAACTGTAGCCAACAAAATATAAAATTATTTAACATTGAATTGGAAAACCCTTTATATACGTTCTAGTAGATTAGTAATGCTTGCAACATCGATTAAGTAACCAATTGTTTATTAATACACATGAATTTGCTACATCAAAAGCGAAATAAAGCCTCGTGCTCAAGAATCTGTTGTAAAATAAACAATAAATATCCATTGAAAACTTGTATTTAGCAATATCGTAAAATGTCAATAATTTAGTCCAAATATCGATAAGAGGGCACCGAAGAAAAACATTTATTACTGGATAGTAATTCTTTCGGAGAAAATCGCTTCACTTGCTCTAAATCATAACAATTCACCTCCAATTGGCTATGACATAAAACTTCTTTATGGTTTTATACCTTGTGTACATTGAAATAATCCTCTCCGTTTTCAATGTTGGCAAAATACTCGCATTTTCTGCATCGAGAACTTGAACATTTTACGTTTTCAGACACGACGCTGCCCTTGAAGTCCTATAATGGCATTTGAAACGTACCAAATGTTCAAACTCTATAGAAAAGTTCAAAGTCATAATTAACTTTGTGACTAAGCTTCAATATCTTACATGTTTGTGCATGTAGATCGTCCAGGTCAGTAGAGTCCTGAGAAGGACTGTTGGTGTTGATGTTGACTGACGTTTCGACAACTTTAGTGGTAGTTATCTTCAGAGTCAAGTGAGGAGTAAACGTCAGGTTTGCCATATTTGTTATCTGCTTGCAGACGTTTACTCCTCACTCGACTTTGAAGATGACAACCACTAAGGTTGTCGAAACATCAGTCAACATCAACACCAACAGCCCTTCTCAGCACTCTACTAACCTGTACAAACATGATAACGATACTCCCGAGCTCAAACAATTCACTTGAATATTTTGATAAATTATCGACTTGTTACTCACCTTTGGCAAAATAAAGTTTTCAATTGCTTTAAACGACGAACCGTTTTCTGTTGTACCAGGGTCTTGGAAAGAGAAATAAACAGATATAATTTCGCTCTGAAACGAGATAAAACAATTTAGATCAAATAACTTGTAAACGGTATTTATAAACTGCATGGTTTAACCTTAGTTGTTCTGTCGTAGAGTCGAACAGAAGAGTTTCTTTTTGAATTCAACGATGATAAAGAGATGCCAAGACGAGTCAAAATAATGGGACGGATGATCTGTATAAAAATAATTGTATTGTATTGCCAACCCAAATTTTTACTCCTGAAGCCAAACAGACACTTTATGCAACAGGTTTCAGACTTTGTTCAGAAGGTCCCAAAAGTTCAATGCAACAGTGTCCGTTGAGCAGTTCTTAATGGCTACAAATAACTAACTAATACTCACATCAAAGTCCCATCCGATAGATCCACTGTGAAAATATCTCAAATTTTCTTCATTTGGTCGTTTGTAAGCAATTACTTCATTTTCGTAGTCTAAACATCAATATGACAAACATATAAACACGTTTGATCATGCACTCGTTCCAGCCTCTATGACGGTAAAATCTCCATGAGAGATAGCAACACATATTTCCATCAAGACTGTCTGATCTTCGCTACAAATACATACAGCAATGATAAATTCGCAGCAGTGGCTGATTAATAATTACGGAGCATGTAGGCTAAGGCAAAATTACGAGGCCTGGTGATATTTAATCCCTCCACTAAGCTCAGTCTCTTGACAACGTTTGCGTTCTTTACGTTCCTTTGCCTTTGCATTTCCTAGCTTGCGTTTGTAACACATAGTGTGAACGATACAAAAGAAATTAATAGTTCAAAATAAACTTTAAAAATTATCAAAACAGTCTGCAGAAATAGGGAAATCCTCGTCAGTTCTTAGCCTCGCGCATTTAAACACTAGATGGTACGAAAGTCTTTTTCGTCGATATTCAATCGCACGTACGGTTTTCAACATCATAAATGGTCTAAAAACGGCACTTTTAGCAAGTTCCAAGCAGCAAAAAGTAAAAACTAACAATGTCTTGGTTTACTTTTCGTAATGAGTAATCCGCAACTGATTAACTTTAAATATCACATGTATAGTAGGTTATGTTCGACGTTTGTAAATATGTGCCTCGTTAGTTTATCGCCTGCATCGAGATTCCAACGTCATATTGTTTTATATCGGCTTTTCCAGGCGCCAAACCTCACAACTATCAAATCAAAAGTAAATTTTCAAACTTGGAGATTCGATTTTCTTTCTTTCGCATTTGTAAGGATCAATCCTGAACTCTGGAGGAACGTAACATGCATTATTTGAAACGATGAACTTCACCAACACTCTAAAACAACAATGGAATAGTAACCAACACTTTATTTTTTCAGATTTAGTCATTCTACTTAGTTATATCACTGGTACAATTTTTTTTTTGCGACAGAAACGGTTGTTGGGAACTCTGGCCAAGAAAACCACAGCAAAGAAAGGGATATTTTAGGCAAGTGTACCGTGAACCGTTATTTCTTGTGAATATTCGAGTTTAGCCTCAATACAATGACGTTAGTCAACACAGTTAAATTTATCATATGACAAAGAATGCAGTTTGCATGAGTTGTTCTTGTGTAGAACAAAACTGATAAACGAAACTAAAGACCTTGCTGTTGGTATATTCAATAGGCCATCATAGAAACGCACAACGCTACACTACTTAAAGAATGGCGGTCAGCTAAAATGTCCAATTCGATTCTACGTAGATCTGACAATTGCTAAAACGTTACTCATATCGGTAATCAGATTAGTTTACCAAACATTTCACTGGTATTGAAGACATACGTTGTAAACGTTCTCTGGTATTGAAGAAATACGTTGTAAACGTTCTCTGGTATTGAAGAAATACTTTGTAAACGTTCTCTGGTATTGAAGAAATACGTTGTAAACGTTCTCTGGTATTGAAGACATACGTTGTAAACGTTCTCTGGTATTGAAGAAATACGTTGTAAACGTTCTCTGGTATTGAAGAAATACGTTGTAAACGTTCTCTGGTATTGAAGAAATACGTTGTAAACGTTCTCTGGTATTGAAGAAATACGTTGTAAACGTTCTCTGGTATTGAAGAAATACGTTGTAAACGTTCTCTGGTATTGAAGAAATACGTTGTAAACGTTCTCTGGTATTGAAGAAATACGTTGTAAACGTTCTCTGGTATTGAAGAAATACGTTGTAAACGTTCTCTGGTATTGAAGAAATACGTTGTAAACGTTCTCTGGTATTGAAGAAATACGTTGTAAACGTTCTCTGGTATTGAAGAAATACGTTGTAAACGTTCTCTGGTATTGAAGAAATACGTTGTAAACGTTCTCTGGTATTGAAGAAATACGTTGTAAACGTTCTCTGGTATTGAAGAAATACGTTGTAAACGTTCTCTGGTATTGAAGAAATACGTTGTAAACGTTCTCTGGTATTGAAGAAATACGTTGTAAACGTTCTCTGGTATTGAAGAAATACGTTGTAAACGTTCTCTGGTATTGAAGAAATACGTTGTAAACGTTCTCTGGTATTGAAGAAATACGTTGTAAACGTTCTCTGGTATTGAAGAAATACGTTGTAAACGTTCTCTGGTATTGAAGAAATACGTTGTAAACGTTCTCTGGTATTGAAGAAATACGTTGTAAACGTTCTCTGGTATTGAAGAAATACGTTGTAAACGTTCTCTGGTATTGAAGAAATACGTTGTAAACGTTCTCTGGTATTGAAGAAATACGTTGTAAACGTTCTCTGGTATTGAAGAAATACGTTGTAAACGTTCTCTGGTATTGAAGAAATACGTTGTAAACGTTCTCTGGTATTGAAGAAATACGTTGTAAACGTTCTCTGGTATTGAAGAAATACGTTGTAAACGTTCTCTGGTATTGAAGAAATACGTTGTAAACGTTCTCTGGTATTGAAGAAATACGTTGTAAACGTTCTCTGGTATTGAAGAAATACGTTGTAAACGTTCTCTGGTATTGAAGAAATACGTTGTAAACGTTCTCTGGTATTGAAGAAATACGTTGTAAACGTTCTCTGGTATTGAAGAAATACGTTGTAAACGTTCTCTGGTATTGAAGAAATACGTTGTAAACGTTCTCTGGTATTGAAGAAATACGTTGTAAACGTTCTCTGGTATTGAAGAAATACGTTGTAAACGTTCTCTGGTATTGAAGAAATACGTTGTAAACGTTCTCTGGTATTGAAGAAATACGTTGTAAACGTTCTCTGGTATTGAAGAAATACGTTGTAAACGTTCTCTGGTATTGAAGAAATACGTTGTAAACGTTCTCTGGTATTGAAGAAATACGTTGTAAACGTTCTCTGGTATTGAAGAAATACGTTGTAAACGTTCTCTGGTATTGAAGAAATACGTTGTAAACGTTCTCTGGTATTGAAGAAATACGTTGTAAACGTTCTCTGGTATTGAAGAAATACGTTGTAAACGTTCTCTGGTATTGAAGAAATACGTTGTAAACGTTCTCTGGTATTGAAAAATACGTTGTAAACGTTCTCTGGTATTGAAGAAATACGTTGTAAACGTTCTCTGGTATTGAAGAAATACGTTGTAAACGTTCTCTGGTATTGAAGAAATACGTTGTAAACGTTCTCTGGTATTGAAGAAATACGTTGTAAACGTTCTCTGGTATTGAAAAATACGTTGTAAACGTTCTCTGGTATTGAAGAAATACGTTGTAAACGTTCTCTGGTATTGAAGAAATACGTTGTAAACGTTCTCTGGTATTGAAGAAATACGTTGTAAACGTTCTCTGGTATTGAAGAAATACTTTGTAAACGTTCTCTGGTATTGAAGAAATACGTTGTAAACGTTCTCTGGTATTAAAGAAATTCGTTGTAAACGCGACAGGCCAATTTGAAACACTGTTCTACACTTTACCTTCACAAATATTGTGTTTGCTGTAACGTTTCACACGCTAAGTAGCTCTAATTGAATACAAAAAACACTACAGCTACCCTCAAGAAAATTCAGTGTTTTCCCTGTGCTTACCTTTTATTTAGAGATGAATGTCGTCTTGCATAGCCAACCCATGATTCACGTAAACTTTGCCTCAAATCAAAGTTGCCGCGCGATGAAAGTATTCCAACGACCAAATCATAATGAGAATAATTCTCTGCTGTCAAGAACATTATTTTAAAACATTAAAGAAAACAAGTGGAAACACAAATACAAAAATGGACTATGTAGGATAAAGTTTTTAGATAACATGGTTAAATAACACTAGCGAAAGTTTCAATAAAAGATCACTCTTGATGAAAACATAAGACTGGAGTATATAAGGACTCAAGATTCAACATCAGATCACTCCTGATGAAAACATAAGACTGGAGTATATAAGGACTCAAGATTCAACATCAGATCACTCCTGATGAAGACACTAGACTGGAGTATATAAGGACTCAAGATTCAACATCAGATCACTCCAGATGAAGACATTAGTCTGGAGTATATAAGGACTCAAGATTCAACATCAGATCACTCCTGATGAAGACACTAGACTGGAGTATATAACGACTCAAGATTCAACATCAGATCACTCCTGATGAAAACATAAGACTGGAGTATATAAGGACTCAAGTTTCAACATCAGATCACTCCTGATGAAGACACTAGACTGGAGTATATAAGGACTCAAGTTTCAACATCAGATCACTCCTGATGAAGACACTAGACTGGAGTATATAAGGACTCAAGATTCAACATCAGATCACTCCTGATGAAGACACTAGACTGGAGTATATAAGGACTCAATTTCAACATCAGATCACTCCTGATGAAGACACTAGACTGGAGTATATAAGGACTCAAGATTCAACATCAGATCACTCCTGATGAAAACATAAGACTGGAGTATATAAGGACTCAAGATTCAACATCAGATCACTCCTGATGAAGACACTAGACTGGAGTATATAAGGACTCAAGATTCAACATCAGATCACTCCTGATGAAAACATAAGACTGGAGTATATAAGGACTCAAGTTTCAACATCAGATCACTCCTGATGAAGACACTAGACTGGAGTATATAAGGACTCAAGTTTCAACATCAGATCACTCTGATGAAGACACTAGACTGGAGTATATAAGGACTCAAGATTCAACATCAGATCACTCCTGATGAAAACATAAGACTGGAGTATATAAGGACTCAAGTTTCAACATCAGATCACTCCTGATGAAGACACTAGACTGGAGTATATAAGGACTCAAGTTTCAACATCAGATCACTCCTGATGAAGACACTAGACTGGAGTATATAAGGACTCAAGATTCAACATCAGATCACTCCTGATGAAAACATAAGACTGGAGTATATGACTCAAGTTTCAACATCAGATCACTCCAGATGAAGACACTAGACTGGAGTATATAAGGACTAAAGTTTCAACATCAGATCACTCCTGATGAAGACACTAGACTGGAGTATATAAGGACTCAAGATTCAACATCAGATCACTCCTGATGAAAACACTAGACTGGAGTATATAAGGACTCAAGTTTCAACATCAGATCACTCCTGATGAAGACACTAGACTGGAGTATATAAGGACTCAAGTTTCAACATCAGATCACTCCTGATGAAGACACTAGACTGGAGTATATAAGGACTCAAGATTCAACATCAGATCACTCCTGATGAAAACATAAGACTGGAGTATATAAGGACTCAAGATTCAACATCAGATCACTCCTGATGAAAACATAAGACTATATAAGGACTCAAGTTTCAACATCAGATCACTCCTGATGAAGACACTAGACTGGAGTATATAAAGACTCAAGTTTCAACATCAGATCACTCCTGATGAAGACACTACGCTAGAGTATATGTAAACTCATCTTTCAAAACATATCGTTTATACTCAAGATATTAGATAGACGTACGACAATCTATAATGTCATATAAATCACGATAAAAATCTGGTCCCCGGAGTCGACATGCTATCAGGCAGGCAACAAACAAAGATGAGATAGCTGTACAAACCTGTATTATCGCAGCAAAGCTTCAAATCTTTAACAACAAGATGATTATAGATGTATAACACGAAAATAGCGATCAATATTAGTAAAGTTGGCTTAAGGATGTCATTTAATGTAAACATAAGTTGAAATTAAACAGTTACAATTAACTATAGCGTATAAATATCTTTCCTATGTAAAATAATCTATACATTATCCTCAATAACGAACTATACACATTGTTGCATTTTAATATATACGAACTTTGACCTCGGGTGTGTTGCGGAAACGTCATGTAAGGAGTCTTAAAGCATCAATATAAATTAGCAAACTTTGTGATCTATGTTACTTATTGAACTTAAATTGAGCAATACAAAAATCTTAATCTTCAACAAAACATATCCAAAATATTACTATGAATGTATAAAAAGTATACAATCGCTAAAAAGATCACGTTTGCACGCTTTTTTCTTCACCAACTGAGCAAAGATTCTCTTTTTCTTTGAACTGCTTGTCGACAACCATTGAAAGATTATTCAAAAACTCTTCTAAGGTTATCGTTTGCGCCTATTACGTAGGTTTGAGGGACAATATAAGTACATGCATGTACAACAAAGAACACGGGTGAAGGCTTTAATTCGTATTACTTACTTTCGAATACAGCGCATGTGCAAGGAATGGTAGTTTACGAAGAGTTCGACCACTTAGTTGATAACTTTTTCTAAACAAGAAAATGAGAGAAAGAATACTTCGTAGGTTTATCACAGTGAGACGCTTGACTGCTCCTTGCAAGTTCAAGAAGGAGAAGGGCCTCCCAAAGAAACCTAACCAAAAGTCAACCAATATTCGTGATTATTTGAGAGTGGTCCATTACTTGATAACTACTGACTACGATAACAAAGAAAAAACATCTTTACGCCTTAAATGTAGATGTAATACAAAGTTAAATTTTATTTATGTTGCAAGTATTAAGACGGTATATTTTAAACCTCAGTCCTAAATTATTTGAGAACTCATCTGAACATGCACAAACAACTCAACAAACTGTTCGAGTTTACAATCATGGCAATGACAAACAGAACAAGCTTGCATCCTTCTGTGGTTCACTTGGTCACATATTGGGAAATCATAAATTTCAATTATAATGAGGAATTTAGTCATTTAACAAATTTTTCATATTCATAGTGATGGCAACAACAAGCTGGACCTATTTTCATCACTTACTGAGTAATTAATCGCTTGGTCACAAAATATAAGAAGATCATCTGAGCATGCGCAGTACGCTTGGCATGCGCAGCACGCTCAAGCATGCAAAGTCCACTTGACCAATTGTCCGAGTTGATAGTCATGGAAACGACCAACTACATTTACTAGCATCAATTAGGGAGTATATAACTTGCTTATTAACAAACTATTAAAGATCTCAACTGAGCATGCGCAGTTAAATTGATTGGCTGCCAATGTTCATGGTCATGGCAACGACCAATTGCATCTACTAGCCCCGATTTTGAAGTAAATAGCATGTTTAGTAACAATTTAATGGAGAAATCATCTGCGCATGCGCTCGAGCATGCGCAGCCCACTCGACTAATTGTTTATAGTCATGGCAACGACTAACTAGATGTACTTGCACTACATCTGGGGCAATTATCCCACTTAATCGCAAATTATCAAAGAAATTATCTGGGCATGCGCAGTTGTGACTTTAATAATACCACAAATTTCGTAAGCCTCTAAATTTTGTATATATAAATATAAATCTATAGCTTCATATAGTAGATGTCAACTAGCAGTGGAAGCTGGGTGCGATATAGTATGCAGTGGCTTAGGGGTCCACACTTCGGTGGCGACCGCACTCTCCCTGCGTACCCCGAGCAAAGCCTATCGCAGGTGATCTCGGGGTCTGATGGGCGGAAGCTTGCTATTGCATCTCCCAAGTAGGATAGCGTGGAGGGGCCGAAATCTGCTACCGAAACGTTAACATGCCGCGTTTTAGTGCCTTACGCTTAAGAAGGTATCGGGAAGCATGGACCGAAAACGGGGTTTTTTCAAAATTTGTCTTTTTTCTTTACAAGAATTCTTCTCATAAAAGAAACTAGAACATACTGCCAGGGTTCAGACAACTTCTGAAAATCCCCCGGGCGTTGTTTCGTTTTCTTTGTAAAACGAGAAGAATACTAACTTGAAAACATGAAGACTGGGTGACATAATATTTACCATAAACTAAGACAAGAAATGTTTATTTTACTCTGTGACATCACTTTACTTTAAAGTGAAAGGTTTGAACATGGGAGTATCGTTACATGTTTGTAGATGTAGATCGTCCAGGTTAGTAAAGTCCTGAAAAGAACTGTTGTTGTGGATTCTGACTCTAAAGATGACTACCGCTAAGGTTGTTAAGAAGTCAGTCAACATCAACATCAACAGTCCTTCGCAGGACACCACTAACCTCGACGATCTACATCTACAAACATCTACTTCACTCTCGGCTATCTTCTTTAATTCAAGACTACAGTGTGTTACATCGTTGTCGACAAAGCTACAATGGAAAATAGGGAAAAAAGTTGTACATCGGAAAAGAAAACCATGTCATCAACATAGAAGTGAACAAAAATTTCTAACAAACACCGTCAATTTTCGTCAAAATAAAATTTCGTGTATTTTTCAGTTGTACCTTAAATCCAAAATTTGAGTGGCTGGTGATATGATACTGGTCTGTGATGAAACGGTGAACATTAATTTTGATTATTAAAAATTATCTACAATGCAATCGTTTGCAATCAATTTCTATATAGCTGCACACCTCTCTATTTAAGCAACATGTTTGTATAACTTGCACAAACGACTATATTGTGGTATGGAAATAAAGCAGTAGACGTAAAGGTACAAAGTACTGAGAAGAGGGGATATACTTCACGAGGCAAATTGTTGTTTTATATTGTATATGATGACAGGTTGCGGTAAGCCATTTCGGCGTTCCTTTTGGCCAGAAAACATAATTGACCGGCAGCCATTTCGTTGATCACGTGCACAAGAAGACATAAGTTACATACAAACAAATGGTAAATTTTGTAAATAGCTTTGGCTGATGGCGGACCAATATACTGTTTGATGTCGGCTCTGTGGGCGAACAAATAGCGAAGTTAGATGAGAAAGTGAATTAAAAAACTTTCGAGTCACAAACATATTTTCAACCTGTCCACGAACGCAACGTCTATGGCTCTAGTTATGTTCGATGTTGTCAATATAATTACATTAGGATGTCTGAAATAAGAAGAAAACAACATTGGGGAAGACTAGGTTTAGCAAATAAACGCATAAATGTAGTTCAAATCAAGACTTCTGTAAATACGTAATTGATAGATAATAAGTATTTGACTGAGCAAAGTTGTCATCAAGCAAGTTTGTTCATGTCATATAAATATTTTCGTGCTTTTACTCCCTGTAAAAGCGACAACATTGTAGAGAAAGAAATAATACATAGTTCTAAAGATAGCAAATACCATAGTGAATGGTAAATGTAATATAATAAGGAAGATTGTTTTACTCTTGAACACAATACATAGAGACACATATATATAAGGATTTCCGGTTGTATTTCATAGTTGATACATCTTGACTTACAATTCACTGACTGACAACGTCAATCAAAACATGAACGACTTATTATATAGAATGTAAACGGTCCATATAAAACATCCGTTTCCCAAAAAATTAATGCCATTTCCAACCACCCAATCTTCCTCCAAGAATGAACAAACAGTAAGTTCTTATTAATTGTATTCATACAAATTCTATTAGTTTACATCGAAGTTTCGAATACTTGGCTATCATTTGAAAAATTGTTTTGATTTAGTCAAATTTTATATTACATACGTATGATCTTATTTTAATTACAAAAAATTTCTATGAGAATATCAAGTGTACGCTGCTTGAAATTTTGTGCAAGTTATTTCAAAATAGGTGGCAGAAGTCTCTTTTGGAATACTTGAATTTCTTTTGAAATTCTTCACTAAATTAGAGAGCGAGGGAACTCTCTAGTTTAGTTAGAATATTGTAAAAATCTTTTATGTGCATGTTTTTGTGTTTTGTGCATGTTTATGATCATCTGCAAACACCGAAGAATGGAAGTCGAAAATTTTGTCTTCTCGAAACATGCCTTCTTTAAATTTTAATATCTTCTCCAAAAATAAGTAATAAATATTGGTTTAACTTACTGCAAGAAGCGTTGCTTGACAATGACAGGTTACGGCAATGTGGTTCTGAAAGAAATTGAAGCAAAGAAGATTTGATGAACGATACAAACAAATACATGCTTACATCTCTGTTCTGCTATTCTTGATCTTATCGACCTCTGCATCTGAAAAATACTGAGGAAAAAGTTGCAGTATGATGAAGCAAACAAGCAAACAACTGACAAACAAACACATACCGCAGTCTCAATCTTCATCGTTCAGTGCCATGAATAACTGTAAGAATAATGTTAAAATACAATCATGACGAACTGTAGGAGCATATAAATTTTCAAAAACCAGTGTTTGCAGACGATCTGTCGAAATTTCTATCAAAACTGGTACTTTACGATGATTTCCAGAAAACAGCTGTAAACTGCAAACATTTACAGGAAAGGTTTACTTTTATGGCACAAAAGTTACTGTCAGATTTTTCAAACGAAGTCAATCATCTCCATTGAACATAATGGACAGACGAGCATTCATGACGAGCCCTCAAGTTGGATTCGAAAATTTGGAAACAGTTTCCTCTCCCGAGGAATTATCTTTATGATTGCAATAGTTCTATACAATCATACAAAATAGCTATTTTGGCTAAATCATTTACCAAACATTAGAACATCACCGGAAGTTAAATTTTTTATTGCTTTGTAGACACTGTTATAACATCCCTCAATATTATAACAGTGCAATCATAGGCACAAATAAACCATTAAATATTCAAAGTAGACGGCTAGTCTGACTGCCTCGTGATAATCATTTCGCATAGATGTTGAGTTTAAAGATTTTTGCAATACTCTGCCAGCGTATTGCAATTTCTCTTTTCAACCATGATGATTGATTTAATGTAAATTAGATTTTGTTTTAATTTTACACAAGATATGAGCGCAAGAAGCACTCTTATATTAACATGCTCTAAAGCATGTTAACTGATTTGTGCTAACATCTACAAAATTACTCCATGGTATATAGAAGCGCCAGTCAGTTGTTGCACAAGTACAGCACATCTCTTTACTACCAAATCCCCCAGTTATTACCAAATCAAGCACGTGTCAGAACTAGGCAATAATCAAACATAAGCTAGCTCTCTGTTGGTCGGTCGAATTATTGATATGGACAATGAAGAAGGATGTTTTTGGGTCGAAGGATGATCTGTTTCTTCCGTTAGCAACATCTTGAAGTCAACTTTGTTGTCTAGAAATATAGAATACGAGAGAAATGAATTGATTTTTCAGTATCGGAAATCATCGCACCATGAACTTATTATGTTCGTTAATAAATCACTAATCACTTTGGTTACTTCTTAGTACTTTAACATGGCTCTCTGATCAAATAATTTAGTATGTTCAGCATCATAAATTATTGTGACACCCTAGCTCTTGCGTTCACTTCATTGCCATCTTTTCTTATTATCGTCAGTGATTCTTAACCGTGTACACTTTTAAATTATTTGTTTTAAAATTGAGTTACTTAGCCTGTGGCTGTCATAGAAAAATGATTTTCTTCTTTTCAACTTCCAATGGCAAAGTTACACAACGAGAAGGTGCTTTTGGTGCTGTCTTTGGTCATACTAGTCTTACAGCACAAGCAAAAGTGATTATTAATTGTGAAACAAGACAGAATAAATGAAGGATTAGAATCAACATGAGCATAAACAAAACAATATTCAAAAGAATTTCCGTTTTCCTGGTCTTTTAGGTCTCATGAGAAAACAAAATTGAATGCATGGTACATACGAATAGAATAAGCATAAACGATAAAACTTTATTTCTTTTTCTCTTCAGAGTTTACACAGAAAGACATGGAAATCTTCTTTCGTTTTTCTCTTGTTCTTTTTGTGTTCTTCTTTCAGCTAATGCCTAACACATTTCCTTAAGCCTGTGTAATGGTGTAACTTCGCTCTTTTGAGTGGGTGGGAGGAGCTTTAGGAATAAATTTGCCCATAAAAGCGTGGTGTTATTTTTTATGTTGTTTCCTAAGCTGAAAGAAGTATAAAATATTGAAAAGAAGAATATGATTTTTGATGTTTTTTTCTGTAAACCCTCGAGAGAGTCATAAGCACGCTCGTTGCTTATGCTTGTGATTACGTAGACGTTAATGTTCCAACTTTTGCTTATTGTTTTCTTTAACACTTTATTGACACTTGACACAACATTCAAAATAGATATATTCTATTCAAACAGTTCATGAAAAAAATTATTGCTTTGTTCAGACAGTTGGATTGGCTGGATTTGAACAGGACGTTCTATACGAGAAGGGATTACGTTGGTTTTATTCAGTTATTTTGGGGATGATTGACGTATTATCAGTGTACCGTATGTCAAGAAGCATCCTATGGTGATACAGGTGAGCCATCACCCCTCAGATTAAGCTCTAGGATATGTTTGCTACAATGACGGAATCGTTGTAACAAAGTCTTCTGTTCTTACTTCATATGCTTCATCTTGTTTTATACAGTTTTCCAAAATGACTCAACTGTAAATATTGTAAAACAAGCACGATTAAAAGCGTGTATATAAATTTGTAAAATTTAAGAATTGCCCAAGAATTTGTCCAAACAATTAATTTTTTGAGAAATTTCCAGAAATTTCCTTCAAATAGGCCATTCTTTTCTGAGAAATTTCCTTAGAAATAAGACCACATTTGACCATCGTTATCATGTTAACTACTTCATGTAAAAGTTATATATCGTCTTCCAAGAAAACAACATAACAATTTTTTAATTTTTAAACCTCACAAGCATTCGTTCTCCGCAAGAATATTTCTCTCCACATATCTGTTGTAAAAGAGTGAAAGACAAATAATATTTTAAAGAACATATAAAGTTTTTTTTGAAAGCTGAAACAAGGTAATAGATATATATGTTATTGTTATGCCTGAGTCTGACTTTGAGTTTCATAGCGGGAAATTGAAACGATATTTATTTTTTATTTCTACATAGCAAAGATATTTAAGTTTTTTCCTACACAGCCAATATTGTGAATAATCTTTTGTATAACATCTCTAACTAAAGCAATATCGTTAAAATGGATAAAGTTCAAGAACTTTCTGAAGCACTGCCTTTACCAAGTCAGCCATTCTTAAACGTCGAAGTAAATGAATGCAAAGAAAGGTTAGTTCATAATATGAACAAAGGACTGTATGCAGAAGGATATTGAATTGCATTTCATGTAATAATCTAGTTGAGTGAGTCTGTGTTAGTGAAACCATGCTACAGGTGAAACTAGGTAATGAACAAATCATGTTTTGTTTTGTAAAGAAACTTGAATAATTTTAATATGTTACTAGATTGACGTCACTGGTCATATGTTGTGCTTCAACAGACTCACTTCTTCAAATACCACTGTGCTGTCAAAACGTGAACAAAACCATTTATTCAATTTGATAATAAGCATTAACATCTTAATAGTATTTACCACTTTATTTTAGCACTATCCCAGAGTATAGAATTATAAAGCTTGTCAAAGACTTTCTTATCAACATGAAAACAATTCATGGCGACTCATGTTTCGTAGAATTTGTTGATCCTTTTTTAATGGAACATGTCAAGAGCATAACTATTGTGTATGACACAGATAATTTTTCAACATATGGCAGGGTTATTGACCCTATGATCAGACAATATTTACTTTCGCATGTGTGAGAGTAGGTTGTTCACACCCCCCTGGTATGTCACACATCCCTTTTTGTTGAACCCCCACGGAAAAGAAAATGCAAGAACTCTTAGAGGATTGACTTACCGTAAATGCTCGAATAAGCGCCCGGGCGCTTATTTAATTTTGGAGGCGAGAGGGGGCTAATTCGAAGGGGCGCTTATTGGAAGGGGCGCTTATTTCATTTTCGGACTTTTGACGTGAAAATGACACTGGTATTTTATTTCTTGTGACCTTAACTGTAACATAAGTATGAAAATTTTGAAAACGTTAACATTCTAGAAAGCAACATTAACATTTTGTGAAACTTGAAATGTTCTCCAAGCGATTTCCTGGTGCCCGTTAAAGGGCATGTGTATTGTACAATGCGTTTAACATCGTGAAATGTTTTGTATATATAAAGAAAGCCTGCCGTTAATGTTCAGCGGTTGTCTTCAATTTAACACACAATGAAAATAGTACTGACATTGTTTATGCTATATCGCGTCTTTCGCTAACCATTTGATCCTTAATCAATCTCAATTTCTGTATCGCTGTCATCAAGCAATGTTGACACAGGAGCAGCATCTTCAACATCTGATAGCGTGATATCCTGAAAGGATCATTCTCCAGTGTTTGCTGAAGTTGCTGCTGAACTGCCTTCAGTTGTGCCAGGCCAGAATGACAAGGTTGACTCGGCTTTAAGCAGTGTATCAGCTCATCTTGAGAACCGTCGACAGCAAGTGTCAGCGCACAGCACTTGAAGGAGTTAACAATAATGTCCTTATCCAGATCATTCCATGCTTCAATGATCCACTGGACAATCTCTCGCCTAGGAGGAGCTCGCATGTTCCCTGCTGCAGTAAACGTGTGTTGACCATTTGCCATCCACTCGTCATATCTCTCAGTCACTTTGGCTTTGAATGGTTTGTTCCACGATACATCAGGCGCTTGGATATATTTCGTACACCCCAGGTATAATTACAGGATCTATCTTTGCGCGATTGAGCTCTTGTTTAACGCTGTCTAAGACGTGGCATCTAAAGAATCCCAAGCCAGCATCCGTCTGGTGAACGAAAACTGGCCCAAGACACTTTTAACCCAAGAAACGGTTAGTTCTTCATTCATCCATCCATTAATCGAGGACGCTACGACACACTTTGTTCTGAATTCCTCATTCAGTGCTTTCGACTCTCTCTTGGCACCTGGAAAACGATGAACGGCTTTAGTTTGGTACCGTCTCCCTTTGCAGTCAAACACACTGAAACCTTCGTTTTTTCATGGCCAGTTGTTTTCAATCGAATTGTGCTTTCGCCAATGTTGTCGACCGTGGTATTGGATACCATATCTTGCCATACTGCTGTCTCATCCATTGCAATGATATCCCTGTCTTGGTAAGCGATTTTTACGTTGCCGGCGAATCTGCAAAACATACGCTATGAGTTTGTCTATCACTTTCTCGGGGTCCTTTGTGATTCAGTGGTTTTGCGTCTGATTGCCAAACCATGTCTTGACATGAACCGCTGTAACCAACCGGAACTGGCAAGAAACGATGGTGGCATTTCCTTCTCTTTGCATTTCTCGTTATCGAAAAATTTTGCTTTGCTTGCGATCATTTTTCTGGAAACACGAAGGCCATTGGAACGGCGCTCATGTACCCACTGTAATAATGCTTCTTCTAGGTCTTCATCGAATGGCTTTCGTCCGCCTCCTTCAAGCCGCTTTCTCTTGCTGGTATCTTCCAATTTGCTTTTCTTTTGTCGCCATTCTCTTACTCTCTTGCGGTCGACACCAAACTTTGCTGCGGCTTTTCGGTTACTGTTACACTCTTCGGCAAATTGAACAGCCTTAAGTTTAAATTCGTTAGAATAAGAAGAGTTCTTCAATCCTGCGTGCGATGTAGATGCTAGAGTTATACTTTCGTCCATGATGTCAAAGGTAAGCATGCTGTAATGCGAGAAGGCCGGAAAGACCTCCCATGAGAAGATCACATTGTATCACGTGCTACCAAACACGTGTGTGACATTCATCTGCTGTTTACAACATGGCGCGTTCAAGCTATACCTTTACTTGGCAAATGGTTTACGAAATAGAATTTGCGTCTGTGATAAGAGGACACCATGTTTATAAAGCTGAATGGTCACCACAGCTTGGAGAACGGCTAGTGTGTCGGAAAGACGATCGAAAGGAGGCTAAAGAGCACGATGAATATGCGATTGGAACATTTATTCAAGACAGTGGCAAGCTGGTTGGACATGCGCCCATTGAACTTTCCTTCCTCGTGTTTACATTTTTACGAGCTCATGAGGATAATGCGGTGGAGGTAAAAGTAACTGGAAAAGAAAACTTGAAAACGGCCTAGTTGTTCCAGGAACTTTTAAAGCAGTAACACGAAGCCGGCGACTGGGAGCAAAGTTTAACGAGGAACTTGATAAAGTAAAGCTCCTATGTGCCCACATGGATATTGAAATCAAGCAAATGAGAAGCAAACCTCTGAAGAACATTGATTTTGAGTTCTAACGAATGTCCGTTACCGATGTAAAAATTAAAATACTGTGTATCGAACTGAGTACCGAAGTTCATCTTTTATCGGGGAAGGGTGGGGGTGGGGGCGCTTATTTGAGAGGACGCTTAGCAAAACCCGTCTTTTCTCGAGGGGGCGCTTATTTCAAAATTTGAGTCCTAGGGGGCGCTAATTCGAAGCGGGGCGCTTATTGGAAGCTGGGCGCTTATTCGAGCATTTACGGTAGTTTGATAATGAAGATTTACATGAAGTACATATTTCTGTCAAACCTTCATAATTCTTTTAACAGATAATTGATTTGAAAAAAGTTATGCTAAAGTATCATGTCTATCAACTTCATGATGGGGGGCATGGATATGAAGAACTTGAGGATGATATATCTGCTCCAGACAACTGGCTTTTGCCTACAGGTGGGTAAATTTTGCCTGCAGGTGGTCAACTCACTTCAGTCCCAGGTCTTTTCGCTTTCACGAGTTATAAGTATTAGCAACTAATACAATTAATTCATCATTTTAGAGGATTTTCAGGGCTTGTGGAAAAGCTTGCTCTTTGACTCGGATGTGAAAAATCAGGTTGTTCTTCATAATGAACATTTAATGATTTCTCTCGTAAGCGAAGTTTAAATTGTAGCTTGTTAAGGACGTCTTTAGCGCCGAAATAAGTTAACGTTTAAACAGTTAGCTGTCAAAACGTCAAATAGATTTTTTAAGGATTTTCCTAATTTCTCCTATTTTCCAATGTACATTATGTACTCGGAGTTACTGATCAACGGAGTTACTGATCTGCTAACTTATTAATCTCTAATATTTTCAAAAGGTTTACGCAAGCGATGACATTGTGCACCGTAGTGGTGACAAAGCTTACTTAGTAAACATTAAAAATACACATCTCAGCAATTCTAGCGAGTTATATCGATTAAAAAAATGTTAAAAATTTTGTTGTTCTAATTTATTTACGAAAGTATATGTCGTGCCATGACTATGATATTTCATGTATCTCATTTTTATCTTATTTTTTTAGTTGCTAAAATATGCGGCAACGACACTTCTCTTCTCCGACAGGTTTGTCGTGTGAAATGAAACTATTGAACTGAAGACTTTTTAGAGAAGCCAAATTGCAAAATCATTCGTTTTTCCATCTTTTTAAAATCACTCCCAAACAATGACATTTTCAAAGTATATATTAGTCACGTGTTTGAATCATATTTTAGAGGCGTGGATTTCAACATCATCTCGTGAAATAAAGTTACCTTATTGCATGGTAAGTTAGTTTCCTTGGTAACCAGACGTGAGTCCTTGCGTCATCGTCCGTCACGTGTATCTTTTTTGCGAATCAAATTAGATTCTATTTTTGCGTGTGTTGACTTTGTAACAACTCTCATCTTAACGGAGTAAATCTCTTATCACTCATAACATTCAAGATTGAAAAATCACATATCAAAGTATTGATAAGAATAAGTTAGCTACAATCATATAGAATGAAACGCGAGAGACGTGATGGTGTTTTAACGAGCCAACTATTAAATGACGTCAAGGCTACCATGTTTGTGTACCGCTGTGACGTCACTCGAAAACAAACAACGAAGCCAATCAAACAACAGCCACTCATAGTACATGATGTTTGTCTTCACGTGATCTACTGCAAATATCCAGAAGAATGAGTTGAGCTTTTCTTTAAAACTTTCACAGAGCCAACCGGTACTGGTGAAACATCCTTATGCAAGGCGCTTGCTCAAAATTATCCATACGACTTTCTAAAGGTAAAAACACTACATTTTATTTTGATGTTACGTAAATCGCAATCCATTACTATCCATGTGTGTAATGCAACTAATATTGCCACGTAATTTTATTGTTATGTCGTGAATTATAAATACAAAGTATAATCCGAAAGGTTATATCCGAAAATGTTGTAAACTCAACATCAAATTTAGAAAACAAGACGATTAAAATGTAAATATTACACTTTCAATTGTTTTGCTTTGTAACTTTTATTTAAGTTTACAAGATGTTCTTTGGCATTATCTTTTACTTTGTTTTAATGAAATTGTCGTCTACCTAAGGATTATGAACTATAAATTAAAGTGTGTTTCTACTTTTGAATCCTTAGATTTAACTATGGCCAGCTTATTGAAATAAACATTCACAGTTTATTTTCCGAGGTAGGCATCATTTTGAATAGCTCAAAGCAACATCACCGAGTGCGAAAATCCTCTGGAACCAAAATTACATTGCCATAAATTTTCCGTGAAACCTTTGTCGTCACCCCCTGTCAATATAAAATGCACGGCTCACATCAAAATATCAGTTCAGAAAACTGACATTTATATACCTGGGATTGAGATGTCGTTGAAGTTAATAAATCTAGTTCCGTATCACAAAATGATCATATCCAATTAAAAAGCATCTGTAATTTAAAATGTACATTGACATTATCTTTCCTTACAAACAGAGTGGAAAGTTAATGATGAAAATGTTTCAGAAAATTCAAGAGTTTATTGACGACAAATAAGCTTTAGTTTGCGTTCTTATCGACGAGGTAAACTTTGCTTAAACATTTCTTTCTTAATGCTCATGGTCAGATAGATGAGAAATCATTTACTATTTGTGTTTCTTGTTTCACAAAATACCCGAAGCACATGTACGCTTGTCGGTAATGTTTAAGGAAAATACCTTTGCTATCCATATCTTTTACTTCTGAAGGTTGAAAGTTTAACATCGGCAAGAAAATCTGCGTTGAACGGACAAGAACCTTCAGATGCCATTCGTGTTGTGAATGCATTTCTCACTCAAATTGACCATATAAAACTGTAAATGCAAAATATAAGCAGAATATGCATTTCGGCGAACATTGCGTTCTCATGGATTTTTTAGTGAACTAAGAGATTGTATTCGGTTATATGAACGGCGAGGCCAGCCGGCAGGGTTGTTGCGTTATGTATTATTTAATAAAATAGAGACTTTGTAGAAAATAGTTCTAAAGATAGCAAATACCATAGTAAATGGTAAAAGTAATATAATAAGTTGATAGTTCTTACAAGAACTGTTGTAAGTAAAGAGCACTAACCCAATAGTTCTAAATTAAACGACACGATGCATTTCGGCAGACTACTCCTCAGGTGTCAACGTCTGCTGAATGAAAATTTACAATCTACCGATATTTATAATGCCAAGACAACAGTCTTTATCAACTTATTATATTACATTTACCATTCACTATGGTATTTGCTATCTTTAGAACTATGTATTATTTCTTTCTCTACAATGTTGTCGCTTTTACAGGGAGTAAAAGCACGAAAATATTTATATGACATGAACAAACTTGCTTGATGACAACTTTGCTCAGTCAAATACTTATTATCTATCAATTACGTATTTACAGAAGTCTTGATTTGAACTACATTTATGCGTTTATTTGCTAAACCTAGTCTTCCCCAATGTTGTTTTCTTCTTATTTCAGACATCCTAATGTAATTATATTGACAACATCGAACATAACTAGAGCCATAGACGTTGCGTTCGTGGACAGGTTGAAAATATGTTTGTGACTCGAAAGTTTTTTAATTCACTTTCTCATCTAACTTCGCTATTTGTTCGCCCACAGAGCCGACATCAAACAGTATATTGGTCCGCCATCAGCCAAAGCTATTTACAAAATTTACCATTTGTTTGTATGTAACTTATGTCTTCTTGTGCACGTGATCAACGAAATGGCTGCCGGTCAATTATGTTTTCTGGCCAAAAGAACGCCGAAATGGCTTACCGCAACCTGTCATCATATACAATATAAAACAACAATTTGCCTCGTGAAGTATATCCCCTCTTCTCAGTACTTTGTACCTTTACGTCTACTGCTTTATTTCCATACCACAATATAGTCGTTTGTGCAAGTTATACAAACATCTTGCTTAAATAGAGAGGTGTGCAGCTATATAGAAATTGATTGCAAACGATTGCATTGTAGATAATTTTTTAATAATCAAAATTAATGTTCACCGTTTCATCACAGACCAGTATCATATCACCAGCCACTCAAATTTTGGATTTAAGGTACAACTGAAAAAATACACGAAATTTTATTTTGACGAAAATTGACGGTGTTTGTTAGAAATTTTTTTGTTCACTTCTATGTTGATGACATGGTTTTCTTTTCCGATGTACAACTTTTTTTCCCTATTTTCCATTGTAGCTTTGTCGACAACGATGTAACACACTGTAGTCTTGAATTAAAGAAGATAGCCGAGTAAGTGAAGTAGATGTTTGTAGATGTAGATCGTCGAGGTTAGTGGTGTCCTGCGAAGGACTGTTGATGTTGATGTTGACTGACTTCTTAACAACCTTAGCGGTAGTCATCTTTAGAGTCAGCATCAACAACAACAGTTCTTTTCAGGACTTTACTAACCTGGACGATCTACATCTACAACATGTAACGATCTCCCATGTTCAAACCTTTCAAACCTTTCAAAGTAAAGTGATGTCACAGAGTAAAATAAACATTTCTTGTCTTAGTTTATGGTAAATATTATGTCACCCAGTCTTCATGTTTTCAAGTTAGTATTCTTCTCGTTTTACAAAGAAAACGAAACTACGCCCGGGGGATTTTCAGAAGTTGTCTGAACCCTGGCAGTATGTTCTAGTTTCTTTTATGAGAAGAATTCTTGTAAAGAAAAAAGACAAATTTTGAAAGGAAAAAACCCCGTTTTCGGTCCATGCTTCCCGATACCTTCTTAAGCGTAAGGCACTAAAACGCGGCATGTTAACGTTTCGGTAGCAGATTTCGGCCCCTCCACGCTATCCTACTTGGGAGATGCAATAGCAAGCTTCCGCCCATCAGACCCGAGATCACCTGCGATAGGCTTTGCTCGGGGTACGCAGGAGAGTGCGGTCGCCACCGAAGTGTGGACCCTAAGCCACTGCATACTATATCGCACCCAGCTTCCACTGCTAGTTGACATCTACTATATGAAGCTATAGATATATTTATATATACAAAATTTAGAGGCTTACGAAAGTTGTGGTATTATTAAAGTCACAACTGCGCATGCCCAGATAATTTCTTTGATAATTTGCGATTAAGTGGGATAATTGCCCCAGATGTAGTGCAAGTACATCTAGTTAGTCGTTGCCATGACTATAAACAATTAGTCGAGTGGGCTGCGCATGCTCGAGCGCATGCGCAGATGATTTCTCCATTAAATTGTTACTAAACATGCTATTTACTTCAAAATCGGGGCTAGTAGATGCAATTGGTCGTTGCCATGACCATGAACATTGGCAGCCAATCAATTTAACTGCGCATGCTCAGTTGAGATCTTTAATAGTTTGTTAATAAGCAAGTTATATACTCCCTAATTGATGCTAGTAAATGTAGTTGGTCGTTTCCATGACTATCAACTCGGACAATTGGTCAAGTGGACTTTGCATGCTTGAGCGTGCTGCGCATGCCAAAGCGTACTGCGCATGCTCAGATGATCTTCTTATATTTTTGTGACCAAGCGATTAATTACTCAGTAAGTGATGAAAATAGGTCCAGCTTGTTGTTGCCATCACTATGAATATGAAAAATTTGTTAAATGACTAAATTCCTCATTATAATTGAAATTTATGATTTCCCAATATGTGACCAAGTGAACCACAGAAGGATGCAAGCTTGTTCTGTTTGTCATTGCCATGATTGTAAACTCGAACAGTTTGTTGAGTTGTTTGTGCATGTTCAGATGAGTTCTCAAATAATTTAGGACTGAGGTTTAAAATATACCGTCTTAATACTTGCAACATAAATAAAATTTAACTTTGTATTACATCTACATTTAAGGCTTAAAGATGTTTTTTCTTTGTTATCGTAGTCAGTAGTTATCAAGTAATGGACCACTCTCAAATAATCACGAATATTGGTTGACTTTTGGTTAGGTTTCTTTGGGAGGCCCTTCTCCTTTTGAACTTGCAAGGAGCAGTCAAGCGTCTCACTGTGATAAACCTACAAGTATTCTTTCTCTCATTTTCTTGTTTAGAAAAGTTATCAACTAAGTGGTCGAACTCTTCGTAAACTACCATTCCTTGCACATGCGCTGTATTCGAAAGTAAGTAATACGAATTAAAGCCTTCACCCGTGTTCTTTGTTGTACATGCATGTACTTATATTGTCCCTCAAACCTACGTAATAGGCACAAACGATAACCTCAGAAGAGTTTTTGAATAATCTTTCAATGATTGTTGACAAGCAGTTCAAAGAAAAAGAGAATCTTTGCTCAGTTGGTGAAGAAAAAAGCGTGCAAGCGTGATCTTTTTAACGATTGTATACTTTTTATACATTCATAGAAATCTTTTGGATATGCTTTGTTGAAGATTAAGATTTTTTTATTGCTCAATTTAAGTCAATTTGGTAAGATAGATCACAAAGTTTGCTAATTTATATTGGTACTTTGAGACTCCTTACATGACGTTTCCCCAACACACCCGAGGTCAAATGCAGCAATGTGTATAGTTCGTTATTGAGGAAAATGTGTAGATTATTTTAAATAGGGAAGGATATTTATACGATATAGTTAATTGCAACTGTTTAATTTCAACGTATGTTTACATTAAATTACATCCTTAAGCCAACTTTACTAATATTGATCGCTATTTTCATGTTATACATCTATAATCATCTTGTTAAAGATTTGAATCTCTGCTGCGATAATACAGGTTTGTACTGCTATCTCATCTTTGTTTGTTTCCTATCTGATAGCATGTCAACTCCGGGGACCAGATTTTTTATCGAGATTTATATGACATTAGAGATTGTCGTACGTCAGTCTAATATCTTGAGCATGAACGATATGTTGTTGAAAGATAAGTTTACATATACTCTAGCGTAGTGTCTTCATCAGGAGTGATCGAATGTTGAAACTTGAGTCACAATATGCTCCAGTCTTATGATTTGTCAGGAGTGATCTTTTATTGAAAGTTTCGCTAATGTTATTTAACCATGTTATCTAAAAACTTTATCCTCCATATGCATGTGAAACATGTTTTACAAATGCATGTGAAACTCGTCAACACTTTGTTACGGCATTCGTAATATCCGTGACAACGTTAAAAATGTTTTATTTTTCTCTACAACTTTATACCTGCATATGCATGTCATATACAAGCTTTCCTTTGATTTGACGGGAAATGGTTTTATTCACTCTTACATCTTCTGCCTTTATAATTAGTCGATCTGTATTTCTAAACTAATATTTACAAATGCCCCAAGAGAATCTTTTTATTTTATTGGCTCTCTTCTACAAATACAATACCATGTCCGACTATTTGATTGCACGAATTTTTAATTTGATCACGTTTTTGACACGTGTGTTTTACCATGGGAAAGATGGATTGCTTAAATGTACCTAGTTGTTTAGACTACTTGGATCCATAGTTATCCTGTAATATATACTCTTGTGAAACACCAATGAGCATACGTAGTGTGTCTTCTATAACCTCTATTCTTGTTCTCCACTTCATCATCTATCCATATTTGTTCTTTTTTAGTTCTCAGCTCAACACAACCCTAGTCTGAAGTTCCTAAAACCTTGATCTACCCAAGAAAGATCTATGGTGGTAACATGTTAGGTATGGCTAGTGGTTGGTCATCGTCATTGAGCCTTGTGACTCCAGTTCAGTATACGTTAATTGTCCTGAAGACGTTAAGGAGGTTGCTAGTAAAGCGTCGCCTAAACCAGAAGTTAGTTTTCATGGTATGCTAACGGATTACGCAAACGTTGTTAGGAATAAGTTCACATAAAATGGTTATGGTCTCGTTCCATCGTATTCTGAGAAGGTTTCATGTTCATCCTGTATCTTTCACCAATGTTACAAATACTTAGTTTTTTTATGCTTTTTGAAATTGTCGTTTTTATGACTATTATTTTAGAGCATAGACATTGAAAAATCTTGTGGTAGTACAGGTATTTTCAACATTTTTTTGTTGAAAAATTCTCTAGTTTCAATTCTTCGAAATTTCTCATCTTAATTTTCACCTTTACTTTAGAATCCTTTCGATACGAGAAATCGTCGGGATTTGAGGTACTTAATACGATATATTGAATTTAAGTTTTATAGCGTTAATAACTCTCATCTGTCCATCGTAACTTTGCTATAATTCTATGGATAAATTATGTTTTATATATAACAGATTATTGATGATCCTACTTCACCTGAAGTTGTTCCTTAAGAACGACGTATGAAGTTACTGTCGTCAATTAATAATAGAGCCCTTGATAAAGGGTTGGATGGTCGAAATTATTAATGTCATGGTTGTTTCAGACCAATTGGAATGAGTATGATCAATGAATTCTCGACTTGTTATTTGCTAATAACTCAAATATATTTATTTTCAAATTTCTTAGCATAATAAATGTTATCTTTGTAGAAACTATTATAACAAAGTACATAATCCCTTTTTTCCGTGAAGCCCATCAATGCGTTCGTTCATGATGAAAGAGTCATATTGTATAAGGAGGCTCTCGTTCATCACGTGAGAGTTATGAGAAAAATACGTTGTAAAAAGTACTAAGTAAAAAACATATAAACATGCTTAGTGTTTGTTTAAGTTATAGTTCAAAAAGGCAGAAGTTGTTTGAAGCTTTGAAGTATCCTTGGACGCTCTAGTTTTTTTTATGTGAAGAGTTCTTGTAAAGAAAGACAAATTTTGAAAACCAAAGAATCCCGTTTTCGGTCCATGCCTCCCGATACCCCGAGATAGTTGATCACTAGAGCGTCGCATGTTAACTAAGGGAACCATAATCCTTGTTTGTTTTCCATGAAACATATGAATTTGTTGCTCGTGATACATGAGAAACAGTAAATGGGAGAGTTAAATCAGAAAGATATAAACCGATAAAATTCTTGTAAAACATGTTTAAGGTTGTCTTTAATTATAAAGTGTCAGAAAAGACAGGGTCATAAAGTTAATTGAAACATTGCTTGGTTTGTTTTATGAAGAAAACAAAAGATAAAATTCGAAAAAAAACCCCGTTTTCGGTCCATGCTTCCGATACCTTCTTAAGCGCAAGGCACTAGAACGCCGCATGTTAACGTTTCGGTAGGAGATTTCGGCCCTCCGCGCTATCCTGCTTGGAAATGCCAATAGCAAGCTTCCGCAAATCAGACCCTGAGATCACCTGCGATAGGCTTTGCTCAGGGTACGCAGGGAGAGTGCGGTCGCCACCGAAGTGAGGGCGCCTAAGCCACTGCATACTATATCGCACTAAGCTTCCACTGCTAGTTGACATCTACCATATGAAGTTTTAGCTTTATATATATATACAAAATTTAAAGGCGTACGAAAGTGTTGGGATGATTGTCATCGTTGCCGCGCATGCCCAGATGATTTCTTTGATTGCAAACCATTCATATGTTTCATGGAAAACAAACAAGGATTATGTGGTTCCCTTAGTTAACATGCGACGCTCTAGTGATCAACTATCTCGGGGTATCGGGAGGCATGGACCGAAAACAGGATTCTTTGGTTTTCAAAATTTATCTTTCTTTACAAGAACTCTTCACATAAAAAAACTAGAGCGTCCAAGGATACTTCAAAGGTTCAAACAACTTCTGCCTTTTGAACTATAACAAACAAACACTAAGCATGTTTATATGTTTTTACTTAGTACTTTTACAACGTATTTTCTCATAACTCTCACGTGATGAACGAGAGCCTCCTTATACAATATGACTCTTTCATCATGAACGAACGCATCCATGGGCTTCACGGAAAAAGGATTATGTACTTTGTTATAATAGTTTCTACAAAGATAACATTTATTAAGCTAAAATTTGAAAATAAATATATTTGAGTTATTAGCAAATAACAAGTCGAGAATTCATTGATCATACTCATTCAATTGGTCTGAAACAACCATGACATTAATAATATAGACCATCCAACCCTTTATCAATGGCTATATTATTAATTAACGACAGTAACTTCATACGTCGTTCTTGCTGAACACCTTCAGGTGAAGTAGGATCATCAATAATCTGTTATATATAAAAACATAATTTATCCATAGAATTATAGCAAAGTTACGATGAACAGATGGGAGTTATTAACGCTACAAAACTTAAATTATATATATCGTATAAAGTACCTCAAATCCGACGATTTCTCGTATCGAAAGGATTCTAAAGTAAAGGTGAAAATTAAGATGAGAAATTTCGAAGAATTGAAACTAGAGAATTTTCAACAAAAATGTTGAAAATATCTGTACTACCACAAGATTTTCAATGTCTATGCTCTAAAATAATAGTCATAAAAACGACAATTTCAAAAGCATAAAAAACTAAGTATTTGTAACATTGGTGAAAGATACAGGATGAACATGAAACCTTCTCAGAATACGATGGAACGAGACCATAACCATTTTATGTGAACTTATTCCTAACAACGTTTGCGTAATCCGTTAGCATACCATGAAAACTAACTTCTGGTTTAGGCGACGCTTTACTAGCAACCTCCTCAACGTCTTCAGGACAATTAACGTATACTGAACTGGTGTCACAAGGCTCAATGACGATGACCAACCACTAGCCATACCTAACATGTTACCACCAGAGATCTTTCTTGGGTAGATGAAGGTTTTAGGAACTTCAGACTAGGGTTGTGTTGAGCTGAGAACTAAAAGAACAAATATGGATAGATGATGAAGTGGAGAACAAGAATAGAGGTTATAGAGACACACTACGTATGCTCATTGGTGTTTCACAAGAGTATACATTACAGGATAACTATGGATCCAAGTAGTCTAAACAACTAGGTACATTTAAGCAATCCATCTTTCCCATGGTAAACACGTGTCAAAAACGTGATCAAATTAAAATTCGTGCAATCAAATAGTCGGACATGGTATTGTATTTGTAGAAGAGCCAATAAAATAAAAATTCTCTCTTGGCATTTGTAAATATTAGTTTAGAAATACAGATCGACTAATTATAAAGGCAGAAGATGTAAGAGTGAATAAAACCATTTCCCGTCAAATCAAAGGAAAGCTTGTATATGACATGCAATATGCAGGTATAAAGTTGTAGAGAAAAATAAAATTTTAACGTTGTCACGGATATTACGAATGCCGTAACAAAGTTTGACGAGTTTCACATGCATTTGTAAAACATGTTTCACATGCATATGGAGGATAAAGTTTTAGATAACATGGTTAAATAACATTAGCGAAACTTTCAATAAAGATCACTCCTGACAAATCATAAGACTGGAGCATATTGTGACTCAAGTTTCAACATTCGATCACTCCTGATGAAGACACTACGCTAGAGTATATGTAAACTTATCTTTCAACAACATATCGTTCATGCTCAAGATATTAGACTGACGTACGACAATCTCTAATGTCATATAAATCTCGATAAAAATCTGGTCCCAGGTTGACATGCTATCAGATAGGAAACAAACAAAGAATGAGATAGCAGTACAAACCTGTATTATCGCAGCAGATTCAAATCTTTAACAAAGATGATTATAGATGTATAACATGAAAATAGCGATCAATATTAGTAAAGTTGGCTTAAGGATGTAATTTAATGTAAACATACGTTGAAATTAAACAGTTGCAATTAACTATATCGTATAAATATCCTTCGCTATTTAAAATAATCTACACATTTTCCTCAATAACGAACTATACACATTGCTGCATTTGACCTCGGGTGTGTTGGAAACGTCATGTAAGGAGTCTCAAAGTACCAATATAAATTAGCAAACTTTGTGATCTATCTTACCAAATTGACTTAAATTGAGCAATAAAAATCTTAATCTTCAACAAAGCATATCCAAAGATTTCTATGAATGTATAAAAGTATCCCATGTTCAAACCTTAACATAACCTAACCTAACTAACCTAACACAACCTAACCTAACTTTAACACCTAACCCTAACCCCGAGCAAAGCCTATCGCAGGTGATCTCGGGGTCTGATGGGCGGGCTTGCTATTGCATCTCCCAAGTAGGATAGCGTGGAGGGGCCGAAATCTGCTACCGAAACGTTAACATGCCGCGTTTTAGTGCCTTACGCTTAAGAAGGTATCGGGAAGCATGGACCGAAAACGGGGTTTTCCTTTCAAAATTTGTCTTTTTTCTTTACAAGAATTCTTCTCATAAAAGAAACTAGAACATACTGCCAGGGTTCAGACAACTTCTGAAAATCCCCCGGGCGTAGTTTCGTTTTCTTTGTAAAACGAGAAGAATACTAACTTGAAAACATGAAGACTGGGTGACATAATATTTACCAAAACTAAGACAAGAAATGTTTATTTTACTCTGTGACATCACTTTACTTTGAAAGTTTGAAAGGTTTGAACATGGGAGTATCGTTACATGTTTGTAGATGTAGATCGTCCAGGTTAGTAAAGTCCTGAAAGAACTGTTGTTGTTGATGCTGACTCTAAAGATGACTACCGCTAAGGTTGTTAAGAAGTCAGTCAACATCAACATCAACAGTCCTTCGCAGGACACCACTAACCTCGACGATCTACATCTACAAACATCTACTACTCGGCTATCTTCTTTAATTCAAGACTACAGTGTGTTACATCGTTGTCGACAAAGCTACAATGGAAAATAGGGAAAAAAAGTTGTACATCGGAAAAGAAAACCATGTCATCAACATAGAAGTGAACAAAAAAATTTCTAACAAACACCGTCAATTTTCGTCAAAATAAAATTTCGTGTATTTTTCAGTTGTACCTTAAATCCAAAATTTGAGTGGCTGGTGATATGATACTGGTCTGTGATGAAACGGTGAACATTAATTTTGATTATTAAAAAATTATCTACAATGCAATCGTTTGCAATCAATTTCTATATAGCTGCACACCTCTCTATTTAAGCAAGATGTTTGTATAACTTGCACAAACGACTATATTGTGGTATGGAAATAAAGCAGTAGACGTAAAGGTACAAAGTACTGAGAAGAGGGGATATACTTCACGAGGCAAATTGTTGTTTTATATTGTATATGATGACAGGTTGCGGTAAGCCATTTCGGCGTTCCTTTTGGCCAGAAAACATAATTGACCGGCAGCCATTTCGTTGATCACGTGCACAAGAAGACATAAGTTACATACAAACAAATGGTAAATTTTGTAAATAGCTTTGGCTGATGGCGGACCAATATACTGTTTGATGTCGGCTCTGTGGGCGAACAAATAGCGAAGTTAGATGAGAAAGTGAATTAAAAAACTTTCGAGTCACAAACATATTTTCAACCTGTCCACGAACGCAACGTCTATGGCTCTAGTTATGTTCGATGTTGTCAATATAATTACATTAGGATGTCTGAAATAAGAAGAAAACAACATTGGGGAAGACTAGGTTTAGCAAATAAACGCATAAATGTAGTTCAAATCAAGACTTCTGTAAATACGTAATTGATAGATAATAAGTATTTGACTGAGCAAAGTTGTCATCAAGCAAGTTTGTTCATGTCATATAAATATTTTCGTGCTTTTACTCCCTGTAAAAGCGACAACATTGTAGAGAAAGAAATAATACATAGTTCTAAAGATAGCAAATACCATAGTGAATGGTAAATGTAATATAATAAGTTGATAAAGACTGTTGTCTTGGCATTATAAATATCGGTAGATTGTAAATTTTCATTCAGCAGACGTTGACACCTGAGGAGTAGTCTGCCGAAATGCATCGTGTCGTTTAATTTAGAACTATTGGGTTAGTGCTCTTTACTTACAACAGTTCTTGTAAGAACTATCAACTTATTATATTACTTTTACCATTTACTATGGTATTTGCTATCTTTAGAACTATTTTCTACAAAGTCTCTATTTTATTAAATAATACATAACGCAACAACCCTGCCGGCTGGCCTCGCCGTTCATATAACCGAATACAATCTCTTAGTTCACTAAAAAATCCATGAGAACGCAATGTTCGCCGAAATGCATATTCTGCTTATATTTTGCATTTACAGTTTTATATGGTCAATTTGAGTGAGAAATGCATTCACAACACGAATGGCATCTGAAGGTTCTTGTCCGTTCAACGCAGATTTTCTTGCCGATGTTAAACTTTCAACCTTCAGAAGTAAAAGATATGGATAGCAAAGGTATTTTCCTTAAACATTACCGACAAGCGTACATGTGCTTCGGGTATTTTGTGAAACAAGAAACACAAATAGTAAATGATTTCTCATCTATCTGACCATGAGCATTAAGAAAGAAATGTTTAAGCAAAGTTTACCTCGTCGATAAGAACGCAAACTAAAGCTTATTTGTCGTCAATAAACTCTTGAATTTTCTGAAACATTTTCATCATTAACTTTCCACTCTGTTTGTAAGGAAAGATAATGTCAATGTACATTTTAAATTACAGATGCTTTTTAATTGGATATGATCATTTTGTGATACGGAACTAGATTTATTAACTTCAACGACATCTCAATCCCAGGTATATAAATGTCAGTTTCTGAACTGATATTTTGATGTGAGCCGTGCATTTTATATTGACAGGGGTGACGACAAAGGTTTCACGGAAAATTTATGGCAATGTAATTTTGGTTCCAGAGGATTTTCGCACTCGGTGATGTTGCTTTGAGCTATTCAAAATGATGCCTACCTCGGAAAATAAACTGTGAATGTTTATTTCAATAAGCTGGCCATAGTTAAATCTAAGGATTCAAAAGTAGAAACACACTTTAATTTATAGTTCATAATCCTTAGGTAGACGACAATTTCATTAAAAACAAAGTAAAGATAATGCCAAAAGAACATCTTGTAAACTTAAATAAAGTTACAAAGCAAAACAATTGAAAGTGTAATATTTACATTTTAATCGTCTTGTTTTCTAAATTTGATGTTGAGTTTACAACATTTTCGGATATAACCTTTTCGGATTATACTTTGTATTTATAATTCACGACATAACAATAAAATTACGTGGCAATATTAGTTGCATTACACATGGATAGTAATGGATTGCGATTTACGTAACATCAAAATAAAATGTAGTGTTTTTACCTTTTAGAAAGTCGTATGGATAATTTTTGAGCAAGCGCCTTGCATAAGGATGTTTCACCAGTACCGGTTGGCTCTGTGAAAGTTTTAAAGAAAAGCTCAACTCATTCTTCTGGATATTTGCAGTAGATCACGTGAAGACAAACATGATGTACTATGAGTGGCTGTTGTTTGATTGGCTTCGTTGTTTGTTTTCGAGTGACGTCACAGCGGTACACAAACATGGTAGCCTTGACGTCATTTAATAGTTGGCTCGTTAAAACACCATCACGTCTCTCGCGTTTCATTCTATCTGATTGTAGCTAACTTATTCTTATCAATACTTTGATATGTGATTTTTCAATCTTGAATGTTATGAGTGATAAGAGATTTACTCCGTTAAGATGAGAGTTGTTACAAAGTCAACACACGCAAAAATAGAATCTAATTTGATTCGTAAAAAAGATACACGTGACGGACGATGACGCAAGGACTCACGTCTGGTTACCAAGGAAACTAACTTACCATGCAATAAGGTAACTTTATTTCACGAGATGATGTTGAAATCCACGCCTCTAAAATATGATTCAAACACGTGACTAATATATACTTTGAAAATGTCATTGTTTGGGAGTGATTTTAAAAAGATGGAAAAACGAATGATTTTGCAATTTGGCTTCTCTAAAAAGTCTTCAGTTCAATAGTTTCATTTCACACGACAAACCTGTCGGAGAAGAGAAGTGTCGTTGCCGCATATTTTAGCAACTAAAAAAATAAGATAAAAATGAGATACATGAAATATCATAGTCATGGCACGACATATACTTTCGTAAATAAATTAGAACAACAAAATTTTTAACATTTTTTTAATCGATATAACTCGCTAGAATTGCTGAGATGTGTATTTTTAATGTTTACTAAGTAAGCTTTGTCACCACTACGGTGCACAATGTCATCGCTTGCGTAAACCTTTTGAAAATATTAGAGATTAATAAGTTAGCAGATCAGTAACTCCGTTGATCAGTAACTCCGAGTACATAATGTACATTGGAAAATAGGAGAAATTAGGAAAATCCTTAAAAAATCTATTTGACGTTTTGACAGCTAACTGTTTAAACGTTAACTTATTTCGGCGCTAAAGACGTCCTTAACAAGCTACAATTTAAACTTCGCTTACGAGAGAAATCATTAAATGTTCATTATGAAGAACAACCTGATTTTTCACATCCGAGTCAAAGAGCAAGCTTTCCACAAGCCCTGAAAATCCTCTAAAAATGATGAATTAATTGTATTAGTTGCTAATACTTATAACTCGTGAAAGCGAAAAGACCTGGGACTGAAGTGAGTTGACCACCTGCAGGCAAAATTTACCCACCTGTAGGCAAAAGCCAGTTGTCTGGAGCAGATATATCATCCTCAAGTTCTTCATATCCATGCCCCCCATCATGAAGTTGATAGACATGATACTTTAGCATAACTTTTTTCAAATCAATTATCTGTTAAAAGAATTATGAAGGTTTGACAGAAATATGTACTTCATGTAAATCTTCATTATCAAACTAAGTCAATCCTCTAAGAGTTCTTGCATTTTCTTTCCGTGGGGTTCAACAAAAGGGATGTGTGACATACCAGGGGTGTGAACAACCTACTCTCACACATGCGAAAGTAAATATTGTCTGATCATAGGGTCAATAACCTTGCCATATGTTGAAAAATTATCTGTGTCATACACAATAGTTATGCTCTTGACATGTTCCATTAAAAAGGATCAACAAATTCTACGAAACATGAGTCGCCATGAATTGTTTTCATGTTGATAAGAAAGTCTTTGACAAGCTTTATAATTCTATACTCTGGGATAGTGCTAAAATAAAGTGGTAAATACTATTAAGATGTTAATGCTTATTATCAAATTGAATAAATGGTTTTGTTCACGTTTTGACAGCACAGTGGTATTTGAAGAAGTGAGTCTGTTGAAGCACAACATATGACCAGTGACGTCAATCTAGTAACATATTAAAATTATTCAAGTTTCTTTACAAAACAAAAACATGATTTGTTCATTACCTAGTTTCACCTGTAGCATGGTTTCACTAACACAGACTCACTCAACTAGATTATTACATGAAATGCAATTCAATATCCTTCTGCATACAGTCCTTTGTTCATATTATGAACTAACCTTTCTTTGCATTCATTTACTTCGACGTTTAAGAATGGCTGACTTGGTAAAGGCAGTGCTTCAGAAAGTTCTTGAACTTTATCCATTTTAACGATATTGCTTTAGTTAGAGATGTTATACAAAAGATTATTCACAATATTGGCTGTGTAGGAAAAAACTTAAATATCTTTGCTATGTAGAAATAAAAATAAATATCGTTTCAATTTCCCGCTATGAAACTCAAAGTCAGACTCAGGCATAACAATAACATATATATCTATTACCTTGTTTCAGCTTTCAAAAAAAACTTTATATGTTCTTTAAAATATTATTTGTCTTTCACTCTTTTACAACAGATATGTGGAGAGAAATATTCTTGCGGAGAACGAATGCTTGTGAGGTTTAAAATTAAAAATTGTTATGTTGTTTTCTTGGAAGACGATATATAACTTTTACATGAAGTAGTTAACATGATAACGATGGTCAAATGTGGTCTTATTTCTAAGGAAATTTCTCAGAAAAGAATGGCCTATTTGAAGGAAATTTCTGGAAATTTCTCAAAAAATTAATTGTTTGGACAAATTCTTGGCAATTCTTAAATTTTACAAATTTATATACACGCTTTTAATCGTGCTTGTTTTACAATATTTACAGTTGAGTCATTTTGGAAAACTGTATAAAACAAGATGAAGCATATGAAGTAAGAACAGAAGACTTTGTTACAACGATTCCGTCATTGTAGCAAACATATCCTAGAGCTTAATCTGAGGGGTGATGGCTCACCTGTATCACCATAGGATGCTTCTTGACATACGGTACACTGATAATACGTCAATCATCCCCAAAATAACTGAATAAAACCAACGTAATCCCTTCTCGTATAGAACGTCCTGTTCAAATCCAGCCAATCCAACTGTCTGAACAAAGCAATAATTTTTTTCATGAACTGTTTGAATAGAATATATCTATTTTTGAATGTTGTGTCAAGTGTCAATAAAGTGTTAAAGAAAAACAATAAGCAAAAGTTGGAACATTAACGTCTACGTAATCACAAGCATAAGCAACGAGCGTGCTTATGACTCTCGAGGGTTTACAGAAAAAACATCAAAATCATATTCTTCTTTTCAATATTTTATACTTCTTTCAGCTTAGGAAACAACATAAAAATAACACCACGCTTTTTGGGCAAATTTATTCCTAAAGCTCCTCCCACCCACTCAAAAAGCGAAGTTACACCATTACACAGGCTTAAGGAAATGTGTTAGGCATTAGCTGAAAGAAGAACACAAAAGAACAAGAGAAAACGAAAGAAGATTTCCATGTCTTTCTGTGTAAACTCTGAAGAGAAAAAGAAATAAAGTTTTATCGTTTATGCTTATTCTATTCGTATGTACCATGCATTCAATTTTGTTTTCTCATGAGACCTAAAAGACCAGGAAAACGGAAATTCTTTTGAATATTGTTTTGTTTATGCTCATGTTGATTCTAATCCTTCATTTATTCTGTCTTGTTTCACAATTAATAATCACTTTTGCTTGTGCTGTAAGACTAGTATGACCAAAGACAGCACCAAAAGCACCTTCTCGTTGTGTAACTTTGCCATTGGAAGTTGAAAAGAAGAAAATCATTTTTCTATGACAGCCACAGGCTAAGAAACTCAATTTTAAAACAAATAATTTAAAAGTGTACACGGTTAAGAATCACTGACGATAATAAGAAAAGATGGCAATGAAGTGAACGCAAGAGCCAGGGTGTCACAATAATTTATGATGCTGAACATACTAAATTATTTGATCAGAGAGCCATGTTAAAGTACTAAGTAACCAAAGTGATTAGTGATTTATTAACGAACATAATAAGTTCATGGTGCGATGATTTCCGATACTGAAAAATCAATTCATTTCTCTCGTATTCTATATTTCTAGACAACAAAGTTGACTTCAAGATGTTGCTAACGGAAGAAACAGATCATCCTTCGACCCAAAACATCCTTCTTCATTGTCCATATCAATAATTCGACCGACCAACAGAGAGCTAGCTTATGTTTGATTATTGCCTAGTTCTGACACGTGCTTGATTTGGTAATAACTGGGGGATTTGGTAGTAAAGAGATGTGCTGTACTTGTGCAACAACTGACTGGCGCTTCTATATACCATGGAGTAATTTTGTAGATGTTAGCACAAATCAGTTAACATGCTTTAGAGCATGTTAATATAAAGTGCTTCTTGCGCTCATATCTTGTGTAAAATTAAAACAAAATCTAATTTACATTAAATCAATCATCATGGTTGAAAGAGAAATTGCAATACGCTGGCAGAGTATTGCAAAATCTTTAAACTCAACATCTATGCGAAATGATTATCACGAGCCAGTCAGACTAGCCGTCTACTTTGAATATTTAATGGTTTATTTGTGCCTATGATTGCACTGTTATAATATTGAGGGATGTTATAACAGTGTCTACAAAGCAATAAAAATTTAACTTCCGGTGATGTTCTAATGTTTGGTAAATGATTTAGCCAAAATAGCTATTTTGTATGATTGTATAGAACTATTGCAATCATAAAGATAATTCCTCGGAGAGGAAACTGTTTCCAAATTTTCGAATCCAACTTGAGGGCTCGTCATGAATGCTCGTCTGTCCATTATGTTCAATGGAGATGATTGACTTCGTTTGAAAAATCTGACAGTAACTTTTGTGCCATAAAAGTAAACCTTTCCTGTAAATGTTTGCAGTTTACAGCTGTTTTCTGGAAATCATCGTAAAGTACCAGTTTTGATAGAAATTTCGACAGATCGTCTGCAAACACTGGTTTTTGAAAATTTATATGCTCCTACAGTTCGTCATGATTGTATTTTAACATTATTCTTACAGTTATTCATGGCACTGAACGATGAAGATTGAGACTGCGGTATGTGTTTGTTTGTCAGTTGTTTGCTTGTTTGCTTCATCATACTGCAACTTTTTCCTCAGTATTTTCAGATGCAGAGGTCGATAAGATCAAGAATAGCAGAACAGAGATGTAAGCATGTATTTGTTTGTATCGTTCATCAAATCTTCTTTGCTTCAATTTCTTTCAGAACCACATTGCCGTAACCTGTCATTGTCAAGCAACGCTTCTTGCAGTAAGTTAAACCAATATTTATTACTTATTTTTGGAAGATATTAAAATTTAAAGAAGGCATGTTTCGAGAAGACAAAATTTTCGACTTCCATTCTTCGGTGTTTGCAGATGATCATAAACATGCACAAAACACAAAAACATGCACATAAAAGATTTTTACAATATTCTAACTAAACTAGAGAGTTCCCTCGCTCTCTAATTTAGTGAAGAATTTCAAAAGAAATTCAAGTATTCCAAAAGAGACTTCTGCCACCTATTTTGAAATAACTTGCACAAAATTTCAAGCAGCGTACACTTGATATTCTCATAGAAATTTTTTGTAATTAAAATAAGATCATACGTATGTAATATAAAATTTGACTAAATCAAAACAATTTTTCAAATGATAGCCAAGTATTCGAAACTTCGATGTAAACTAATAGAATTTGTATGAATACAATTAATAAGAACTTACTGTTTGTTCATTCTTGGAGGAAGATTGGGTGGTTGGAAATGGCATTAATTTTTTGGGAAACGGATGTTTTATATGGACCGTTTACATTCTATATAATAAGTCGTTCATGTTTTGATTGACGTTGTCAGTCAGTGAATTGTAAGTCAAGATGTATCAACTATGAAATACAACCGGAAATCCTTATATATATGTGTCTCTATGTATTGTGTTCAAGAGTAAAACAATCTTCCTTATTATATTACATTTACCATTCACTATGGTATTTGCTATCTTTAGAACTATGTATTATTTCTTTCTCTACAATGTTGTCGCTTTTACAGGGAGTAAAAGCACGAAAATATTTATATGACATGAACAAACTTGCTTGATGACAACTTTGCTCAGTCAAATACTTATTATCTATCAATTACGTATTTACAGAAGTCTTGATTTGAACTACATTTATGCGTTTATTTGCTAAACCTAGTCTTCCCCAATGTTGTTTTCTTCTTATTTCAGACATCCTAATGTAATTATATTGACAACATCGAACATAACTAGAGCCATAGACGTTGCGTTCGTGGACAGGTTGAAAAATATGTTTGTGACTCGAAAGTTTTTTAATTCACTTTCTCATCTAACTTCGCTATTTGTTCGCCCACAGAGCCGACATCAAACAGTATATTGGTCCGCCATCAGCCAAAGCTATTTACAAAATTTACCATTTGTTTGTATGTAACTTATGTCTTCTTGTGCACGTGATCAACGAAATGGCTGCCGGTCAATTATGTTTTCTGGCCAAAAGGAACGCCGAAATGGCTTACCGCAACCTGTCATCATATACAATATAAAACAACAATTTGCCTCGTGAAGTATATCCCCTCTTCTCAGTACTTTGTACCTTTACGTCTACTGCTTTATTTCCATACCACAATATAGTCGTTTGTGCAAGTTATACAAACATGTTGCTTAAATAGAGAGGTGTGCAGCTATATAGAAATTGATTGCAAACGATTGCATTGTAGATAATTTTTTAATAATCAAAATTAATGTTCACCGTTTCATCACAGACCAGTATCATATCACCAGCCACTCAAATTTTGGATTTAAGGTACAACTGAAAAATACACGAAATTTTATTTTGACGAAAATTGACGGTGTTTGTTAGAAATTTTTGTTCACTTCTATGTTGATGACATGGTTTTCTTTTCCGATGTACAACTTTTTTTCCCTATTTTCCATTGTAGCTTTGTCGACAACGATGTAACACACTGTAGTCTTGAATTAAAGAAGATAGCCGAGTAAGTAGATGTTTGTAGATGTAGATCGTCGAGGTTAGTGGTGTCCTGCGAAGGACTGTTGATGTTGATGTTGACTGACTTCTTAACAACCTTAGCGGTAGTCATCTTTAGAGTCAGCATCAACAACAACAGTTCTTTTCAGGACTTTACTAACCTGGACGATCTACATCTACAAACATGTAACGATACTCCCATGTTCAAACCTTTCACTTTAAAGTAAAGTGATGTCACAGAGTAAAATAAACATTTCTTGTCTTAGTTTATGGTAAATATTATGTCACCCAGTCTTCATGTTTTCAAGTTAGTATTCTTCTCGTTTTACAAAGAAAACGAAACTACGCCCGGGGGATTTTCAGAAGTTGTCTGAACCCTGGCAGTATGTTCTAGTTTCTTTTATGAGAAGAATTCTTGTAAAGAAAAAAGACAAATTTTGAAAGGAAAAACCCGTTTTCGGTCCATGCTTCCCGATACCTTCTTAAGCGTAAGGCACTAAAACGCGGCATGTTAACGTTTCGGTAGCAGATTTCGGCCCCTCCACGCTATCCTACTTGGGAGATGCAATAGCAAGCTTCCGCCCATCAGACCCCGAGATCACCTGCGATAGGCTTTGCTCGGGGTACGCAGGGAGAGTGCGGTCGCCACCGAAGTGTGGACCCTAAGCCACTGCATACTATATCGCACCCAGCTTCCACTGCTAGTTGACATCTACTATATGAAGCTATAGATTTATATTTATATATACAAAATTTAGAGGCTTACGAAATTTGTGGTATTATTAAAGTCACAACTGCGCATGCCCAGATAATTTCTTTGATAATTTGCGATTAAGTGGGATAATTGCCCCAGATGTAGTGCAAGTACATCTAGTTAGTCGTTGCCATGACTATAAACAATTAGTCGAGTGGGCTGCGCATGCTCGAGCGCATGCGCAGATGATTTCTCCATTAAATTGTTACTAAACATGCTATTTACTTCAAAATCGGGGCTAGTAGATGCAATTGGTCGTTGCCATGACCATGAACATTGGCAGCCAATCAATTTAACTGCGCATGCTCAGTTGATATCTTTAATAGTTTGTTAATAAGCAAGTTATATACTCCTAATTGATGCTAGTAAATGTAGTTGGTCGTTTCCATGACTATCAACTCGGACAATTGGTCAAGTGGACTTTGCATGCTTGAGCGTGCTGCGCATGCCCAAGCGTACTGCGCATGCTCAGATGATCTTCTTATATTTTTGTGACCAAGCGATTAATTACTCAGTAAGTGATGAAAATAGGTCCAGCTTGTTGTTGCCATCACTATGAATATGAAAAATTTGTTAAATGACTAAATTCCTCATTATAATTGAAATTTATGATTTCCCAATATGTGACCAAGTGAACCACAGAAGGATGCAAGCTTGTTCTGTTTGTCATTGCCATGATTGTAAACTCGAACAGTTTGTTGAGTTGTTTGTGCATGTTCAGATGAGTTCTCAAATAATTTAGGACTGAGGTTTAAAATATACCGTCTTAATACTTGCAACATAAATAAAATTTAACTTTGTATTACATCTACATTTAAGGCGTAAAGATGTTTTTTCTTTGTTATCGTAGTCAGTAGTTATCAAGTAATGGACCACTCTCAAATAATCACGAATATTGGTTGACTTTTGGTTAGGTTTCTTTGGGAGGCCCTTCTCCTTTGAACTTGCAAGGAGCAGTCAAGCGTCTCACTGTGATAAACCTACGAAGTATTCTTTCTCTCATTTTCTTGTTTAGAAAAAGTTATCAACTAAGTGGTCGAACTCTTCGTAAACTACCATTCCTTGCACATGCGCTGTATTCGAAAGTAAGTAATACGAATTAAAGCCTTCACCCGTGTTCTTTGTTGTACATGCATGTACTTATATTGTCCCTCAAACCTACGTAATAGGCGCAAACGATAACCTTAGAAGAGTTTTTGAATAATCTTTCAATGGTTGTCGACAAGCAGTTCAAAGAAAAGAGAATCTTTGCTCAGTTGGTGAAGAAAAAGCGTGCAAACGTGATCTTTTAGCGATTGTATACTTTTATACATTCATAGTAATATTTTGGATATGTTTTGTTGAAGATTAAGATTTTGTATTGCTCAATTTAAGTTCAATAAGTAACATAGATCACAAAGTTTGCTAATTTATATTGATGCTTTAAGACTCCTTACATGACGTTTCCGCAACACACCCGAGGTCAAAGTTCGTATATATTAAAATGCAACAATGTGTATAGTTCGTTATTGAGGATAATGTATAGATTATTTTACATAGGGAAAGATATTTATACGCTATAGTTAATTGTAACTGTTTAATTTCAACTTATGTTTACATTAAATGACATCCTTAAGCCAACTTTACTAATATTGATCGCTATTTTCGTGTTATACATCTATAATCATCTTGTTGTTAAAGATTTGAAGCTTTGCTGCGATAATACAGGTTTGTACAGCTATCTCATCTTTGTTTGTTGCCTGCCTGATAGCATGTCGACTCCGGGACCAGATTTTTATCGTGATTTATATGACATTATAGATTGTCGTACGTCTATCTAATATCTTGAGTATAAACGATATGTTTTTGAAAGATGAGTTTACATATACTCTAGCGTAGTGTCTTCATCAGGAGTGATCTGATGTTGAAACTTGAGTCTTTATATACTCCAGTCTAGTGTCTTCATCAGGAGTGATCTGATGTTGAAACTTGAGTCCTTATATACTCCAGTCTTATGTTTTCATCAGGAGTGATCTGATGTTGAATCTTGAGTCCTTATATACTCCAGTCTTATGTTTTCATCAGGAGTGATCTGATGTTGAATCTTGAGTCCTTATATACTCCAGTCTAGTGTCTTCATCAGGAGTGATCTGATGTTGAAACTTGAGTCCTTATATACTCCAGTCTAGTGTCTTCATCAGGAGTGATCTGATGTTGAAACTTGAGTCCTTATATACTCCAGTCTTATGTTTTCATCAGGAGTGATCTGATGTTGAATCTTGAGTCCTTATATACTCCAGTCTAGTGTCTTCATCAGGAGTGATCTGATGTTGAATCTTGAGTCCTTATATACTCCAGTCTTATGTTTTCATCAGGAGTGATCTGATGTTGAATCTTGAGTCCTTATATACTCCAGTCTAGTGTCTTCATCAGGAGTGATCTGATGTTGAATCTTGAGTCGTTATATACTCCAGTCTAGTGTCTTCATCAGGAGTGATCTGATGTTGAATCTTGAGTCCTTATATACTCCAGACTAATGTCTTCATCTGGAGTGATCTGATGTTGAATCTTGAGTCCTTATATACTCCAGTCTAGTGTCTTCATCAGGAGTGATCTGATGTTGAATCTTGAGTCCTTATATACTCCAGTCTTATGTTTTCATCAAGAGTGATCTTTTATTGAAACTTTCGCTAGTGTTATTTAACCATGTTATCTAAAACTTTATCCTACATAGTCCATTTTGTATTTGTGTTTCCACTTGTTTTCTTTAATGTTTTAAAATAATGTTCTTGACAGCAGAGAATTATTCTCATTATGATTTGGTCGTTGGAATACTTTCATCGCGCGGCAACTTTGATTTGAGGCAAAGTTTACGTGAATCATGGGTTGGCTATGCAAGACGACATTCATCTCTAAATAAAAGGTAAGCACAGGGAAAACACTGAATTTTTTTGAAGGTAGCTGTAGTGTGTTTTGTATTCAATTAGAGCTACTTAGCGTGTGAAACGTTACAGCAAACACAATATTTGTGAAGGTAAAGTGTAGAACAGTGTTTCAAATTGGCCTGTCGCGTTTACAACGAATTTCTTTAATACCAGAGAACGTTTACAACGTATTTCTTCAATACCAGAGAACGTTTACAAAGTATTTCTTCAATACCAGAGAACGTTTACAAAGTATTTCTTCAATACCAGAGAACGTTTACAACGTATTTCTTCAATACCAGAGAACGTTTACAACGTATGTCTTCAATATCAGAGAACGTTTACAACGTATTTTTCAATACCAGAGAACGTTTACAAAGTATGTCTTCAATACCAGAGAACGTTTACAACGTATTTCTTCTATACCAGAGAACGTTTACAAAGTATTTCTTCAATACCAGAGAACGTTTACAAAGTATTTCTTCAATACCAGAGAACGTTTACAACGTATTTTTCAATACCAGAGAACGTTTACAAAGTATGTCTTCAATACCAGAGAACGTTTACAACGTATTTCTTCAATACCAGAGAACGTTTACAACGTATTTTTCAATACCAGAGAACGTTTACAAAGTATTTCTTCAATACCAGAGAACGTTTACAACGTATTTCTTCAATACCAGAGAACGTTTACAACGTATTTCTTCAATACCAGAGAACGTTTACAACGTATGTCTTCAATATCAGAGAACGTTTACAACGTATTTTTCAATACCAGAGAACGTTTACAAAGTTTCTTCAATACCAGAGAACGTTTACAACGTATTTCTTCAATACCAGAGAACGTTTACAACGTATGTCTTCAATACCAGTGAAATGTTTGGTAAACTAATCTGATTACCGATATGAGTAACGTTTTAGCAATTGTCAGATCTACGTAGAATCGAATTGGACATTTTAGCTGACCGCCATTCTTTAAGTAGTGTAGCGTTGTGCGTTTCTATGATGGCCTATTGAATATACCAACAGCAAGGTCTTTAGTTTCGTTTATCAGTTTTGTTCTACACAAGAACAACTCATGCAAACTGCATTCTTTGTCATATGATAAATTTAACTGTGTTGACTAACGTCATTGTATTGAGGCTAAACTCGAATATTCACAAGAAATAACGGTTCACGGTACACTTGCCTAAAATATCCCTTTCTTTGCTGTGGTTTTATTGGCCAGAGTTCCCAACAACCGTTTCTGTCGCAAAAAAAAAAAAATTGTACCAGTGATATAACTAAGTAGAATGACTAAATCTGAAAAAATAAAGTGTTGGTTACTATTCCATTGTTGTTTTAGAGTGTTGGTGAAGTTCATCGTTTCAAATAATGCATGTTACGTTCCTCCAGAGTTCAGGATTGATCCTTACAAATGCGAGAGAAAGAAAATCGAATCTCCAAGTTTGAAAATTTACTTTTGATTTGATAGTTGTGAGGTTTGGCGCCTGGAAAAAGCCGATATAAAACAATATGACGTTGGAATCTCGATGCAGGCGATAAACTAACGAGGCACATATTTACAAACGTCGAACATAACCTACTATACATGTGATATTTAAAGTTAATCAGTTGCGGATTACTCATTACGAAAAGTAAACCAAGACATTGTTAGTTTTTTACTTTTTGCTGCTTGGAACTTGCTAAAAGTGCCGTTTTTAGACCATTTATGATGTTGAAAACCGTACGTGCGATTGAATATCGACGAAAAAAGACTTTCGTACCATCTAGTGTTTAAATGCGCGAGGCTAAGAACTGACGAGGATTTCCCTATTTCTGCAGACTGTTTTGATAATTTTTAAAGTTTATTTTGAACTATTAATTTCTTTTGTATCGTTCACACTATGTGTTACAAACGCAAGCTAGGAAATGCAAAGGCAAAGGAACGTAAAGAACGCAAACGTTGTCAAGAGACTGAGCTTAGTGGAGGGATTAAATATCACCAGGCCTCGTAATTTTGCCTTAGCCTACATGCTCCGTAATTATTAATCAGCCACTGCTGCGAATTTATCATTGCTGTATGTATTTGTAGCGAAGATCAGACAGTCTTGATGGAAATATGTGTTGCTATCTCTCATGGAGATTTTACCGTCATAGAGGCTGGAACGAGTGCATGATCAAACGTGTTTATATGTTTGTCATATTGATGTTTAGACTACGAAAATGAAGTAATTGCTTACAAACGACCAAATGAAGAAAATTTGAGATATTTTCACAGTGGATCTATCGGATGGGACTTTGATGTGAGTATTAGTTAGTTATTTGTAGCCATTAAGAACTGCTCAACGGACACTGTTGCATTGAACTTTGGGACCTTCTGAACAAAGTCTGAAACCTGTTGCATAAAGTGTCTGTTTGGCTTCAGGAGTAAAAATTTGGGTTGGCAATACAATACAATTATTTTTATACAGATCATCCGTCCCATTATTTTGACTCGTCTTGGCATCTCTTTATCATCGTTGAATTCAAAAAGAAACTCTTCTGTTCGACTCTACGACAGAACAACTAAGGTTAAACCATGCAGTTTATAAATACCGTTTACAAGTTATTTGATCTAAATTGTTTTATCTCGTTTCAGAGCGAAATTATATCTGTTTATTTCTCTTTCCAAGACCCTGGTACAACAGAAAACGGTTCGTCGTTTAAAGCAATTGAAAACTTTATTTTGCCAAAGGTGAGTAACAAGTCGATAATTTATCAAAATATTCAAGTGAATTGTTTGAGCTCGGGAGTATCGTTATCATGTTTGTACAGGTTAGTAGAGTGCTGAGAAGGGCTGTTGGTGTTGATGTTGACTGATGTTTCGACAACCTTAGTGGTTGTCATCTTCAAAGTCGAGTGAGGAGTAAACGTCTGCAAGCAGATAACAAATATGGCAAACCTGACGTTTACTCCTCACTTGACTCTGAAGATAACTACCACTAAAGTTGTCGAAACGTCAGTCAACATCAACACCAACAGTCCTTCTCAGGACTCTACTGACCTGGACGATCTACATGCACAAACATGTAAGATATTGAAGCTTAGTCACAAAGTTAATTATGACTTTGAACTTTTCTATAGAGTTTGAACATTTGGTACGTTTCAAATGCCATTATAGGACTTCAAGGGCAGCGTCGTGTCTGAAAACGTAAAATGTTCAAGTTCTCGATGCAGAAAATGCGAGTATTTTGCCAACATTGAAAACGGAGAGGATTATTTCAATGTACACAAGGTATAAAACCATAAAGAAGTTTTATGTCATAGCCAATTGGAGGTGAATTGTTATGATTTAGAGCAAGTGAAGCGATTTTCTCCGAAAGAATTACTATCCAGTAATAAATGTTTTCTTCGGTGCCCTCTTATCGATATTTGGACTAAATTATTGACATTTTACGATATTGCTAAATACAAGTTTTCAATGGATATTTATTGTTTATTTTACAACAGATTCTTGAGCACGAGGCTTTATTTCGCTTTTGATGTAGCAAATTCATGTGTATTAATAAACAATTGGTTACTTAATCGATGTTGCAAGCATTACTAATCTACTAGAACGTATATAAAGGGTTTTCCAATTCAATGTTAAATAATTTTATATTTTGTTGGCTACAGTTACAAATCTATGGTGAATACTAACCCAAACCTACTCTTTTTTCCTAGATAAGACGGATTAACAACGAGTTCGCCGTCTTTCCCGAAGTCGAGGAATCAATTCCTGATGCTAGATGCGTGGATGGGGCTGGAACGTTCATGTATCGACTTTACAGTAGGTGTTTTTATGCTACATTACGTACGTACTGACTTCTTCGTTTTCGCGGTTAACAACGAGAAATTTGATGCAACAGTTGCTCTTAACTGGATTTTTTTCTGCGCACATTGAAAAAGAAACAAAATATCCTCAGCAGTAAAGTGGATTTGTTGCTAGCATTTGTTTGGGAGGAAGCCTCTTCTCAATGTTAGTTTAATTTTAATGAAGAATGCCTCTCCTGTTGTAGCCCACGCATTGCCCCAAAGCCTTATAAGCTGTGAGTCTTTTCCGTTGGAAGCTTGCGAGAATTTTAATTTTGTTTACTCTTTAAGAGAAGAGAAAATTTTGAAAACAAAAAATCCCGTTTTCGGTCCATTTCGATATCCTATTAATTGAAAGGTGGCAAATATCCCTATTACTTTGGGATGTCAATAGCAAGCTTCTGCCCATCAGACCCTGCGATAGGCTTTTCTCGGGGTACGATGCTGCTAAAATCGGATTTGGATATTTGTTGGTAGGGTGGTTTCTTGCAATGAAGTGCAAAGTACACATGCATGTACGTAATAAATTGGATGGCTGTCTCTATGCGATCAAAAGAAGTCATATGAATCCGAAAAGTTAACTGTTTAACCGTAAAATCACTCGAAATGTAAAGTTACTTTCTAGATTGAACCGTGAAAATAAGGTAAAAGAAAGTTATTATTCACAATGAATTTATGACATAAGGGTATAATTTAAACGATACAAATGGCTTGGCTTATTAAATGCTAACTTTGTAAAATCTATTATAAGAATTAGATAATCCATTTTTCCATGAAGCTCATGGATACTTTTGTTCATGATATGAAGTTATATTGTATAAGGAGGCTCTCGTTCATCACGAGAGAGTTATGAGATAGTTACCTTGTAAAAGTTAACATGTAAAAGCGTATAAACATATTTACAGTTGGTTTAAATTATAAGTCATTAAGGCGGAATTTTTTAACTTTTGCAATATCCTTGAATGTTCTAGTTTCTTTTATACAAAAAAAGATTAAATTCAAAAGCAAAACCCGTTTTCGGTCCATGCTTCCCGATACCTGCTTAAGCCGAGGCACTAGAACGCCGCATGTTAACGTTTCGGTAGGAGATTTCGGCCCCTCCACGCTATCCTACTTGGGAGATGCAATAGCAAGCTTCCGCCCATCAGACCCGAGATCACCTGCGATAGGCTTTGCTCGGGGTACGCAGGGAGTGCGGTCGCGACCCGAAACGTCTGGACCCTAAGCCACTGCATACATATCGCACCCAGCTTCCACTGCTAGTTGACATCTACTATACCTAATATTGGCTTTATATATATATACAAAATTCAGAGGCTTACGAAAGTTGCGGTATTATTAAAGTCACTACTGCGCATGCCCAGATGATTTCTTTGATAATTTGCGACTAAGTGAGCTAATTGCCACAAATATAGTGCAAGTACATATAGTTAGTCGTTGCCATGACTATAAACAATTGGTCGAATGTACTGCGCATGCTCCTGCGCATGCGCAGATGATTTATCCATTTAATTGTTACTAAGCATGCTATTTACTTCAAATTCGGTGCTTGTAGATGCAGCTGGTCGTTGCCATAACTATGAAGTCAAAAACTGTCAAGTGAACTGCGCATGCTCAGTTGATATCTTTAATAATTTGCTAGTAAGCAAGTTATCTACTCCCTAATTGATTCTAATAAATGCAGTTGGTCATTTCCATGATCGTTTACTCAGACAATTGGTCAAATAGACTTTGCTTGTACTGCGCATTTCCAAGCGTACTGCGCATGCTCAGATGATTTTGCGTACATTTATGTGACCAAACGATTTAATCACTCAGAAAGCGATGAAAATAGATCCAGCTTGTCGTTACCATGACTATGAAATTGAAAAATTTGTCAAATGGACTGTGCAGACTCATATGAAGTTTAAAGCCTAGTGCCAAACACTAATATTCCCTCACCAAATATTAAAAGAAAAGATGGTACAATGCTTTATGAATAAATTTCTTTAAAGTCTGTAGCAACTTGCAATCCTCCGTAGATTCTCCGGGAAGAGAGTCGTGACAAAGAGGAAGAAGAAACTCGAATGTCGGAGTGGCAGCGATTGAAAGACGATGAGAATGAACGTTTACTTAAAGAAAGCAGAACTATTTCTGATATTCTTTTGTTTCAAATGTCGATGTTTACAGAAATCTTCCATCCCAGTTGCTTCAGTTTTTCTCGTGGTAAGAGAGTGTCTGAGACTTTTATATTTTTCATGCCACTGTGAAATTTCTGGCGATAAGTGGACAGTCTCAAATCAACTTTAAACATTATTTTGCCCAAATAACTTGCATTAGTGTATAATTCATCTCGCCAGTATCTCCTTACCTACGACATCAGTCGTCATATGTCATATTGATCTTGCTTCATGTCGGCTTTTCTTTTAAATAGGCTCTCGGCGACTTTAAGTTTTTCCTTTGTAATGAAAACTGACGATGATTGTTTTGTTAACCTGGAGACCATCTTACAGGTTTGTGAAAGCTCTTCAATAAATAATAGAAAATACGTGTTGGTATCTTGGGAGTTGGGAGTACGTAGAGGTAACTTGGGAGTTGGGAGTACGTAGAGGTAACTTGGGAGTTGGGAGTACGTAGAGGTAACTTGGGAGTTGGGAGTACGTAGAGGTAACTTGGGAGTTGGGAGTACGTAGAGGTAACTTGGGAGTTGGGAGTACGTAGAGGTAACTTGGGAGTTGGGAGTACGTAGAGGTAACTTGGGAGTTGGGAGTACGTAGAGGTAACTTGGGAGTTGGGAGTATGTAGAGGTATCTTGGGATTTTGGAGTACGTAGATGTATCTTGGGATTTTGGAGTATATCAATCTGGTGGCTTAAGCGTGGTTTTTAAAATGGTTAAGATGTGGTTTTAGAGGGGTTTAAGGGTAGTTTAAGGGTGGTTTAACCGTAGTCTAGGGTAGCGAAGCGTAACTTAAAGCCTTGGACCACCTTTAAACCACGCTGAAGCTACCCTTAAAACTCCCTTAAAACATTTTACGCTACCCTTAAAACATCCTTACTCTACCCTTAAACCACCCTTAAAACACCCTTACGCCACTCTTAAACCATGCTGTGGAGATGATTTTACACCATCCCAGACCTCTCATTGAGAGCTTTGGAATGAGCCTCGTCCCGAGTCTCTACAATAAAAGCACGAGGAAATAGAAATTGCGCATGCTCAGTATAGAGTCGATTTCAACATTAATTACCTCCGGAAGTATACAAGCTCCGGAAGTATACAAGGTATGAGAATATGAGTTGTAGTTATTGCTTCTAAATGCAATTGCTTCTTCATATTTACAGCTTTCGTACTGATTGGTTAATCAAGAGACAGGGAAAATGGGCCGAGCCTGATTATCCGGGAGTGGCTTATCCGACATTTGCCTGCGGTGCGGGCAGCATTATATCTTCGGATATTGTTCACTGGCTGACAAAAAACGAGAAATCTCTAAAACGTTATCAGGTATATGATAGAAAAACCACGACGAGATTACAATGTTGAAAGTGACCTCTTGATGTGTAAAGATGTAGTTCTCAGAGTACTAGATATTGACACATGTTTTTTTCTTTCTTGTGTAAAGGGGGAGGATGTCTCTATGGGTATTTGGTTATCAGCTATTGCTCCTGAAATTTATAAGGTAAGATCTCCTTTTCTTCTCTGCAAGTTTGTGACGGTTGTTCAACAAGATCCTTTATGGTGATCTTACTCTTACGAGCCCAGGTTCTTATGAACCAGCGGCCGAACATGTGACGGTGTTTCCTTTCTATTTCAAATACTTCAGGATGAGCGATGGTCGTGTTTCGGGGATTGTCAGATGGAAATGTTTACCTTGCCCGAGCAGGATGCCGATTCTCTTCTCTATTTATGGGAAAACTTTATGTCCTGCGGTAATCCTTGCAAATGTTGAGGTACGTTAGTTATGTCGGGGAGAGGGAGATAAGAAAAATTCCAAATCCACACAAAAAGATAGAAAAGTACAGCTTCAATTAAACTTTTTATCTTTTTTTCACTTAATTAAATCTATTTTCTCTATATTACAAATTTAATGTTTTGGCTTTTACGAACGACATTAATTTAAATTAAATAAAATCTATAGCGCTGTGTAATATCGACATTATTCCTGCTATGCAAATATTTTGTGTTCATTAACTGCAAAACAATCGAAATAATTCCGAATAATTTTGCTAAAAATTTGCCATGCAGGTGTAAAGATTTCGATTAGCCTCGCTTATGTCCCTGCGTACTTCATGTAAAATATTTATTGCAATGCTCATTGTGTAAAGTGTATAAGTACAGACTTGACTGCGATCAAATTACGTCATAGCGTCAAATTACGTCATTAGCGACGAAAACGTCATAAAATCAGAGATAAGCATAAAATGTTTCACATTTTCTTAACGAAATGCATGTCGTTTTTTGCGTTTGAATATTTATTGTGGGAAAGGTTTAGTAAGTCGATTCGATCGTTTATAATTAACTTTCTTCTCGTAGGAGTTAATCTTTATGTGGAAACATCTTCGTGGTAGTCAAGTTGTACCACAGTTCATTGTCAAATCTCATCTTTCCTGAAACAGGATCCATAAATATTCTCTTCAGTAGAACACACGGCCATATTCCTCCAAGAATCTTTTCAATATCACGAGGATTCAACAGAAACGTTTGACATGACCGTTAAAGTTTCTTCATCGGAAACGCTACTACCGTTTGGTAGGGCGATAAAACGATCAGCGTTTTTAATATCTTCTATTAAACTTCCACCTCTTTCCTCGCGGGTGAACACGCTACCGTTGCTTGTCAAGCTGTCGGCAACGTTCGACACCTTTTGACCAATTTTATCGGGAGATTCCGACTCTCGACCCTGAGCGCTCTCCGTCTCGCTGTTGAATCTGGGTGACGAGTCTCGCTACTCGTGGAAATGTAGCTGTTTTCTTGTGGACTTCCTTGTTGTCGTCTCTGCTCTCGTTGTTGTTTGTATTCACATGCTGCAAGTTTCGCAGTCAAATCACGTATTTCCTCCTGTGAAAAGTGTAAGGATAATGATTTTAATATAGGAATGTCATTAATTGAACATCAAATCGGCTTATTTCATAAGTGTTAACGGATTCTTTGCTACAATTTCAATGGTTTTAATTGAGGATAATTACTCTATATTGAAGATGATAATCTCTGTAAATTGGGGATAATAATCAACTACAAGTGATAATGATCACTTTCGCGTGTTGCGTGAGTTGAGATTTTGGCAGTTGTTTAACAAAGCATATTTCACACGTTGTTTGACGTGCGCCTATAAATGGCTTAATGCATAATGTGCTGTCACAAGGAGCACACATTCAATTTTCAAGTTTTGAGAAACTGAAAGACCGTAATTGGACGTGAATACCATCACAGGGACCAAAGTTCAACTCATTTCCCCCATACCTTCCCGTCAGACCCTGGCGCATCTCACGATCGACTCGTTCTTTAGCAACTCTGCGATGATCTGACAAATCTCCCTAACCCTCAAACCTAGGCCACCCACTTTGCAAATGGAGAGTCGTTCTTTGTATTTAAGACAATAACCATTGACATTGTTTCTTTGAACATTCTTCGAAAAATCCTCGTTTTAATCTGTACTCAAACAGTATTCCCAAAACATCTTACCCTCAGTTGTATATTCTCAGTTTCCAGACCCTCGCGGCTTTTCTCTTCATCGTTTTCGCACACCAAAGTACCGTCCTCCAAACGGTTGAGATGAAATGGTGATTTACGAAGATCCGTCATCGTTGTGGCTATAGACGAACTACCCGAGAACGCCTTCTTTGATTTACATTGTATTTTTCAAGAAGTATACCTTTAAAACAGACAGGAAAAATTTAATATCGAGGAGGGCAGGTGGTATAGGTCAGCAAGTACACAGACTGACTTAAGCATTAAATGTTTGTAAATGATGATCGTCCAGGTTAATAAAGTCCTGAGAAGGACTGTTTTTGTTGTTGTTGACTGACGTTTCGACAACCTTAGCGGTAGTCACCTTCAGAGTCAGTGTCAAAATGACTCTGAAGATGACTACCGCTAAGGTTGTCGAAACGTCAGTCAACAACAAACAGTCCTTCTCAGAACTTTATTAACCTGGACGATCATCATTTAAACGTGTAACGATACTCCCGGGTTCAAACCATTTACTTTATTAAGCATTAAATGTTATGTACTGGAATACTTGAGTATGCTTCGAAACAGAGAAATGTCCTTTGAAAAAACGCGTCGTGCAGTTTTATAACATTCATACTTCCACATTAGTCAATATGTGTCGTAATGTATCCTAAAACATTTCGTAATTTAATGAAAAACGACTTCGCGTGACCTAAAGCATAACAAAGAGATAAGTATCTTCGCTGCTGCATGATTCCTTTCGATGAGAGAATGTAACCCTTGGCTAATCTCTTTTGATATTTGAAACGAACGTCCAAGACATATTTGGCCATTTGTTTACGCTAATTTGTTCACCATATGGTGTTTCAACGACAATATTCAATTTAAAGTTTTGAAAAATAAAATTTAATGAAGAAAATATAAGGCATCGAGGATAATCTGACGTGTTTATCTTCGAGAGCTCTTCAAGTTGGGCTTGGCCGTTCTATTAAAAAGCTTTTGTTCTATTTTCTTTTCGGGCTCATTGCCAATCGCATCATAACACACTTCATAATCAATCGTAAAACGCTTACTCGTTCATTGATGGAAAGCCAAAACTCAACGAAGAAAAGGTCCAGTAGATAGACGTATTGACAAAAACCCGAAGCTCTCTAGATTACAAATTTCTGCTTTTGAGAGGTTTTAAGATCCTCTTTCATCGGCAGTAATTAATACTAAGTTAACAGTACAACCATTACCTTGAAAGCAAAGAGCAAAACCAACATAACGGTGGCAATGACATGCGTTGACAAACTGTTTACGACATACGCCACATCAGGATTGTGAAAGTTATCTAGAAAAAATTCTAAATAAAAGAGAATGTTGTCAAAACAATTCAACCTTTAATGCTATAACCAACAACTACAAACAATAACGACCTTATCTAACAACATTTGAGAAACTAACCTTCCTCCTCTTCCTTGTAAACGAGACAAGTCTACTCAAAGGCAGAGAGCCTTTATGCCCTTCTGCTTTTGAGTAGACTTGTCTCGTTGAAGAAGTGTTAATTCTCAAATGTTGTTAGATAAGTCGTTATTGTTTTTGTTGGTATATATGCTATCATTCTTTTGTTTAATAACATTCCAACAATTCAACCTTTCATGAAAATGACAGTAACACCGATGCAAACATTTTGCCTTACCTCAGAAGACCAACTACGATCTTAACAAACAGAGTGTTATATATACACCAGGCGATGTACTTGCTCTCGTTGTACGCCGAGGGAGCATTTCGTACACGGATACAAAGCCAAACACCCCACAGCAGAAATAAAACCTCGCCTAGGAAAGAAGAAAGGGATACAAAATTTAGTCTCCAGAGAGTAAGAAAATACATGGGAATTATAACAAGTTTCACCATAGATAAACTGGGGATTATCAAAGTAAATGGTTTGAACCCGAGAGTATCGTTACATGTTTGTAAATGTAGATCGTCCAGGTTAGTATAGTCCTGAGAAGGACTGTTTTTGTTGTTGTTCACTGACGTTTCGACAACCTTAGCGGTAGTCATCTTCAGAGTCAAAAACTCTGAAGATGACTACCGCTAATCGTCAGTCAACAACAACAAAAACAGTCCTTCTCGAAACTATACCAACCTGGCGATTATCAGTTGTGGTCGTGCCTATAGTCTTAGGAGAGTAAAAACTTACAGTTGTAAAGAAAGCTTACAAGCAAAATAATAAAAGGACTTTACCGATTTCAAAGGCATTAGTGAACCACGGTTTGACGCAGCGCCTGTATTTGTAACCGGAATTTGTCTTTATCGTCTCATATTCGTGATCTTGTGTTAAAGTCCAGATAGCGAAATAAGAGCGTGAGGATCATCAGGTGAAGTAGGATCATCAATAATCTGTTATATACAAAAACATAATTTATCCATAGAATCATAGCAAAGTTACGATGGACAGATGAGAGTTATTAACGCTATAAAACTTAAATTCAATATATCGTATAAAGTACCTCAAATCCCGACGATTTCTCGTATCGAAAGGATTCTAAAGTAAAGATGAAAATTAAGATGAGAAATTTCGAAGAACTGAAACTAGAGAATTTTTCAACAAAAATGTTGAAAATACCTGTACTACCACAAGATTCTTCAATGTCTATGCTCTAAAATAATAGTCATAAAACGACAATTTCAAAAGCATAAAAACTCAATATTTGTAACTTTGGTGAAAGATACAGGATGAACATGAAACCTTCTCAGAAGACGATGGAACAAGACCATAACCATTTGATGTGAACTTCTTTCAAACAACGTTTGCGTAATCCGTTAGCATACCATGAAAACTAACTTCTGGTTTAGGCGACGCTTTACTAGCAACCTCCTCAACGTCTTCAGGACAATTAACGTATACTGAACTGGTGTCACAAGGCTCAATGACGATGACCAACCACTAGCCATACCTAACATGTTACCACGAGAGATCTTTCTTGGGTAGATGAAGGTTTTAGGAACTTCAGACAAGGGTTGTGTTGAGCTGAGAACTAAAAAAGAACAAATATGGATAGATGATGAAGTGGAGAACAAGAATAGAGGTTATAGAAGACACACTACGTATGCTCATTGGTGTTTCACAAGAGTATACATTACAGGATAACTATGGATCCAAGTAGTATAAACAACTAGGTACATTTAAGCAATCCATCTTTCCCATCGTAAACACAAGTGTCAAAAACGTGATCAAATTACAAAATTCGTGCAATCAAATAGTCGGACATGGCATTGTATTTGTAGAAGAGAGCCAATAAAATAAAAAGATTCTCTTGGGGCATTTGTAAATATTAGTTTAGAAATACAGATCGACTAATTATAAAGGCAGAAGATGTAAGAGTGAATAAAAACCATTTCCCGTCAAATCAAAGGAAAGCTTGGATATGACATGCAATATGCAAGTATAAAGTTGTAGAGAAAAATAAAAACATTTTAAGGTTGTCACGGATATTTCGAGTGCCGTAACAAAGTGTTGACGAGTTTCACATGCATTTGTCAAAACAAGCTTAAGTAGACAAAGAGCATGCCAAAAATATATGATGGAAAACTTGCTCAGCGCATCTACAAGCACCAATTTCAGAGCTCGCTCTGTCACAAATTAATTGAGAATCTGAGCATGCGTTGTCAACTCCACAAACTCTCCAAGCTCATGGTAACGACCAACTGGATGTACTAGTACCGATTTTGGAGTAATTAGCTCGCTCAGTCACACGTTTTAAGACAAATCATCTGCGCATGCGCAGTCTCATTGAGCATGCGCAGTCAACTTGACCAGCTACCCAAGTTCATGGTCATGGCGACGACCAACTGCATCTACTAGCACCAATTTTGAAGTAAATATCATGCTTAGTAACAATTTAATAGAGAAATCGTCTGCGCATAAGCTCGAGCATGCGCAGTCCACTCGAGTAATTGTTCATAGTCATGACAACGACCAACTATATGTACTTGCACTACAATTGTGTCAATTAACTCACTTAGTCGCAAATTATCAAAGAAATCAACTGGGCATGCGCAGTAACGATAACAATCATCCCACAACTTTCGTACGCCTTTAAGTTTTGGCATATATATATAAAGCTAAAACTTCATATAGTAGATATCAACTAGCAGTGGAAGCTGGGTGCGATATAGTATGCAGTGCCTTAGGGGCCCACACTTCGGTGGCGACCGCACTCTCCCTGCGTACCTGAGCAAAGCCTATCGCAGGTGATCTCAGGGTCTGACGGGCGGAAGCTTGCTATTGGCATCTCCCAAGTAGGATAGCGTGGAGGGGCCGAAATATCCTACCGAAACGTTAACATGCGGCGTTCTAGTGCCTTGCGCTTAAGAAGGTATCGGGAAGCATGCACCGAAAACGGGGTTTTTTGCTTTCGAATTTTATCTTTTTGTTTTCTTCTCATAAAACAAACCAAGCAATGTTTCAATTAACTTCTTATGACCCTGTCTTTTTCTGACACTTATAAATAAAGACAACCTTAAACATGTTTTATACCAATTTTATCGGTTTATATCTTTCTGATTTAACTCTCCCATTTACTGTTTCTCATGTATTACGAGCAAACCATACATATGTTTCATGGAAAACAAACAAGGATTATGTGGTTCCCTTAGTTAACATGCGACGCTCTAGTGCTCAACTATCTCGGGGTATCGGGAGGCATGGACCGAAAACGGGATTCTTTGGTTTTCAAAATTTATCTTTTCTTTACAAGAATTCTTCTCATAAAAAACTAGAACGTCCAAGGATATTTCAAAGGTTCAAACAACTTCTGCCTTTTGAACTATAACTTAAAAATTCTAAGCATGTTTATACGTTTTTTATTTATTACCTTTTACAACGTAACTTTCTCATAACTCTCTCGTGATGAACGAGAGCCTCATTATACAATATGACTCTTTCATCATGAACGAACGCATCCATGGGCTTCACGGAAAAAAGGGATTATGTACTTTGTTATAATAGTTTCTACAAAGATAACATTTATTAAGCTAAGAAATTTGAAAATAAAAATATATTTGAGTTATTAGCAAATAACAAGTCGAGAATTCATTGATCATACTCATTCCAATTGGTCTGGAACAACCATGACATTTATAATTTTGACCATCCAACCCTTTATCAAGGGCTATATTGTTAATTAACGACAGTAACTTCATACGTCGTTCTTGCTGAACACCTTCAGGTGAAGTAGGATCATCAATAATCTGTTATATACAAAAACATAATTTATCCATAGAATCATAGCAAAGTTACGATGGACAGATGAGAGTTATTAACGCTATAAAACTTAAATTCAATATATCGTATAAAGTACCTCAAATCCGACGATTTCTCGTATCGAAAGGATTCTAAAGTAAAGATGAAAATTAAGATGAGAAATTTCGAAGAATTGAAACTAGAGAATTTTTCAACAAAAAAATGTTGAAAATACCTGTACTACCACAAGATTCTTCAATATCTATGCTCTAAAATAATAGTCATAAAACGACAATTTCAAAAGCATAAAAACTCAATATTTGTAACTTTGGTGAAAGATACAGGATGAACATGAAACCTTCTCAGAAGACGATGGAACGAGACCATAACCATTTGATGTGAACTTCTTTCAAACAACGTTTGCGTAATCCGTTAGCATACCATGAAAACTAACTTCTGGTTTAGGTGACGCTTTACTAGCAACCTCCTCAACGTCTTCAGGACAATTAACGTATACTGAACTGGTGTCACAAGGCTCAATGACGATGACCAACCACTAGCCATACCTAACATGTTACCACCAGAGATCTTTCTTGGGTAGATGAAGGTTTTAGGAACTTCAGACAAGGGTTGTGTTGAGCTGAGAACTAAAAAAAGAACAAATATGGATAGATGATGAAGTGGAGAACAAGAATAGAGGTTATAGAAGACACACTACGTATGCTCATTGGTGTTTCACAAGAGTATACATTACAGGATAACTATGGATTCAAGTAGTCTAAACAACTAGGTACATTTAAGCAATCCATCTTTCCCATCGTAAACACACGTGTCAAAAAAAACGTGATCAAATTACAAAATTCGTGCAATCAAATAGTCGGACATGGTATTGTATTTGTAGAAGAGAGCCAATAAAATAAAAAGATTCTCTTGGGGCATTTGTAAATATTAGTTTAGAAATACAGATCGACTAATTATAAAGGCAGAAGATGTAAGAGTGAATAAAAACCATTTCCCGTCAAATTACAATAACGCGGAGAGGAAAGGAAACACACAAAAAGATGATGCGGTAGGAATTTTTAAAGTGTTCTTTTTATTGTTTCTGGTTGCACAATTTCATATTAATTTATTTTATTACCACAGTTATATTAACAAAAGTATGTGTACAAATTTATTTATGCCCACAATGTGGTGTAAGGAAAAACACTTATTCGGAGCACATTTTCCAATTTCAAGTCTGGATTCTCTACATCCTTTAATCACAATGTCATATATGTTAATAGAATAGCAGTGTGTCATATGAATCTCAATTTTTTGAACAAGAAAATGAATTTGGGGATTTGGTAAGTTTACATATATTGTAAAACTATGTAGATATAAAAATACGCTATGTTTATGGGTTTTTAATTTATATGTAGAATGAACAAAGTGAAGATATTGCTGAAAATTATGACAAGCACCAAGAGTTAACCACCAAAACACAAGTTTTTAATGTACATATTGATATTGTTTCTCATGAAAAGTCATTGGAAGTGGTTATATGTAGGACTGCTTTCACTAGAAATAACTAAAAAATTTTGAAGTAATTTAAAGAAGGCATGCATTATTTAAACACTTATTAAAAGTCTGTACACATTTTAAATTAAATAATGGTCTTTATTTGTAGGACTCTGAAGATATCTTTACCAAGCAATCTATCTCTATTATTACAGAGGAACCCAAACAACCATGTCAACATAGTCAAGTAGTTCTCACATATACAGTTATACTTTATACTGTTTACCACTAGTCATGTTTTTAATGTGTTATAAATTGACAATATGCTTGTTGATTGCTTATGCATGAAACACTGTCTAGCAAAACTTTATTAACATCTGGTAGAAATGTGCTCAACAAACATAAAATATATTACAATAGATATTTTTGAAACAGTGAACATTAATAATTACTGTGTACTTGCTCTTTCAGAGTCATTTGTCACCCACTGGCCACTATACTGGGCTATTGTTACAGTTTGACTTTGCATCAAATGTATCATGTCAGCAATCCTTTGTTGTTCATGATTATAATGCAAACAAAAGAACAATTATGGTGATGTCAAATTTTATTTCCATAATTTCAATGTTGGGTATATACCCAACTAAATGATATTACTCAATACGCTTTTTTTGGTGCTATAATCTGCATGTATTTTTTTCTTCAGCATAATTCATTTGTATTTGTACATCGATATCCCCACCTATTGCTTGATGGCTATGGTTGGATATTGTGCTGCTCATGTGATGCAAATAGAAAGCAATTTGTTGATGCCCTACCTAATAATATACAATTAGATCCTCAAAAAGGTATGTAAAATAGATGTTACTGCAATGAAATGATTAAAACAGGCCAAACAACATTTTTGTACTTGTCAGATATACCATATCCGAGTTGCATACACATATTAGCAATGGAAAAATATCTGGTTGTGTATGATAGAAAGTTTGGTATTGAAGCCAAAGATTTTATTGAAAAAGTAAGTGTTGTGTGTTACTCTTTCAGGATATAAGGTGTCTGAACAGCTTCACCAAATTTTGACTTACACTTACATACTATTTGTTTCAAGACCCTTGTCAAAGATGTGAGAACTTGTTACATATTAATCTGACATTGCATGTAGTGAATGTCTCAAATTTGTATTTGGCTTATTTTTCAATGTAAAGTTCTTCATGTGGTATGGGAGAAAATGTCTTCATCCTTAAATATCAGTTTATTGTACATTTCAAACCCTTGTGAAGTCATCCTTCTGTGTTTTACAAGACCCTTGTTCGACATTGTTCTTATTACATGTGGATGTTAACCCACAGCTTTACAAGCAAAAATATTGTTAAAACTTGTGAATGATTATTTACACAATATATTTATCTCATGGAATTTCTTTTATGAATGCAGAATCCACATCCATGATGCAGTCTGTTTTCAGTGATCATTCCTACCATGAGATGCAACCTGAAGAAGTATATTTTGTTATGTGAAAATAACTTTTTTGTACAAATACACGTATTGTTTCTCAACCTTCTAATACCCCACAATTTGTTACCATACATCCTGTGCCTAAGTTCAGGAGCTTCTATAAAGCTATTAGGGTGATAACCAACAGGGCAAATTGAATTTATTTATGACTATTGAGGTATACACATTCATACTCACATACATACATAGCCACATACTTACAGTACATACATTAAGTAGTATAAACTAAATGTATGACAAAAATAGTAAAGTCATATTCACCATTTGCTTTACGTGCCTGATATATATATATTAAGCACTTTCTAAGGATTTTGTGAAGTCATAATTAATCATAATTATTAATCTGCATACACATACACACACATACATACACACACATACATACACACACATACATACACACACATACATACACACACATAATACAACCTTAAAGATAAATGATTTTACATATTTTAGGACTTGTTTAGTGCAGTGTGCAGGGAGGTTCAGTGGATTGCTGTAAAACCAGTGAATAGTCCATGGGGGGTTTGTACTTTAGTGTATTCAAAAGTAATGCCGCCCCAGCCCGAGTTAAAATGTTGCAGCTATTCGTCATATCATTGCATTCATGTGACAACCCTTGCAAAAGCCATGCAAATCGTTGACGAGGATGAAATGGATTCTCCATTGGCACTTTTTAAGTTTTCCTTTGGAATTACACCAGATGCGAGACTATTTTGAATTGGCTACACTTAGCAAAGAAAAGGTTTCTTTATTTGAAACAAGTATGCAAGATAATCTGCAATGGTGAACATCCTTTTAGCTTTACATATACTATTTCCTTTATCGGTATGGTATTTAGCACTTTCTAGCATTTTGTAAATATTACTATTTAATTATTTTAGGCAATGAGAATGATGCAAGCGATTTTACTGATCTTCCTGAAAAAAATGGTCATAAAATTTTGGCGCCATCTGAAAGTGGTATTTGTTCTTGTGGTGCAGAGTGGGATAAACGTTCTATTCAAGATGAATGGTTGTACGTAGACTTGTGTTCAGTTGCGTACTTTTGTTCAATCCATGATGTGAAGGGTAAGTTCTGATTTGTTATAGGTTACGCTTCACTTCATAATTATTTGACTTAAATAAATTATTTAGTGTATTGTAGACCTTGCTCCTCTTGTGCTACGAAAAGCATTATGATGGCATTGAAAACAGGATTGTATGGTTTGGATCATATGCAATATCTCATGCCGATCTAAAGATTACATTCGGCTTTTCATAACGGCTTTTCGAGGTACTTTTAATGAAAATTTGCCGAAGCATTAGTAGCTACGTTTGTCCATTATTTAATTTTCTCGCACTATATCTTTTGAATGTTTTTCTTTTTATTCTTGTTCAGTTTACCTATGTACAAATATTATGTTGCATATGTACAAAGGCAAGTGTCTTCGGGTAGTTTGAATTTCCCAAAGGAAATAACTTACGCCAAGTTTCGTCTCGCTATCATTGCCATGATACGGTAAGCATCATTTCATTTTCAGCTGCAAAATATGAATATTCCATTGAGATAGTGATCGCTTGTTTTATTAAGTTATTGAATTTTCTCTTATTAAGGTTGCTTGATATTGATTTTGACAATGGGTTTTTTTGTGAATTATGTGGAAGAATTCCCAGAAGGTGGTGATGGATGGAACAACTCTTGGAATACAGAAAACTTTCTTACCAAATAATTTAAGAGAGTCTGATACTGGATTGCTAGATTGAAGATAAGTATTTTTGAAGTTTATCTGTAATATATAATATATACAGGTCTGCTAATTAGTAAATACGAGTGTTCATCTACGTATCAGAAAGCATTTTATGCATGATGGTGACTTCTCTCATTTTGTTTTTGTACACAGCTTATAGTTATAAAAATAACAACCTGTTTTCTTAACAGGTTTGTTCTCATAACAAAGTACATAATCCCTTTTTTCCGTGAAGCCCATGGATGCGTTCGTTCATGATGAAAGAGTCATATTGTATAATGAGGCTCTCGTTCATCACGAGAGTTATGAGAAAGTTACGTTGTAAAGGTAATAAGTAAAAACGTATAAACATGCTTAGAGTTTTTAAGTTATAGTTCAAAAGGCAGAAGTTGTTTGAACCTTTGAAGTATCCTTGGACGTTCTAGTTTTTTATGAGAAGAATTCTTGTAAAGAAAAGATAAATTTTGAAAACCAAAGAATCCCGTTTACGTCCATGCCTCCCGATACCCCGAGATAGTTGAGCACTAGAGCGTCGCATGTTAACTAAGGGAACCACATAATCCTTGTTTGTTTTCCATGAAACATATGTATGGTTTGCTCGTAATACATGAGAAACAGTAAATGGGAGAGTTAAATCAGAAAGATATAAACCGATAAAATTGGTATAAAACATGTTTAAGGTTGTCTTTATTTATAAGTGTCAGAAAAAGACAGGGTCATAAGAAGTTAATTGAAACATTGCTTGGTTTGTTTTATGAGAAGAAAACAAAAAGATAAAATTCGAAAGCAAAACCCGTTTTCGGTCCATGCTTCCCGATACCTTCTTAAGCGCAAGGCACTAGAACGCCGCATGTTAACGTTTCGGTAGGAGATTTCGGCCCCTCCACGCTATCCTACTTGGGAGATGTAATTGAAGAGCTTTCACAAACCTGTAAGATGGTCTCCAGGTTAACAAAACAATCATCGTCAGTTTTCATTACAAAGGAAAAACTTAAAGTCGCCGAGAGCCTATTTAAAAGAAAAGCCGACATGAAGCAAGATCAATATGACATATGACGACTGATGTCGTAGGTAAGGAGATACTGGCGAGATGAATTATACACTAATGCAAGTTATTTGGGCAAAAATAATGTTTAAAGTTGATTTGAGACTGTCCACTTATCGCCAGAAATTTCACAGTGGCATGAAAAATATAAAAGTCTCAGACACTCTCTTACCACGAGAAAAACTGAAGCAACTGGGATGGAAGATTTCTGTAAACATCGACATTTGAAACAAAAAGAATATCAGAAATAGTTCTGCTTTCTTTAAGTAAACGTTCATTCTCATCGTCTTTCAATCTCTGCCACTCCGACATTCGAGTTTCTTCTTCCTCTTTTGTCACGACTCTCTTCCCCGGAGAATCTACGGAGGATTGCAAGTTGCTACAGACTTTAAAGAAATTTATTCATAAAGCATTGTACCATCTTTTCTTTTAATATTTGGTGAGGGAATATTAGTGTTTGGCACTAGGCTTTAAACTTCATATGAGTCTGCACAGTCCATTTGACAAATTTTTCAATTTCATAGTCATGGTAACGACAAGCTGGATCTATTTTCATCGCTTTCTGAGTGATTAAATCGTTTGGTCACATAAATGTACGCAAAATCATCTGAGCATGCGCAGTACGCTTGGAAATGCGCAGTACAAGCAAAGTCTATTTGACCAATTGTCTGAGTAAACGATCATGGAAATGACCAACTGCATTTATTAGAATCAATTAGGGAGTAGATAACTTGCTTACTAACAAATTATTAAAGATATCAACTGAGCATGCGCAGTTCACTTGACAGTTTTTGACTTCATAGTTATGGCAACGACCAGCTGCATCTACAAGCACCGAATTTGAAGTAAATAGCATGCTTAGTAACAATTAAATGGATAAATCATCTGCGCATGCGCAGGTGCATGCGCAGTACATTCGACCAATTGTTTATAGTCATGGCAACGACTAACTATATGTACTTGCACTATATTTGTGGCAATTAGCTCACTTAGTCGCAAATTATCAAAGAAATCATCTGGGCATGCGCAGTAGTGACTTTAATAATACCGCAACTTTCGTAAGCCTCTGAATTTTTGTATATATATATAAAGCCAATATTAGGTATAGTAGATGTCAACTAGCAGTGGAAGCTGGGTGCGATATGTATGCAGTGGCTTAGGGTCCAGACGTTTCGGGTCGCGACCGCACTCTCCCTGCGTACCCCGAGCAAAGCCTATCGCAGGTGATCTCGGGGTCTGATGGGCGGAAGCTTGCTATTGCATCTCCCAAGTAGGATAGCGTGGAGGGGCCGAAATCTCCTACCGAAACGTTAACATGCGGCGTTCTAGTGCCTCGGCTTAAGCAGGTATCGGGAAGCATGGACCGAAAACGGGGTTTTGCTTTTGAATTTAATCTTTTTTGTATAAAAGAAACTAGAACATTCAAGGATATTGCAAAAGTTAAAAAATTCCGCCTTAATGACTTATAATTTAAACCAACTGTAAATATGTTTATACGCTTTTACATGTTAACTTTTGAACTTGCAAGGAGCAGTCAAGCGTCTCACTGTGATAAACCTACGAAGTATTCTTTCTCTCATTTTCTTGTTTAGAAAAAGTTATCAACTAAGTGGTCGAACTCTTCGTAAACTACCATTCCTTGCACATGCGCTGTACTCAAAAGTAAGTAATACGAATTAAAGCCTTCACCCGTGTTCTTTTTGTTGTACATGCATGTACTTATATTGTCCCTCAAACCTACGTAATAGGCGCAAACGATAACCTTAGAAGAGTTTTTGAATAATCTTTCAATGGTTGTCGACAAGCAGTTCAAAGAAAAAGAGAATCTTTGCTCAGTTGGTGAAGAAAAAAGCGTGCAAACGTGATCTTTTTAGCGATTGTATACTTTTTATACATTCATAGTAATATGAATGTATAAAAATAATCATAATATCTTCATGATATGAGATAATAACTATCATATCATGAAGACATACGTTGTAAACGTTCTCTGGTATTGAAGACATACTTTGTAAACGTTCCCTGGTATAGAAGAAATACGTTGTAAACGTTCTCTGGTATTGAAGACATACTTTGTAAACGTTCTCTGGTATTGAAAAAATACGTTGTAAACGTTCTCTGATATTGAAGACATACGTTGTAAACGTTCTCTGGTATTGAAGAAATACGTTGTAAACGTTCTCTGGTATTGAAGAAATACTTTGTAAACGTTCTCTGGTATTGAAGAAATACGTTGTAAACGTTCTCTGGTATTGAAGAAATACTTTGTAAACGTTCTCTGGTATTGAAGAAATACGTTGTAAACGTTCTCTGGTATTAAAGAAATTCGTTGTAAACGCGACAGGCCAATTTGAAACACTGTTCTACACTTTACCTTCACAAATATTGTGTTTGCTGTAACGTTTCACACGCTAAGTAGCTCTAATTGAATACAAAACACACTACAGCTACCCTCAAGAAAATTCAGTGTTTTCCCTGTGCTTACCTTTTATTTAGAGATGAATGTCGTCTTGCATAGCCAACCCATGATTCACGTAAACTTTGCCTCAAATCAAAGTTGCCGCGCGATGAAAGTATTCCAACGACCAAATCATAATGAGAATAATTCTCTGCTGTCAAGAACATTATTTTAAAACATTAAAGAAAACAAGTGGAAACACAAATACAAAATGGACTATGTAGGATAAAGTTTTTAGATAACATGGTTAAATAACACTAGCGAAAGTTTCAATAAAAGATCACTCTTGATGAAAACATAAGACTGGAGTATATAAGGACTCAAGATTCAACATCAGATCACTCCTGATGAAGACACTAGACTGGAGTATATAAGACTCAAGATTCAACATCAGATCACTCCTGATGAAACATAAGACTGGAGTATATAAGGACTCAAGATTCAACATCAGATCACTCCTGATGAAGACACTAGACTGGAGTATATAAGGACTCAAGATTCAACATCAGATCACTCCTGATGAAGACACTAGACTGGAGTATATAAGGACTCAAGATTCAACATCAGATCACTCCTGATGAAAACATAAGACTGGAGTATATAAGGACTCAAGATTCAACATCAGATCACTCCTGATGAAGACACTAGACTGGAGTATATAAGGACTCAAGATTCAACATCAGATCACTCCTGATGAAAACATAAGACTGGAGTATATAAGGACTCAAGTTTCAACATCAGATCACTCCTGATGAAGACACTAGACTGGAGTATATAAGGACTAAAGTTTCAACATCAGATCACTCCTGATGAAGACACTAGACTGGAGTATATAAGGACTCAAGATTCAACATCAGATCACTCCTGATGAAAACATAAGACTGGAGTATATAAGGACTCAAGATTCAACATCAGATCACTCCTGATGAAAACATAAGACTGGAGTATATAAGGACTCAAGATTCAACATCAGATCACTCCTGATGAAGACACTAGACTGGAGTATATAAGGACTCAAGTTTCAACATCAGATCACTCCTGATGAAGACACTTGACTGGAGTATATAAAGACTCAAGTTTCAACATCAGATCACTCCTGATGAAGACACTACGCTAGAGTATATGTAAACTCATCTTTCAAAACATATCGTTTATACTCAAGATATTAGATAGACGTACGACAATCTATAATGTCATATAAATCACGATAAAAATCTGGGAGTCGACATGCTATCAGGCAGGCAACAAACAAAGATGAGATAGCTGTACAAACCTGTATTATCGCAGCAAAGCTTCAAATCTTTAACAACAAGATGATTATAGATGTATAACACGAAAATAGCGATCAATATTAGTAAAGTTGGCTTAAGGATGTCATTTAATGTAAACATAAGTTGAAATTAAACAGTTACAATTAACTATAGCGTATAAATATCTTTCCCTATGTAAAATAATCTATACATTATCCTCAATAACGAACTATACACATTGTTGCATTTTAATATATACGAACTTTGACCTCGGGTGTGTTGCGGAAACGTCATGTAAGGAGTCTTAAAGCATCAATATAAATTAGCAAACTTTGTGATCTATGTTACTTATTGAACTTAAATTGAGCAATACAAAATCTTAATCTTCAACAAAACATATCCAAAATATTACTATGAATGTATAAAAAGTATACAATCGCTAAAAAGATCACGTTTGCACGCTTTTTTCTTCACCAACTGAGCAAAGATTCTCTTTTTCTTTGAACTGCTTGTCGACAACCATTGAAAGATTATTCAAAAACTCTTCTAAGGTTATCGTTTGCGCCTATTACGTAGGTTTGAGGGACAATATAAGTACATGCATGTACAACAAAAGAACACGGGTGAAGGCTTTAATTCGTATTACTTACTTTTGAGTACAGCGCATGTGCAAGGAATGGTAGTTTACGAAGAGTTCGACCACTTAGTTGATAACTTTTCTAAACAAGAAAATGAGAGAAAGAATACTTCGTAGGTTTATCACAGTGAGACGCTTGACTGCTCCTTGCAAGTTCAAAAGTTAACATGTAAAAAGCGTATAAACATATTTACAGTTGGTTTAAATTATAAGTCATTAAGGCGGAATTTTTTTTAACTTTTGCAATATCCTTGAATGTTCTAGTTTCTTTTTATACAAAAAAAAGATTAAATTCAAAAGCAAAAAACCCCGTTTTCGGTCCATGCTTCCCGATACCTGCTTAAGCCGAGGCACTAGAACGCCGCATGTTAACGTTTCGGTAGGAGATTTCGGCCCCTCCACGCTATCCTACTTGGGAGATGCAATAGCAAGCTTCCGCCCATCAGACCCGAGATCACCTGCGATAGGCTTTGCTCGGGGTACGCAGGAGAGTGCGGTCGCGACCCGAAACGTCTGGACTCCTAAGCCACTGCATACATATCGCACCCAGCTTCCACTGCTAGTTGACATCTACTATACCTAATATTGGCTTTATATATATATACAAAAATTCAGAGGCTTACGAAAGTTGCGGTATTATTAAAGTCACTACTGCGCATGCCCAGATGATTTCTTTGATAATTTGCGACTAAGTGAGCTAATTGCCACAAATATAGTGCAAGTACATATAGTTAGTCGTTGCCATGACTATAAACAATTGGTCAATGTACTGCGCATGCACCTGCGCATGCGCAGATGATTTATCCATTTAATTGTTACTAAGCATGCTATTTACTTCAAATTCGGTGCTTGTAGATGCAGCTGGTCGTTGCCATAACTATGAAGTCAAAAACTGTCAAGTGAACTGCGCATGCTCAGTTGATATCTTTAATAATTTGTTAGTAAGCAAGTTATCTACTCCCTAATTGATTCTAATAAATGCAGTTGGTCATTTCCATGATCGTTTACTCAGACAATTGGTCAAATAGACTTTGCTTGTACTGCGCATTTCCAAGCGTACTGCGCATGCTCAGATGATTTTGCGTACATTTATGTGACCAAACGATTTAATCACTCAGAAAGCGATGAAAATAGATCCAGCTTGTCGTTACCATGACTATGAAATTGAAAAATTTGTCAAATGGACTGTGCAGACTCATATGAAGTTTAAAGCCTAGTGCCAAACACTAATATTCCCTCACCAAATATTAAAAGAAAAGATGGTACAATGCTTTATGAATAAATTTCTTTAAAGTCTGTAGCAACTTGCAATCCTCCGTAGATTCTCCGGGAAGAGAGTCGTGACAAAAGAGGAAGAAGAAACTCGAATGTCGGAGTGGCAGAGATTGAAAGACGATGAGAATGAACGTTTACTTAAAGAAAGCAGAACTATTTCTGATATTCTTTTGTTTCAAATGTCGATGTTTACAGAAATCTTCCATCCCAGTTGCTTCAGTTTTTCTCGTGGTAAGAGAGTGTCTGAGACTTTTATATTTTTCATGCCACTGTGAAATTTCTGGCGATAAGTGGACAGTCTCAAATCAACTTTAAACATTATTTTTGCCCAAATAACTTGCATTAGTGTATAATTCATCTCGCCAGTATCTCCTTACCTACGACATCAGTCGTCATATGTCATATTGATCTTGCTTCATGTCGGCTTTTCTTTTAAATAGGCTCTCGGCGACTTTAAGTTTTTCCTTTGTAATGAAAACTGACGATGATTGTTTTGTTAACCTGGAGACCATCTTACAGGTTTGTGAAAGCTCTTCAATTACATCTCCCAAGTAGGATAGCGTGGAGGGGCCGAAATCTCCTACCGAAACGTTAACATGCGGCGTTCTAGTGCCTTGCGCTTAAGAAGGTATCGGGAAGCATGGACCGAAAACGGGGTTTTGCTTTCGAATTTTATCTTTTTGTTTTCTTCTCATAAAACAAACCAAGCAATGTTTCAATTAACTTCTTATGACCCTGTCTTTTTCTGACACTTATAAATAAAGACAACCTTAAACATGTTTTATACCAATTTTATCGGTTTATATCTTTCTGATTTAACTCTCCCATTTACTGTTTCTCATGTATTACGAGCAAACCATACATATGTTTCATGGAAAACAAACAAGGATTATGTGGTTCCCTTAGTTAACATGCGACGCTCTAGTGCTCAACTATCTCGGGGTATCGGGAGGCATGGACGTAAACGGGATTCTTTGGTTTTCAAAATTTATCTTTTCCTTTACAAGAATTCTTCTCATAAAAAAAACTAGAACGTCCAAGGATACTTCAAAGGTTCAAACAACTTCTGCCTTTTTGAACTATAACTTAAAAAAACTCTAAGCATGTTTATACGTTTTTACTTATTACCTTTACAACGTAACTTTCTCATAACTCTCGTGATGAACGAGAGCCTCATTATACAATATGACTCTTTCATCATGAACGAACGCATCCATGGGCTTCACGGAAAAAGGGATTATGTACTTTGTTATGAGAACAAACCTGTTAAGAAAACAGGTTGTTATTTTATAACTATAAGCTGTGTACAAAAACAAAATGAGAGAAGTCACCATCATGCATAAAATGCTTTCTGATACGTAGATGAACACTCGTATTTACTAATTAGCAGACCTGTATATATTATATATTACAGATAAACTTCAAAAATACTTATCTTCAATCTAGCAATCCAGTATCAGACTCTCTTAAATTATTTGGTAAGAAAGTTTTCTGTATTCCAAGAGTTGTTCCATCCATCACCACCTTCTGGGAATTCTTCCACATAATTCACAAAAACCCATTGTCAAAATCAATATCAAGCAACCTTAATAAGAGAAAATTCAATAACTTAATAAAACAAGCGATCACTATCTCAATGGAATATTCATATTTTGCAGCTGAAAATGAAATGATGCTTACCGTATCATGGCAATGATAGCGAGACGAAACTTGGCGTAAGTTATTTCCTTTGGGAAATTCAAACTACCTGAAGACACTTGCCTTTGTACATATGCAACATAATATTTGTACATAGGTAAACTGAACAAGAATAAAAAGAAAAACATTCAAAAGATATAGTGCGAGAAAATTAAATAATGGACAAACGTAGCTACTAATGCTTCGGCAAATTTTCATTAAAAGTACCTCGAAAGCCGTTATGAAAAGCCGAATGTAATCTTTAGATCGTCATGAGATATTGCATATGATCCAAACCATACAATCCTGTTTTCAATGCCATCATAATGCTTTTCGTAGCACAAGAGGAGCAAGGTCTACAATACACTAAATAATTTATTTAAGTCAAATAATTATGAAGTGAAGCGTAACCTATAACAAATCAGAACTTACCCTTCACATCATGGATTGAACAAAAGTACGCAACTGAACACAAGTCTACGTACAACCATTCATCTTGAATAGAACGTTTATCCCACTCTGCACCACAAGAACAAATACCACTTTCAGATGGCGCCAAAATTTTATGACCATTTTTTTCAGGAAGATCAGTAAAATCGCTTGCATCATTCTCATTGCCTAAAATAATTAAATAGTAATATTTACAAAATGCTAGAAAGTGCTAAATACCATACCGATAAAGGAAATAGTATATGTTGTGATGAACAGTTGTTTTTATTTTGTTTTGTTGTGACGTAGCGCGTGCATTTCACGTGATTGACACTTTGGGATTATCACAGAAAGGGGGAGTTGTTGTTGAAAATAAGAGATTCGAGATGTTGTTGTTGTTGAATTATGTAGTGTTTTTCTTTTGACGACTTCGTTGTAAAAAATAACGATCTTATCATGCAACGTGCATGACATGGCGCCCAACGCGGGGCCGCTTTAACGAAATAAAGTCGCCCATATTCGTTTCTTACGAAAATGTCGACTGAAGACAAGGAAAAATTGGAAAGGCTTCGTGCTAGAAGAAGAGGACATCGCGGAGTGTGTACAAAACTCGAGAAAGAGTCAGTTGAATTGTTATCACAGCCACCACATGATGACCTTGTAGAACGTAGCGAAATCATCGCACAACAACTCGAAAGGAAACTAAAAATATTAAGTGAACTCGACGAAGAAATATTGAACACGTGTGATGTTAATGAAATACAAGGTGAAATCGAGGACTCGGCCGAAATTTCTGATAGAGTTATGAGTATAAAACGAAAAATCGAAAGGTATATTAAATGCGCTAAGAATGACAGTCTCGTTGATACGAATGTCAACGATACCATATCTAACTCGAATTTGACGAACATGTCAAACCCTGGCCAAAACGAAAGTATCGAGAATTCTAACGAAAATTTGGCAAATGCGACGGAAAACTATGGTTTAATCGAAGGTTCAAGTAATCAAGCGACGATCGAACTTGTAAACGAAGGAAATGTAACGAGTGACAACACTACGACGACGGTTCAATTTAAGTCAAATATGCCGAAGCTTCCTAAGCTGGAGCTTCCGAAATATGGTGGCAAGGTTACGGAGTGGAGTTCGTTTTGGGATCTGTATGATTCTGCGATTCACAGTAATCCAAACATTTCGAAGGTAAACAAATTCAACTATCTGAAATCGCTTCTCGAGGGAAACGCAGCGAGGGCCATTAAAGGTCTAACATTAACTAATGCCAATTACGACTCTGCTGTAAAAATCTTGAACGATCGCTTCGGGAAAACCAGCAAACCATAGCAGCTCACATGGATGAAATTTTAAAGATTCAAGCTTGTGCCAACGGTAGAACTAGCCAAGTAAGATACATATACGATAAAGTAAGCGTTCATGTACGAGGATTATCGAGTCTTGGCGTTTCTTCTGAACAATATGGTAGTATGCTTATCCCGATTATCATGACTAAATTACCTAGTGACATTCGTCTACAAATTGCCCGAAAATCGTCGGGAGACGTTTGGAAAATTGATGAGTTGTTGGATACAATCAAGACTGAGATCGAGGCACGGGAGATAAGTGAAGGAGTGCAATCAAGTCCACAGCCACAGCATGGAAAAAATTCTGGAGGTCAGCACCAAACACCCAGAATACCTACGGTGAACGCCTTTTCGACTCAAAATACTTCAGGTAAACATATTCAATGTGTTTATTGTAAAGAGCCACACTTTTCGGCATCGTGTGATAGAGTAACTGATGTGAATGATCGCAAGAGTATATTGAGGAGAGACAATCGTTGTTTTGTATGCCTGCGAATCGGGCATCTCAGTAAAAATTGCGAGTCAAAGAAGAATTGTAGACGTTGTCATGGGGCTCATCATCAATCGATTTGTGAAGCGATTAAGCCAAGTTTTACGCCTCCTCAACAAAAGAATGCAAATGATCCCAAACTTTCCCCCACTGGAAACAACCTACCAGAAACCAAGGAAGGAAACAACGTTCGCACAGCTACTATGATTGATGGAGATAATTACTTAACGACGAATACGGCAAAAACCCGTAATCAAGTTCTTCTGCAAACAGCTATTACATACGCCAATGGTGGAATGGTTCCATTCCTATACCTGTTCGCGTGCTTTTGGACAGCGGTAGTCAGCGCACTTATGTCACAAATTCATTAAAACCCGGCTTGGACTAGTTCCCATCAGAAAAGTTGTTAATTTAAATACCTTTGGCAACCAACATTTTACAAAGCAAAATGCGACTTGGTTCATTTGTCCCTGAAAGGAAAGAATGGAAATCGAATCATAACAGCTCTTTGCTTCCCAAATATTTGCTCTCCATTAACAACGACAATTGATCTCAATCATTATCCTCATCTGATGGAGTTGCAGCTTTCGATACCAATATCCTCTCTGGACGACAGACGGACAGCAACATCGACATTCTAATTGGAGCAGATTATTATTTTGATATCATGACAGGCGAGATTATAAGAAGTGAAGGTGGTCCTGTTGCGATTAATAGTGAATTTGGCTGGATTATCACTGGACAGATGAATGATGGTGAAACTAATTCGAAATTGTCAAACGTTAATTTAATCATCGAAGATTACTCTTTTCAAAGGAATTTCCGCTTGACAAGAGAACCCAAATTACATGAATGCTTGAAACGGTTTTGGGAGATCGAATCAATGGGAATCAAAGAATCCAACGAATCACAGGATCAGGAGTTTCTGAAGAATATACAATATCTGGAGGATGAAGGAGATATGAAGTGAACTTACCTTGGAAAAGGGAATATATTCCAAAATCAGACTGTTACGGTATGTGTTTGAAACGATTACAACAGTTGAAATCTCGTCTCGATAAAGATAAACCCTTATTGCAAGAATACGATACAATTATCAAAGATCAAGTGAAAAGAGGAATTATTGACCCAGTTCTTGTTGCACATGAAACCGGTTATTTCCTACCCCATCATGGCGTACTTCGAGAAGATAAGGAAACTACAAAACTTCGCGTGGTTTTCGATGGTTCGGCAAGAGCTACTAAGGAAGAGCAGTCACTCAATGATTGCCTCGAAAAGGGACCAAATTTGGTTCCACTTTTATTTGACACTATGATAAACTTTCGAGGCTTCCCCATTGGGCTTGTTGCTGATATCGAAAAGGCTTTTCATCAAATACAAATTGCTCCCGAAGACAGAAAGATGCTGAAGTTTCTTTGGTTTGACGATATTAACCAAGTTCAACCGATGCTAAAGGAATACAAGTTCCGACGCCTACCATTTGGTCTAACCCCAAGTCCTGCAATATTATCTACTGTTATTCGTCACCACGTTTCGAAATACAGGGATGTCGATCCGGAAATAGTCTCCTTATTAATCGAGTCGTTATATGTTGACGATTTCGCTGGAGGAGCTTCTAATGAGGACGAAGCTTTATACATCTATCATAGATCTCGAAAATTAATGAGCGAGGGAGGATTCAAGCTTCGAAAATGGCATTCAAACTCGCAACATGTCCGAAATGTTATCGCGAATGATGAAGATCAACCGTTTGTTGAGGTGGAAACTGAAAAGTGGTCATCATATGTTAAACATGTACCAAGTACGATTGTGGAAGACAAGTTAGTAAAACCTCCTTCGCCTCATACAGAGCCACAACCTAAGTCCACATCTCAAGAGAATCGTATCAAAATTCTAGGAATCAGCTGGGATGAGAACAGTGACGAGCTGTGTTATGATCTTGACGAGCTAGTGCATTATGCAAAATCACTTCCTGCAACTAAGAGGTCAGTTTTAAGGCTATCTGCGAAAATATTCGATCCTATTGGCCTTCTTGCACCCTTTACTATCAATATGAAGATGTTGTTTCAAACCCTCTGCTCTTCTGGCAGTAATTGGGATGAAGATCTGTCTGGCAAGGCCTTATCACGTTGGAATTCTCTCGTTCACGACTTAAGGGCTTTAAGTGACATACGAGTACCGCGTTGTTACTTCCATGGTGGATACGATTCATCTCCGATTCATCAGATACATGGATTTTGCGATGCATCGGAATTTGCCTTTGCCGCAGTTGTATATCTACGAACGGAACATAAAAACGGTGAAATTGAAGTGAATTTAATAGCAGCCAAGACAAGAGTCGCTCCTATCAAACGACAGACCATACCACGACTTGAATTGTTAGGCGCAACTACCTTAGCAAGATTAGTCGATTCGATTGTGAAAGCGTTGACTTCAATAAAATGTATCACTGATATTATCTTATGGACGGATTCATTTACCACATTGTGTTGGATTCGAAATCATAAACTGTGGAAGTCTTATGTACAGAACCGCGTAAACGAAATCAGAAAGTTAACTAGTAGTTATAAATGGAGACATTGCCCTGGGGTAATAAACTCAGCCGACTTGCCTTCTCGTGGGTGTTCCGGAAGTGAACTTGTGCAATCTGGAATCTGGTGGAATGGTCCGCAGTTTCTCCAAGATACTGAAGAAAATTGGCCCGAAGATCTTCAACCTGCAAAATTGGATGAGGACCATTGCTACACAGAGATAATACAAAATCCTCTTCCAATAACACATTCCTTGACGTTAACATCGCTTCCTGACCGTAATTGCATCCACTTGGAGAAGATTATTGACCAAGATAGATACGGTACGAAGAACA